CCATGAAGGCCGGCAGCTTGAGCCTCAACAGGGTGAATGGGTCTCTGTGGATCTGAAGGGCAGTTAGGAGCCTAGAAGACTGGTGGGTGGGCTCAGGCTGCCCCCAGCACAGTGCGCAGAACCAGCTTGTCCCATCTTCAAAATCCACTGAATCCACAGATTAGGGTGTAAGCAGCCAGAACACAGAGGAGCCAAGCTCAGCTGAGGAGGCCCCCAAGGAAGAGGAGGGGAGGTAGGGAAGGATAAGTCCTCCTGATTAGCCCTGGAGGCAGGTAATGCTGACCCCACGTTGTCGGAGATCATGAGATAGGCTCAGTGAGCCTGACCCCTGAGTGCAAGCTGAGCAACCGTGCAGCAGGGAGTGAGGGGGCCAGCCTGAGGTCTCCACTTCTAGGACAGCTTGACTCCCAGGAGCCCCCTCTTGGGGCACTAGGTAGCCTCCAACACTAATCCTAGGGCTCCGGAGTGACCACGAGGACCTGAGGGTGTCTGGGACCCAAGCTCAGCTCTGGAGACTGGGGCACTGGGGCAAGCGGGGGAGGAGGGGACATCCTGAGCAACCAGGAAGCCAATGCCAGGACTCATATTGGGGAGAAACCCAGGAGTGACTATTACTTTAAAAAAGAAACTGAAAGGGCAATCCAGTGTGTGGGATCGAGTGGCTACAGCTCATGTGGCTTTGAGGGACCTGTCACCCCCATCAGAGACGCCCATGGTGGACTCTGCTTGGTAAAGATGGAGAGCGGGGTGTGGGGTGTTCCTCGCCAGGAGGCTGAGCCTGGGCCAGGCCACCCACACTGTCCTGCCCCACCGAGGGCGGACAGACAAGACAAAGGGCCCACAGGTGCAGACTGGGTGCCCCCCAAGGACTGTAAAGCTCTCTGGGAAGTTCCCAGCCTCTGGAGTTTCGCCCCCACTCCCCTCTCTCAAGGGGAAAGTGCAGATCAGACTAATTAATGTGTTGTTGTTTGTTTATCCTCCTTTCATTTCACTGAGACAAAATAATTAACCACAGAGCTTTAGGAACTGGCTCCATTGGTAGCAATCCCCTCTGTGTCAAGTGCGTCAGCAGCCTCTGTGCACAGATGCAGGGATCGCGCAGGAGCGGGCGGGCGGGCGGGCGGGCAGCAGCTGGGGGGCCTTCTGACCAGGGCCCTGGGGATGGCGGGCGGGTGCGGGGTGGGCACGAGGGCCCGGCAGCCACGAAGAGCTGGGATGCTCAGCTCTGCTACACCCTGGAGGAACGCTGTGGTGGCCCCGGCGCTGCCAGCCGCCTCGCACCCACTGAGGCCTGAATGGAGACCAAAACCATTCCTATGGCCAGCCCAGGAGAGGCAGAAAGGTCAGGCCTGGCCACTCACTGCCACTGCAGGCGGGGCTGGGAGGAAGCTTGCCCAGAAGGGTCTCTGGAGCCACCACAGAGGGGAGGTGGACACAGGGCAGCTGAAGAGGGATCCCTGCCCTGCCCGGCCAGTGTGAGGGATGAGCCACAGGGAGAACAGAAGGTTTGGGAATTTCTCTCAGGGGCCCTGTGATGAAGAGAGTTTGCATCCACCTCGAGGGTGAGAGGGACCCCTTGGGGGTGGGGCTGGGCAAAGAGTTGGGGTTGTCTTAGGGTTGTCTCCTCCTCCAAGATAATGGGACCACCAAAGGAAGGTGTAATCAGCTCTTCTGAGCACCAGGCACATTCTGGCCTGAGATGGAGGACTGAGGGACAGTGGTGGGGTGGGATAGGCACTCAGGTGAAGATGGTGTTGGCCAGGCTGGGCCGGTGATCTTGGGCCACTGGGAGAGGAGGGAAGAGCTAAGAAGACCTAGGTGTGGGCCCCCTCCATGCACTTGGGGGTGGTGTCTGGAGGTCCCCAGAAGTCTGGCCTACACCCCTACCCCCAGCACCTTGGTGCCAGCTGTAGTGGCTGCTGGAGCCTTGGGAGAAACTATCCCAAGCCACTGTCCCCACCTGCAGGGCCAGGACCTGCCACTCCTTCCTCTAGTTCTGGTTGAGGCAGGCAGCTCTGCGCCCTCTCCCATAGCTTTCACTCCAGCCAGTCTGAAGCTGGCCCTCCACACACTGCCATGAGCAGGCCCGCTGTGCCGAAGGCAGCCAAACCCACCGGCACAGATGGAACCAGTAGGCTGTTACCCCAACTTCAGGTTAAATTCAAATGAAATGGCTGGGATTTTAAAGAAAGAATAAGTAAGCCTGTCAAATGGCAGGCATGGGAGGACTCTGGACAGCCACTAGTCCCTCTAAGTACTTAGCCATGAGCTCTGGGCCACAGAGGTGACACAGCTCTGCTGGGGGGTTAAAAATCATGTGCACAGAGGGTCAGCAAGCCTGCAACAAACCCTCCAATTTCAGCCACTGTCATTATAAAATTGGTCTCAGGGCCCCAGACCCAGAGCCTTGCCTAAGTTCATAGACCTCTGAATCAGCAGACCCCAAAGTCAAAGCCATTGAGGTTAGGACAGCCCTCACACAGAGCCTGGCCTTCAGAGAGAGACCAGGACCTGGGCTGGGTGTGGAGCAGGTGGTGAAGGTCACTGTCTGGTTTGGGACTCCAAGGCAGATGTCAGGGGTCTCCTCCCATCCTCTCTGAAACAGCTTCCTCAACCCCTGCCCCATGGGGAAGGGGAGAGGGACCCAGTGGCTGGCCCTCTGGCCTCACCAACGTCCTTGACAGTGAGCCTCATTGCCCACACCTCAGTGAGAGGCCTTTCTACTACAGCACCAGACAAAGCCACATGGTCCCTGTGCCCCCAGGCGGATGGCATGGCATTTCCCAGATTAAGCCGAGGTGCAGTGCAGAGCTGTCTGCAAGGAACTGTTTCCCGTGGCTCCTGGCCAGACAGCTGTGGTCTGAGTAGACACACCTGCTTCCCCAAACTCCAACCTTCCGGTGTTTCCTTCAAAGGGATTTCCCCCCGAAGAAAGAAAAATCCTTGTGAAATGTATCCTCCAGAACCAGACACCAACACCAGCTAAGGTTCATCTTAGACATTAAGCTCTGGTCTGGAACGAGCACCCCATTCCCACTAAATCAGCCCTGGAAACACAGCCATGGAGGTGCCCTTAGGTGACAGGTGCGCCTCAGGCCTGGAGACAGCAACCTCCATTCACCCGCCCATTTCTTGAGCTCCGTTGCTGCAGCCCCAGGACCCACCAAGCTCTCAGTGCAACCCCTTCTTTTGGGAAGTTCCTGGTCTGCTGGGGAGGTGGCCGTGTTCCATGAGCATTTATGACCTAGAGCTGCAGAGACCAGACTGTGTACAATGGGGACCAGGAGCCCCCAGTGGCTATACCTAAGCCACCCGGCAAAGAGGGGCCAAGGGGGGGCAAAAGGCCATTCTGAGGAGATGATTTGTGAGCTGAGTCTTAGAAGCGAAGGGGTGAGCTAGGGCAGGGGCAGGGCACAGGCAGGAAGCCACATCCCCCCCGAGTGGGAGAGGGCACAGGTGGAGATGGGGTTGCAGACACGGCTGGCCTGGCTAGGAGACTAAACACCCCAGAAAGGGCCAAGAGAGGCTTTAGAGGGTTTGGGGTATCTGACGGACAGTCAGATTAGACAAAATCCCTCCAGCCCCTGTGTGGAAGATGGCCTGATGGAGAGAAAGCCGAGAAAGTGGGTGAAGCATGATGCAGTCATGGGCCAGCACAGGGGCTGAACCCACGTGGCACCTGGGTCCCGGCTGGAGGGACCAGGGAGGCAGGAGGAAGACAGGCGGTGGGGCTAGGATGGCTGGAACATGGGCACAGACCCCCATGGCGCCAGGGCAGAAGCTGGACTGGGTCAGTGGGACAGTGAGCAGGAAATGAACCCCCCGCAGATCTGGTAACAAAGACTCTAGATTATGCTTATACTAGCTTCACTGCAGAATGATCACGACGGTCTCTGGAGGTTGGGCAAACACTCCAAACTCTTGTTTTTATCAATTCTACATTCAGCGCTGTAACTGCAGCTGGGGGCCTCTGCTAGGCAGGGCCCTGGGGCCTGGAATGAGGCTCAGGCACCGGCTGGGACAGGAACCTGGGGTGGACTCAGTCCTCCAGCAATGGGCCTCAGCTGGGCTCTGGGGCTGGATCTCAGGCTTAGGGGAGAAGCTTGGGCCAGATCCTCACAGCCCCAGGACACTTCTCCAAAAGTCACAGGGACCATCATTCCAGAAAGTTGGTAAGGCCCCCGCAGTACCTAGATCCTGGTTGGTCGGGGATTTCTGGGGGGGGACAGCAGGAGTGGGAGTGTAAGAGTAGTCTCATGATGGAGGATGGGGTGCAGTGAGAGCTGGTTGTGGCTAAAGCCCCTCTCTCCGGGGTCTTGCCAGCTGTATTGCCCCCCACCCTGGGACTCTCTGGCCCCTTTTCTCACCATTTGCTCCCTCTGTTCTGACCTGAAGGATACTCAGTGACAAGCAGCTCTGTTTGTGGCTCTTCTGAACCAGGGTCACCCCTTACCTGTTCCAAAAACACTTCTGGCTGCTTCAGGCCAGTGTTAGGCCCAGGCATCCTCCAGGATCCCCCAGGCTGCCTCCCAAATGCCCACAAAGCTAGGCTGCTCCCAAAATCCTGGGTCTGTTTTTGAGCAATTAGGTCACAAGATCAAGATGGACAGCTAGAGAGGGTCACGTCACCAAGTTGGTTACTGCAAGAAAACCAAACACACAGGGCACCTGGGTGGCTCAGTGGTTGAGCATCTGCCTTTGGCTCAGGTCATGATCCCTGGGGTCCTGGGATGGAGTTCTATTCAGGTTCCCCGCAGGGAGCCTGCTTCTCCCTCTGCCTATGTCTCTGCCTCTCTCTGTGTATACCTCATGAATAAATAAATAAATTCTTTAAAAATAAAATAAAATAGGAAAAAAAAGAGAAGAAAAGCAAATACACACAGGCAGAATACTCCTACTTCTGATGGGGGAGCCAGGAACAGGGTGAAGGGAGGGAGTGGCCCCAACATCCCACCTGCTCCATTAAGGATGAGTCAAGCCCCTTACTTTCTATCTTCCAGGTTCCCCTGCAGGCCCAGTATGGCCCACTGAGGTGAACCATGACTGGCTGGCCAACACTCACCACTGACCACCCAGAGACGCATCTCACCAGGAGGTGACCCCTCCTGCACCTGCCCCCCCCACTCGCCCACCCCTCACAGGAAAGTGCCCGCGCTGCCACGGACACCATGTAGTAGGGCCGGCTGCGGCGCCCAGTGAGCTGCGATGGTTTTGTACACGGCTCCCTTTCCCAATAGCTGTCTGTCCGCCCTGCACGCCGTGTCCTGGGCTCTCCTCTTCCCATGCTACTGGCTGGCGGACCGGCTCGTGGCCTCCTTCATACCCACTACCTATGAGAAGCGCCAGCGGGCGGACGACCCGTGCTACCTCCAGCTGCTCTGCACCGTGCTCTTCACGCCCATCTACCTGGCCCTTCTGGTTGCCTCGCTGCCCTTCGCCTTTGTTGGGTTCCTCCTCTGGTCCCCACTGCAGTCTGCCCGCCGACCCTACATCTACTCCCGGCTGGAGGACCAGGGCTCGGCTAGTGGGGCGGCGCTGCTCAGTGAATGGAAGGGTACAGGCCCTGGCAAAAGCTTCTGCTTCGCCACTGCCAACCTCTGCCTGCTCCCTGACTCGCTGGCCAGGCTCAACAACGTTTTTAACACCCAAGCGCGGGCCAGAGAGATCGGACAGAGAATCCGAAACGGGGCCAGTCGGCCCCAGATAAAAATCTACATCGACTCGCCCACCAACACCTCCATCAGCGCGGCCAGCTTCAGCAGCCTGGTGTCACCACAGGGCAGTGATGGCGTGGCCCGGGCCGTCCCTGGGAGCATTAAGAGGACGGCCTCTGTGGAATACAAGGGGGACGGCGGGCGTCACCCCAGTGAAGAGGCTGCCAACGGCCCGGCCTCCGGGGACCTGGCCGAGGGGGTTGGCCTTGAGGACGCCTGCATTGTGCGCATCGGAGGCGAAGAGGGGGGCCGGCCCCCCGAAGCTGATGACCCTGCCGCTGCCGGGGGCCAGACCAGGAACGGGGCTGGCGGGAGCCCACAGGGCCAGACGCCCAACCACAGCCAGCGGGACGGGGACTCGGGGAGCCTGGGCAGCCCCTCGGCCTCCAGGGAGTCCCTGGTGAAGACGCGGGCCGCGGCGGACGGCGGTGGCAGCGGGGAGCCTGGCGCCACCAACAGCAAGTTCCCCTACAAGGCCTCCGGGGTGAAGAAGGCGGCCGCGCGCAGGAGGCGGCACCCGGACGAGGCCTTTGACCACGAGGTCTCCGCTTTCTTCCCCGCCAACCTGGACTTCCTGTGCCTGCAGGAGGTGTTTGACAAGCGGGCAGCCGCCAAGTTGAAAGACCAGCTGCACGGCTACTTCGAGTACATTCTGTACGACGTCGGGGTGTACGGCTGCCAAGGCTGCTGCAGCTTCAAGTTTCTCAACAGTGGCCTCTTCTTCGCCAGCCGCTACCCAATCATGGACGTGGCCTATCACTGTTACCCCAACGGGCGGCGCTCCGACGGCCTGGCCTCCAAAGGAGCGCTGTTTCTCAAGGTAGGAGGCCGTGGCCCTGACCTTGGGGCTCACATCAGCCTGTTGTAGAGGCACCGGGGGATGAGGGCTGCAGCCAGGGGTCCTTACGCTCTTGGAGGGCTGGGGGGCAGGCGAGGCCTTTCGTGGAGCTGAACCGGTGGGCGCCCAGCTCAGAGACAAGGGTGGAGGGTCCAGGCTCAGACCAACCTGGCCAGGTGCTCTTAAGGGAGCAAGTTCCTCAGATCTCTGAGCCTTTATCTCCTCATTTGGAAGTGGGGGCAACATGATAGCAGATCACACTCCGTCCTGCTATCAGGGCTGTGCACACCCTCATGGGGTAGGGAGCAAGCTTGAGGCCGGAGGGTTCTTGTGGTGCCTGGCCGGTGGTGAAGGTGGCCAGCAGTGGTGGCAGAGATAAAGGGAAGAGGAGGAGGCAGGGGCCCCCAGTCCGTTAAGGGGCAAACGCCAGCTCACATAGGCCCGCAGCCTCTTTGGCCAGCTGCCCCCTCCCTGCTGGCTGTCATGCAGCTGCTGTGCCAGGCACTCTGCCCAACAGCCCAAGGCTTCACTTCCATAGTCACTAATTAAAGTGAATCATAATTATTTCTGCTAATTTGGATGCAATTGGAGGAGTTTTTAGACCATGGTAATTTGGTCATTACCCGTTATCTTCTACTGAGCCTGACACCCTCCGAGTGTTGGCTTTTTGTTCCCTAAGCAAAAGCCACTCTTAGTGTCTCCAGAGTTTCGGGAAGCAACGTTTGGCCCATTGCTACAGGACCCAGACTCCACTTCCAAGTGCTCAGTGGTTCATGTGTGACTCTGCGGGCCCAGAGCTGGGGGTCTTTGACTCTCCATTCTTAGCCTGAGAGGCTGAAATCGAATGAACTCCTCTTACCTTCTCATTTTGGCATATGGTTCATCAATGTTCTGTTCCACGGATATATTTTTGTCTCAGCAGCTGGAGTGACTTTCTGGGGAAGGAGGGGATATGTTGTCAAGCTCAGGATGAGAACGTACCTTCTTCCTTCCACCCACTTTACCACAGATGGTTCATGGCTGGGGACCCCCCCTTGGCCCTGCCCCCAGCCCACACCCTCATCTCCCTCCTGGGTCTGGCACCCTGACCACCATGCCCACCAGGATCACAATAGTCTCTTGGGAGGGTCCCTCTGCTGTGGACTTTCTTCTCACCTCTCTGGTCATTCCTTCCAGGGTCCTGGTCACCTACCCAGCCTTTAACTGCTGATGTTCCTTCAGCTCCTTAGCCTAAAACTGGTCTGCAGATTTGTTTAATTTGGTCCACATCAGTAAAACGTTTCCTGTGTTAGCCAACATTTAAAAAATCAAGATATTCCACATAAAACCCAGTTTGCAACTTCTTTCCCACCTCTCAGATCTCGCAGCACGTGGCAGGCCTCCTGCCTTCTGCCCAGCTCTCAGCCCAAGCTAAGGGGTGGCAGCCCTGATAGCAGGACGACCTGACCCCACGTAGGTAGGCCTCTTCATTTCCAAGTGGTCACCACAGCCAGCCCCACACACCGCCCGGGGGAAGTCACTCCACAGATTCCATTTCCATACATGCTGACGGTTCTCACATTTGTCCCAGCCCGCATCTCTCTCCTGAGCCCCCAGCTCTGTGTCCCGCTGCCTCCTGGACACAGTCCTCGTTCACTTGTCTGCCCATCCCCATCAGCCAGGTTCCACCATCCCCACCTTGACTCCTGCCTGTGCCCTGAGCCCCTCCCCTCTATCCAGGCTCCTAATTTCACTTTTCTTTCTTTCTTTCTTTCTTTCTTTCTTTCTTTCTTTCTTTCTTTCTTTCTTTTCTTTCTTTCTTTCTTTCTTCTTTCTTTTTAAAAAGATCTTATTCATTTATTCATGAGAGACATAGAGAGAGACAGAGATAGGCAGAGGGAGAAGCAGGCTCCATGCAGGGAGCCCAACGTGGGACTCGATCCCGGGTCTCCAGGATCACACCCCAGGCTGAAGGTGGCGCTAAACCGCTGAGCCACCTGGGGTTGCCTCTAATTTCACTTTTCAAATATGTCTGGGTCCACTCCACATCCCCAGCTGCATGATCATGGCCCAGGATGCCATTCCTCCCCATCCGCCTGTGTTTTGGGCTGTCCTTCTCCTTCCCACCCCATCCGCCTCAGGTCCCAGGTCGGACTCCTGCTGTTCATGTTGTGCTGCCCCACGGAGAGGCCCAGCCTTCCCCTGGGCCACTCCACCTGCCCTGGGCTCTGCTCCAACACCCCACCCCCCAGGGGCATCCATGCCCCACTCCCCTTGTCCTGGTCCCACCCTGGTTTGGCCACACCACCCTTGTGGAGCTTTTAGAGCACAGCTGGCACAAGCCAGCTTTCCCTCCATAGGTTCCTCAGCCCTTGTCCCCAGCATCTCGCTGCCTATCTCTCTGGTCAGACAGAAATTAAAATGGGCCATTTGGGCCCCATATACACAGCAGACCCAGCTCACCTGTTGGTGAAAGCGTGCCTGTTTCTCCTGCCTGGAGGAGTGAAATAAATGAGGTTTTGGGAGACAGGCCAGTCCCCAAGGGGCTGGGGCCTGGAAGACAGCAGCTGTGGGTTGTGACTGCAGGTGGAGGCCCATGCTCCCTCCATCTACATCCCTCCTCCCCCCACCACTTACTCTGTGGCACATCTATGCCTGAGGAAAATGTGCTTTCCTGCGCTTGTCGCATCCTGAGAAGGAAGGGACTGGAATTGCTGCTGCCTCACGTGTGGGAGAGCCTGATTCTGGGTCTGGGCCCCTTCTCTGTTGACAGCCTTCGCCCGCCAAGATGCAAAGGCACCACCTCTCGGTGTGATTGTTTTTGCAATAGAAACACAAATCTCTGGAGCTCCGAGGACTCAAGCCGGAGCAGAATCAATCCGTCTAAGCACGCAGTAGTGAAGTGGATCCTGGCAGCTGACGGGGCTCTTGGAGAGCTGGGCTGTTGAGGGAGGGGCGGAGGTACTTGCTGCAAGGGGCTGAGGGACCGGCAGCCAGGGCCATGCTGCTGTGTCTTCCCTCCCTCCGGGCAGTTCCCCTGCGGAGCAGAGGGAGGGCCGAGCAGTACCTCCTCCGTGAGGGCAGGGACCCCAAGTGCTGAGTGAGTGAGGGGCTGACTGACACAGTAAGACCCTCAAATGGGTGAAAAGCCTGCCAAGTCACCAGGAGTTGAGGAAGCAGACAGTAGGGTGAGGAGCTGGACTAGGGGCAGCAAATATCAGACATGAACCTGCCTCAGCCAACCAAGCCTCGTAACTTCAAGTCAATTCTGGTATAATTTTAGTATAGCCTTCCGGCCTGTTGTAAGGCTCTAGCAAGGCGGTGTCCATGAAGCACCAAGCACTAGTGCTCAGTGTCTTATTATTGAGGGGGAACCGTCGCATTGCCCATGAATGCAGGGCGCAAGAGCGCCATCGTGTGGCCTTTGAGGGGCATTGTTGGTTTTTAAAAGTGTGTTTTTGCAACAGAGCACATCAATAGTATGTGACTTCCCGAGACATTCCAGGGGCTGGCGGTACTGAAAGGCCGAGAGGCTGGGGTCTGGATTGTGGGCAAGAGGTGAATGGTAAACATGGGAGTTGATAAACAGCCCTAAATCCAGGCTGCCCTGCCCATTATCAAGTAACCAGATGTTCATTCCACCGGGGACTGGGAAGGGAGAGATGTGCATCCATCCAGGTCAGGAAAGGAGATGAAGAGCTATAGAAAGCTAAGAATACCTAATGATGCGGAAACCCGTATGGAGGAGAATAATGCCAACCTGACTTTGGCAGCACAAAGAAAGCCGGAAGCCTCCCAAAGATCCCAGGGTGGTGGGCCCATGATGTGGCAGAGTGGCAAGTCCAGGCCACTCTTAGTTGGATGATGGGCAGGGTCATGTTCAGCAGATATACATCCCTCAGCCAAGAACTGGCTTCTACAGTTACCTTCCCTGGGGGGTTCCCAGGGTCCTGGATATCATCATTACAGAAAACCCATTCTGGAATGGATTAAAGAAGTTCGAGGAAGACTACTGAGAATCAGGTGGGAGGGAAGCCCAGAGAGAAAGAGAAGGAACCAACCAGAGACCTCTGAGGAAAGGCACCCACCGATGATCCAAGGGAGAATGCCTGGCAGGGAGAGGGGACTCTCCCACTGTGGCCTCTAGCAGCTGCGCCATGACCAGAGGGCCTGGGAGAGTGGCCAGCTGGGCAGCCCTCCCTTACCTCTATGACCATAGCCTTGACAAGGGCTCAGGCTGGCATCAGGGTCACCACTGGGTGCTGTTTTGAGTTGTCTGTGATGTCGTTACACCAGCCTGTGGAGACAGCCCCCAGGATCATCTACACTTGGGCAGGGAGTCTCAGGGGAGCCATCCCGCCCTACTCCACCCCTCCCCCAGAGTCTATCTCCAGTGAAGGAGATGAGCAGCAGGCAAAGACGGAGGTCGGGGCCAGTGCAGCATGAAGGCCTGCAGAGGCTGCTGCGGAGATAGGAGGACTGGGCTCTGGGTAGAGGCCCATGACTTGGGTGCCGTAGAGACACAGGCCACAGCTATCATCCCAGATCGGGGAACCAACAGGAACCACTGCCAAAAAAAGCAGATGAAGGGGCTTCTCATGAAGCCACAGGGGCAGAGACTGGGGAAAGAACAGAGGGCAGGGTCCTCTCACAGTGTCGGGAAGGGTATCAAGGCTCTGCAGCGGGGCTGCTCCCAGAGGGGAGCCTGACTTGGACTTTGGAGGGGTGGGATCAGGTCTAGGCTGTGACTGAGGGAAGGGGAAAAGAACTATCAGACAGGAGTGGACAAGGAACTAAGGAGCTGGCACGTGAGGGCCGTCCACACGGACACTCTGGTAACCAGGAGATGGCAGGGTTACAGGGAGGAAATCAGCAGTGACTTCATCTTTCCTCCCATAAAGCCTTGCATGAATTGCTAGTGGCACTTACCATACCATAGGCTGGTATTTCTTTATACATCTGCCTCCCACACTGCACCAGAAGGTCCTAGAAGCAGGACATGTGCTGTTCCTTCCTGGGCCCAGGCTAGCCAGGAGCTGACAGAGATGAGCTTGTACTCAGAGCAATAATGATTTCATCATCAACACCTCCCCTCCCCCACAACAGGTGCAGGTGGGAAGCACACCTCAGGACCAAAGAATTGTCGGGTACATCTCCTGCACACACCTGCATGCCCTGCCAGGTAGGATCTGGTGGCCCGTGCTTTCCATGGGGAGGGCGATCTGCCTCCTGTGCGCTGGGACAGGTGCCGGGGCGGGGTCTGATGGCAGCTCCACCACCTGGTCTCTATGCTTCTGCCCCACAGAAGACAGTGCCATCCGGTGTGAGCAGCTGGACCTGCTTCAGGACTGGCTGGCTGATTTCCGAAAATCTACCTCCTCGTCCAGCACAGCCAACCCCGAGGAGCTGGTGGCGTTTGATGTCATCTGCGGAGATCTTAACTTTGACAACTGCTCCTCAGGTGAAGTGGTGGTCCTCCCCACTCGGGGCCTGGGCTCCAGTCACAACTGGAAAGGCTTGGGTTATGCAGCTGGAAGAGCTTCCTGCTCCTCGTGAGCATGTGGGTGAGATATTAGCAAGACTATGATTTCTCTGCCCCCCAGAAATCCTAAAATGAGAAGAGCCCACGCTCTGCCTAGAAAGCTCAGAGGCCTCCTGACTGGAGACAAAGAGATGCCCTAAAAATGAACTTCTGACAGAGAAGGCTCAGGGCCTCTGCAACTCAGACAATGGGCGAGTCAGCTAGCTCTACCCACCAAGCCCTCAGTCATCTCTTGCTTTGCACCAGGCATGATTCTAAAGGCTGTTTGTGGGCCGGCTGTTTCATTTAAATCTCAGAACAACCCTGAGAGTGAGCAGGGTGTTGATCTACAGGGGGGGAGAGGAAGCAGAGACCCAGACAGGCCTGTAATTAGGCCAAGGTCACACAGGCAGGAAGTGGTTGAACTGGGATTTGAACCCTGGCAATTATGCCTTTAACCATTAGTCTAAAAGACTTTAACCATTAGTCTAAAAGACTAAAAATCCATCATGGGTCAACTTTAAAATAATTGACTTAAATAACTAATTTGATGATCATGCCGGTCCCAGGGACCTCGTGGGAGTTTGGGCAGCTCTGAGCTTCCCTTGGCCCAAGAAGCTAATGTGAGGAACCCCCACTTCCAGCCCCCCCACCCGTCCACTGGCTCCTGGGCTCCTTCCACACTAGTCCCAGCCCCAGGAAAAACCAAAGATGAGTGTGGGACATGGGGTCTATGAGCTAAGGCTTAGCCCTCAGTGAAGGCAGGAGACCCGAAGGGCCCACCTGGAGCACAGGAGGTGCCCTCACCTGGTGGCAGCTGTTTCTCTGAGTTCACAACCAGGAAATCACCCTTTGACAATGATGGCAGCTCCATGGGGGTGGGGAGAACAGTGCCTACTGTGGAACACACAGCCCCGACTGGAGCCCTGCAGTCCCCTCAAAGTCATATACCTGGTACCAGCTCCAAATGCTAGTGCTCTGGGGATCTGCTGAGTCAGGGTGGGGAGGCGGCACACCAAGGAGGAGGCTGCCAGAGGGTGTTCCACCCAGGCAGGCCCCACTTGATGCCTGTCCTTCCTCTGGGGCGGGGCGGGGGGTGTCTCTGGCTCCACGAGTTGGCAGGACGAACTGGAATCCAGGGCAAGTCACCCCTCACTGAACCTGGGCACCCAAGTCTGTGAAGGCAGGAGTGCCTGTAGGGGTAGCATCAGCCCACCGCCCTGTAGGGTTTGCTATCAGATCTGGGAAGGCTCAAGATCACTGTACCCTGGAGCCCAAGAGGGACCATGACCACTGTCTTCGGGAGAATAGCTCACCCCAGGGTTGTGGGGAGGCATTCTCAAGGACACAGAAAGCCAGTGACAAAAGAACCACAGGTTCCTCTGGGACCACAGAGCCCACCCAGAGGCAGGTCTCAGGGACTTGGTGGTACGTAGTGGGAGTAACTGACTAGAACCAGAGGCAGGCAGCCCTCCACCGCAGACGCTCTGAGTCCCACAGCATTCCCACTCTCCTTCCGTGCACAGACGACAAGCTGGAGCAGCAGCACTCCCTGTTTACACATTACAAGGACCCCTGCCGCCTGGGGCCCGGAGAGGAGAAGTCTTGGGCCATCGGTGAGCTGGGGCTGGGGGCATGGTTGATGGGGCTGGGGGTGGGGGGCACTACTGTGGCCTGAGCCCAGCACGCTGAGACCCAACACTATCCCAGAGAGATTTGAGGACCTGGCCCCAAGGTCCCACGGCAAAGGGAAGGGGCAGGAAGCCCTCGCTCGTGCCTCCTGCCCTTGGGCGGTGGGCTCCTGGAGGCTGGCTGGGCCCTGCCCACAGCAACCACTCTCACCTCCCTGTTCCCAGGTACCCTGCTGGACACAGACAACCTCTACGACGAGGAAGTGTGCACCCCTGACAATCTGCAGAAGTAAGCAGCCAGCAGCCATGCTCCCACTGGTGCAGGGGAGGGTGGTTCTTGGGGCTGCGATGAGCACTGAGCCCTGTGGAGAGCTGGGCTGTGCTGGGCAGACAAGGGAACACAAGGGACTGAAGCTGGGGTGGCTGGAGACGGGACCACCTTTCCACCCCAGGGGCTGGTCTGACCAAGGAGAAGCCTCCAACCAGGACAAGGGGCCTGAGTGGCATTTCCTACTTTGGCACCAGAGTCCAGGCTCACTTTAGAAGAGCCTGGCCTGCCCTGAGCCCCATCCTGTGGAGATCCTTCTGGGAACAGGAAAGGGACCAGCAGCTCCCAGGGTGAGGCCGAGGGCTGTCAGGACCCCTGTGGAAGAGCCGTGGGTATGGCATCTGCCTGGCAGCTGGTAGCTACCAATTAGGCAAATTAAAATATAAGCAGAGCTAACACAAACCAGTTGTTTTCAAAGTAGAGACAGTTCCATCCCAGCCAAACTTCATACTGGAATCTGATGAGACTTCCATAAAGGGCACATTTGAGAGGCCAGCAGCAGAACCAATTTATAACTCACAGCCTGAGACTGCACAGAGTCATGGCAGTGGCTCCTCACAGCTAATTTGAGCCAATTAATTAGATTATAGACTAAATTTGAAACATCATCCTATGCCGAGAAAATTATCTTTTTATGAGATGATGATTTAAAAATGACTATCAGTAACTCTTAGATCATTGATGCTGGAATTAATTATCAAAGGCAAAGGACAGTAATGGATTATATTTCTGAGATGTAATGATGTTCTGCATGTCATTAGTGTATTTATTTCAGGGCTGATAAAGACCTTGTAGAAACCTATGTTTGCTGGCTGTGTGTGTCCAGGCGCCCCTTCCATTTGTCCAGGCATTAGCCGACCTGGCAGGCCTGTGCGGTGTCTATTGGTGACTGCGCCTGCCCTCTGCAAGTCTCCCATGAAGGCTCTCCACAATGGGTGCTCCAGCTCCAGAGGAAACCTGGCAGGAAGGGAACAGCAGACAGGAAGTCAAAAGACCTGAATTCAGGGTGTTAACGCCCCACTTGAGCGCCTTGCGCACCCTGTAGAACCTTGACCCACATCACTTTCCTTCCCCCAAGAAATGGGATGGCAGTCATATCCCACATTGTTTTAAGTTTTATTTATTTTTTTTAAGACTTTGAGAGAGATGGCACGTGTGCTCATGTGCACAAATGGGGGGAGGGGCAGAGGGAGAGGAAGAAAAAGACTCCTACTCACTGAGCAGGGAGCCCAACGTGGGGCTCAATCCCAAGACCCTGAGATCATGACCTGAGCCAAAGGCACTTAACTGAGTCACCCAAGCACCCCAAGTTTTATTTATTTATATAATCTCTACACCCAATGTGGGACCCAAACTCACAACATCAAGACCAAGAGTCACATGCTCTTTCTACAGGTGCCTTCCAGGTTCCTTTCTCGGGATGCCTGGTCTCCAAGTCCTGGGGCCCACAGCAATCATCCTTGTATCAGAGGCAAACCCAGGGTTTGGTGGCATAGCTGCTCAGAAATAGACTGACCCAAGAGTCCAGTCCTGGTCTAGGGCCTGGGTACTCTCCTGGCAACCCCAGCCCACTGATGACCTGAAACAAGGCACAGGAGTGGGTCCCTGCAAAGACCCTTTCCCAAAACAGGCCCCTCCAATGGCTCCAAGTAAAGCCCCGTTTAGCACTTCTGTCCCCAACTCGGCTCCAGGTTCTGGACAATTCTGTGTCCAAGTTTCAGCCACAGCCAAGCCCGAGGTGGACAGGGGATACTCCTGGACAGACTCTGGAGTCGCATAGCTCAGCCAGGAACTCACAGGCTCAGACTGAGTTTCCCTCCACCCCAGTCCCTTGCTGGGTCCACAGCGAATAGATCTTAAACACAAGGGTTTGGTCTGAACTGCCTGTCTCACTGAGGATGAGAACATAGCTACATACTTAGGATCTGGGGACCGGGGAATGGGGCAAGGGGCTCACCTTGCTTCCTGTGTTGAGCAGGGTCTTGGAGAGCGAGGAAGGCCGCAGGGAGTACCTGGCCTTCCCCACCAGCAAGAGCCCTGGGGCAGGCCAGAAGGGACGCAAGGACCTGCTGAAAGGCAACGGCAGGCGCATCGACTACATACTGTACGCGGAGGAGGGGCTGTGGCCGGACTGGAAGGCCGTGAGTCTGGGGCGGGCTGGGGACCCAGGCCATGCCTGTAGATAGGGGACCCTTGCTCTGCACCCCTCAACAGCACTGAGCTCTCCTCTGAAAACGAGATCAGTCCATCCCGGAGAACTTGGGGGCCATGTGATGCCCCCGCCCCTGTCCAGGAAGATCCTGGCCAGCTCCGGGCCCCACCCCGCAGCCCCACCCCTGACCTCCAGGCCCCCCCTTTGTAGGATATACCCTGGACCTAATAGGGATGCTTCTCCCCTACAGGAGGTGGAAGAGTTCAGTTTTATCACCCAGCTGTCTGGCCTGACCGACCACCTTCCAGTGGCCATGCGGCTGATGGTGTCTGCAGGGGAGGAGGAGGCATAGACCAGCCACGTCATTCCAAGCAGGGGGCCCTCTGCCAGCCCTCTGAGCCGCAGCACCTCTCTGGCCATGTCCCCTCCAGCGAGCACCCCTGGTGCCCGGGGAGGAGGGCAGGGACCCGGGGGGGAGCCTCGGTCAGTCCCAGGTGAGCTGGAACCAGCGCTGCCCTGCACCTCTGGGCACTCACCGTGGACAGAGGAGTCAGGACGGCCTTGGGAGCCGCAGCTGCCCAACAGTGCCATTCTTTCAAAACGTGATTTTCTACAAATCTACAGCACAACCTAGTTTGTAACCCGGGGGTTAGTATGAGAACCGGGTTTCTGTACTCTTTGTATCTCTTCTCAAGCTTCGTCCAGGGTTCATTATTTTCGTCTGCTGCCATGTTGTCTCGCATGCCTGCACCCTCGCATGCACGCTGCCCGCATGTCACGTGCCACACCGTAGCCACACAGACCCCTCACTTGGGCCTCACCCAAGGCCAAACTCCAAACACAATCAGAACCAGCCAAAGAAGCATTCCTGGGCACAGAGCCGCCCGTTCCCACCTCCAGCCCCGACGGCTAGCGAGCAGGGACCGTGAGGGCTGTGTCCAGATACCAGCAAGCCCGGGCTCTTCCCAGGGTCTTGCATTCAAGGGCGATCACATTTTAAAAAGAAAAACAGAAAAAGTTACCACCCTTCACTTTAGAGGGTCTGCCAACCATGAGGGAGAACGCTGTTCAGGCTCCCCTCTCCCAGCGAACCAGGGCCCCAGAGATTCCCCCAAGAGACTTCAAAGTGGGCAAAGGGAATCTGAGGAGAGAGCATCACTTTTTCACAGGAAGAAGGGGAACTCATGGCATAAAGGGGCGGGGGGGCTTCAGGTTTTCCAAATGATTTATAGCTTCTCTTCTGTCAAAACCAACGCATCCTCTTCCACCTGATTCCATTTCGCTTCTGGACACCTCTCTGGTTTGGGACCAAGCTTTCCCTGGCTGAGCTCAGGAACTGTCTGCCTGCCTCTGGGTGAGGCTATAGCTCGGTCCTCCCCCGATCCTGAAATGCAGCCCAGGGGCCCTGGATGAAGGGGCAGGAAGCCAAGGTGCAGATCGGCCTGTCCCCTCACCCTCACCAGTGTGGAGGACGGGGGTGAAGGCCAGGGGCCACTGCTTGCCTGGGGCAGCCAGTGGTACTGGCTGGCAGCCAGGCCCATAGACGCCCACTCTGCCACCATGTGACCAGGGCCAAAACTAGCTACCTGGGCAGTACACAGCGGAGCCTACAGGTGAGGTCCACAGCTCCCCACTCCACGGCAGCACTGCTCTGTCCACCTTTTTAAACACATCCGGGGATGCTCCCCCTCACTAGTCATGCAACGGAGGGTTTTGTTTCCCAGTGCAAGGACCCTCCAACTTGGAAGACTGTCCTTGACAACCCCCACTGGTCTCCCCTCCTTGTGGCGCCCTGACCTTGTGCCCACCTGGTTCAGGCCAGCTCAGCTGGGCAGTGTACCAGGACCCTCCTGCCAGAGGCATCCTGGTGCCGGTTTGCTGACACTGTGCCTTGTCACTCACTTGAGCTGCAAGAAGGGGCCCAGCAGCCAGCCAGAGGCAGGCCCAGTGCTGGGGGAGGACACTCCTGAGAACCAGATACACGGGAGCCTTGGTTTGTCCAGGGCAGTGTCTGGGTTGAGGGCTTCACTGGCCAAGCCCCCAGCCCCACCCTGCATCCAGAGCCAGGACGAGCTGCTTACCATTGAGCACACAATCCCACTTGGGCTCTCTGCTGTGCCTCTCCACCAAGGGCCTGGCCTTCAGGGCTTTGGCTAGGCTTTGTGGGGTCAGAGGAGCAGCCAGGAATCTGCTCACAGGCAGGGCCCAACTGAACACACTCGATGCCTGGAGGGCTGGGACTGAGCCAAGGCCCCCAGGCTTCAAGTAAGCTATGTCCAGGAGAACAGCGGAGACAGAGGCCAGGGTTCCTGAAGCAGAGCAACTCCAGCACAGCCTGCAACCCACCAAGGAGCCACCTCCCTCCCAGGGCAGCGCTATGGGAGCCACGGCACAGGGGGCGCATGCTTCTCTCCCTACTCACAGGGTGGCCTTAGGCAAGTCATACCTCCCTGTGCCTCGGTCCTAACAAGGTCGCCTCTGCCCAGCCTGGCTCTGGCAACTGAGCCAGGCCAGCCTGCATCCCAGCTCCCCTCGCACTTCCCTCTGGCGCAGCCTCAGCACTGAGGCCATCACTGCCCAACCATACGTTTCAAGGCTGTGGACTCCTAGGACCATGCACAAGCCAGACTTTTACATTTTGATTTTTAAAAAAGAAAGAAAACACTACCAGGATCTCAGATTCTATGGCATCTAGGCCTAGGAGGGGTGGACACAGGGGTCATGCAAATCCCCACCTGAGGCCCCACACCTGCCCCAGGCCCAGCTTCCTCCAGAGGAGCCAGGAGGCAGGGGTCAGCTTCGGAAGGAAACGGTCATTTCCATTTGTCCAAACCACCTTGAGTTTTAAGTATGGATATTAACCTTGATGCTTTTTAACTATTGTATTAACTTGCTGAGATTTAGAAATACTGTTTTAAAAAAGAAAAAAAAACAATTTTTTAATTTCTGTATTTTTTTCTGTATTGTATCCTCATGGGACATTAGGGGTTTTATATGGTTAAGCACATCTAAGGTTTTGGTAAAAATATTATCAAATATATATCCAGACGATTCTTCCCTAGAAGAAAAACAATCTTTACACCTGATAAAATATTTTGAAAAGAGAGGTGTTTTTTCCCTTTATTGGTGCTGAACAGAAGGATGGATAACAAGAAAATAAAACTGTGAGGCTCAAGGCTGGTGTTCTCTTATTTGAGTGGCAAGCTGGGGCTAGGCTGCGGGGGGGCCCGTATTTCCCACCTCGCCCCCCACCCACATGGGAACAGGCCAAGTCTGCCCCAAACCACCAGAAAACCAGGCCACCTGGGATCCTACTACCTCCTGTTCTCTGGGGAAGCAGAAATAAAGAGCAAAGGGCATCTTCAGTGGGAGAAGGCTGGGCCTCCTCAGGACTCTAGCCTTCCCCCTGGCACAAGCAAGGCTAGGGTGGGGTGGCTACACCGACCGCACCCATCTGCCTCACACTTCAAGGTGGCAGAAGGTCCCTCTGCTAGAATAGGGGCACACTGGAAAAGGCTTTACCTCCTGGCTCCTCCTCCTGATGGCTGGTTTCCTGGGTCTGCATCTCAGGAAATGCTGAGACAACCTCCTCCCTATCCCCTGAGCAACAGCCTGATGTGCAGGTGTCAAGTCTTGGTCATCTGCTGAGGCTGCACACCGAAGCCAGATGCTTATGGATGTGCCTGCTAGGGTCTTTCAAGCCCAGGGCCTAGCCACAATCTGCATCTCTGCCTCTAGCTGGAGCCAAGCAGGAGGGATCCAGAGGTTCCTTAGGATAGGCGGGGCTGGCTCCAACAGGGGAAGCAAACCCACCACAGCACTGAGAGGCTGAGAGCAGCACACAACCTGCCCATCCCAGCCAACTCCAGGACAGCAGAGGGACGCTGACACATTAAGTTTTCTGATCACTTCAGAACCATGGCAGGGTGGCTCCCTGGCCCCCGCTCAGCTCCCAATTCAGTCAGCAGCTCATGCTGCCCATCACACCTGAAGCAAGGAGCTGGTGGTGCAAAAATGCAAAAAGGGAAGGTTCCTCAGGGCCCAGAGGTCAAACGGCCCTGAAAAGAGAGGTGCCTTCACCTTGCTTCCCAGAAAGCCACGCCATTCAGAGCCCAGAGCCCTGGGGCCACTTTATTTTTCAACAGGTGAGGGTCGGCACCCATCAGCCAGGGTGAAATCCATGGTGATGTCTCCGGTGTGGGGGTGGAACTCCACGGTGTAGCCGACAGTCCGGGAGCCACCCAGCGACACTCTGCAGTCTGGTGTGGTGAAGAAGTACACAGCCTGCTTGCAGTGGGGGTTCCAGCAACAGTAGTCCCCCTGTAAAAGGAACAAGAAGGCAGTGAGGGCTCCTGGCACCCAAGCCCCCTCCTGCTCAGCCTCTAGCCTGGGAAACTCGCAGTGAGAAGCTGCTGCTCACGGCCAGGTGAGCAGAGGCCATGGAGGAGCTGCGACCTACCTGCACAGGCCAGGAATACCTGCTCTGGGACTCACGTACACAGCCCTACCTTGTCTTCGGCAGGCTTCAGGAGGCCGGTGCTGACAGTGCTGTCCGGAGTCAGGTGGTATTCCATCCACAGGACGGCCCCATGGCTCCTCCCAGGCCTGGGGGTGGGGGACGTGGGGCCAAATAGAAACAGCCACACAAGAGATGGGCAGGCATAGCCACAGCTTCCCTCTGCTTGCCAGAAACCTCCCATCTTTCCTTCCTGCCCAGTCAGGAGGCTGCTAATATCACCTGACTAAAGGCCACTTAGCAAAATGCTGGGCAAAAGAACCACAACCCAAAGGCCCACTTGCTCCCTGCAGCCTGGCCAAGCACTCAGAAGAGCCAGGGGACAGAGGTGTTTCCTCAGGAAAGCAGCAGCTCCTCCCTGTGAAGGATGCTGGAGCTGGATGGACCAACTGTGCCTCAAAACGAGCAGCCCTCACCAATTCCCAACCTGCTTTAATTCCCAGCAGAGTTCAGGGAAAATGGCCTAATGGTAACCATAGCAACCAAAAAATCAGGTTTCTCTACAGCTATGATCCTCATGATGCTTAGCTCCAAGCGAGCTGCAGATATGGGTGGATACGCCAAGCCCACTCTGGCTCGCTCTCTCCACCTGCACATACCCAGGGCTGTGGGGACCTGCTACAGACTCAGGGCCACTTTGGACCACGATGAGCAAGGCCCAGACATGGAGGCCATCCCATCCACGTGTAAGAAGCTGAAGTAAGTGCTTAGCCACTGGGGCGGTAACTAGACAGAAAGCAGGCCCCACCCACCCTTCCCCCACCTGCTGCACCCCAGAACCTGTTCTCACCTCCTCAGGTTGATGGAGCCCTCAGCACGGAGCGGGTGCGGGGGGACCAGTTGCCGGAAATCGAAGGTCAGGATGTGTTGAGGCTCAGACAAGCTGCGGCAGGGGTACTCCCACAGCGGGTGGGGCTCGGCCTCCTTGCTCTCCCTGAAGTCCAGGGCACGCTAAGGTTAAAGGGAGGTGGGGGTGGGCAGAAACAGAGACAGAGCCGATGGCTTAGGGGATAAGGGGCTCATGTCCAGTCTCCAAGGTCCAGGCCAATGGTCCTTCACCTACTTGGCTCTGGTCCCTCAGAGTAACCCCATAGTTACATGGGGTAGTGGGTCCTCACAGAAAAACCACAGGCACCTGGATCAGACCAGCTGCTTTCTCCACTCCCTGCAGCCATGCACAATCTCCTCAGAGAATCACTACACCTAAGCCTCATCTTCTCCCTTTTAAAATGGGATGACACTGCCTGTCTCATGAGATATTCTGAGGACCAAATGTCTACACTGGTTAAAAAACAAAACATCTGGGACACCTGGGTGGCTCAGCGGTTGAGCACCTGCCTTCGGCCCAGGGCATGATCCTGGAGTCCCGGGATCAAGTCCCACATCGGGCTCCCCGCATGGAGCCTGCTTCTCCCTCTGCTTGTGTCTCTGCCTCTCTCTGTGTGTCTCTCATGAATAAATACATAAAATCTTAAAAAAAAAATCTTGACACTTGGACACTCAGCCATTCAGTGACTCCTACTGAGCACTATAGCAGCCAGATTACCCCTACACAACGCTCCCAGTCTAGAGGGAGACAAGGAATCTCAGTGCCTGGGGACACTAGCCTCTAGCTGAGAAGGGGGCTGGGCAGGAAGGCTGCCCCACAGGTGATCTCTGGACCGCTGACTGAAGGTGACACAAGAGGGGCCGGAAAGCGTATAAAGCCAAGCAATGAGAGGGTGCAGGGTGTGGCCCACGTGGCAGAAGTGATGGGTGGGATAAGAAATAGGGCCAGACTCAGAATCTACATGTTCATCTACTGTGAAAAGGACAAGTAGAAGGACCATGGAATGGGTGGGTGGGACACTGCAGGTAGGAACTATGACCCCACGCACCTTAATCATGTCATCCATGATGTGCACATCAAAGCCTTCGCAGTCACCACAGGGACTCCGGATCCGCCACAGGTCCTATGAGGAAGGCACAGCCCTTGTCGACACCCAGCTGGGGATGGACATCACAGGTTCTGTAGGACAGCACACAGACATCCACACCCACCCAGAGACATGGAAGAGTGGTGACAAGAGCAAGAAGGGCCACTGAAGTCAGGCTGGGAGTACCCCAGTCCCAAATCTGAGGCACACGTTGCTTTTCCTGCACACCTGGAAGAGATCCTAAGGTGCTCAGAAGTATCAAGGATCCGGGATGGTCACTCAAATCTGCAAAGTCTCACATGACCCCAAGTCCTCTCCCACAGGGGACAATTGGCCAGAGCCACTGGGATGGGGTTTCTTTGGGAAATCTGTAAACCAGTTCCTGAGGCTCTGCACCCATGAACAGAGCATGAGGGCAATGGGAGGAAGAGGACCAGAAGAGCATTCTGGTCAGCCAATTTTATGTCCTGTTTCCAGGATATATGCCTGGGAATGAGCCTCATTCCCACATTCCCTCCTGGGCCACGAAAGCCAGAAGTCCTGTGGAAATCTCATTAAGTAAATAAACAATACAGAAGAAATGCCCAGAAAATAAGCTATGGAGCCACTGAGCTACCATGGATAAAGTAGCTCTTATCAAAGAAATATCAAAGGAGGTTCACTCTACTTCTCAGGCTGAAAGCACTTCAAAATCCTTTTAAGAAGAAATGCCTTTCCCAAAACGACTTTGTGACTGGTTCTGCTTTGATGAGAAAATTAAAATGAAGCTTTTCAATTTTTTCTTACATAAAGAAGCTGACTCTCCATCTCAAAATGCTTTTAACAACTAGAGTGCCAGTTCTTAGTAAGAGCAGAGTGAGCTGCGCAGCATGTCTTCTGAAACTCATTTATGTTTTTTAACTATTCTGATAAGGGATAATTATAAAATGACAACGCACAGCCATTTCCATTTCGTATGCCGAATTACTGCATTTGTACAAAGGCAAGCCTCTTCCATTCAACCCTGCAGTGAGCTGATACAGAAAAGCAGAGGCTCATATCATTAAGACTCACATTGCTCTATCTGCACTCGAGGTCTCTGCAAGAAAACAAGGACCTCCGCCTCCCACCCCTTCTACAACTTCTGGGTGGCCTACCCTGAACTCCACAACCACAGCATACAGCGAAGCAGCCTGGGGCATCACCACTGCACCAGGTCCCAGATGCTGGTCCACAGCAGTCCGCACATACCAGAAGTACAGGTTGTGCCATGGCAGCAGGCTAGTGGTGAAGAACGGCTCGCCCAGGAGAAGAGATACCTGGCAATCAGAACAAGAAGCAGGACCAAGGTATCAGAATGATTCAGCTAAGAGTGAAGGACAAGTTACAAGTTTCATGGGAAGGGGGCGTCTGGGTGGCTCAGTTAGTGAAATGTTGTCTTCAGCTCAGGTCATGATCCCAGGGTCCTGGGATTGAGCCCCTTTGTCGGGCTCCCTGCTCAGAGGGCAGTCTGCTTCTCCCTCTGCCCCTCCCCATGCTCATGCTCTCAAGTGCTCTTTCAAATAAATAAATAAAATCTAAAAAAAAAAAAGTTTCATGGGAAACAGGAAATAAAAAGGCATTCATTCACTCACTCAGTCAACCAACGGGTATGCCAGGTCTACACCTGCCCTAAAGGACACAAAGATGAGAAGTAGACACAAGCCATGCCCACAGGAGCGTAGAGTGGAAGAGGGAACAGAAAAGGCTGGCAGCGCAGTAAGCTCTGCAGACAGAGGTGAAGAAGGGACATGTGGAAGGACCCTAGAGGGAACAGCTTCCTGAATGGCATCCTGTAGGTAGATCCCCACTCAAAGCTTTATCATGACAAACTGTCATCAGTACTCCTCTAGCAGTCTTCCCCACTAGGTTCTGCGTACCACAAAAGTGGGGACATTGGCAGCACAGTATCCCCAGCACCCTGCCAAGTGCTTGGCCTAGAGCAGATGCTCAGCAAATGTCTGCTGAGTAAATTAACTAATGCATGAATAGGAGTCAGAAAAGCAAAGGACTAGGAATTGAGCAGAGGGATGCAGGGACAAAAGTACAGGTGTGAGAGCAAGGCCCTTCGGGAGCTTGTTACATGAGCAAATGGGTCAGGGTCGGTAAAGAGTAAGGCCAGAAAAGTAGAGAGAAGCCAGGTCACCCAAAGGCAGCTGATGACAGGCCAAAGGGACTGGACTCTTTCCTGGAGGTAAGATGGGATCTCTAAATGCCTTAATCAGGGGCTCAAAATGAGGAGTGTGTTTTAGAAAGGGCCCTCTGAAACCATGAAGCATGTGGAGACACCATCTGCAAGGAGCGTGGGCACAGGAGAGGACTTAGGACTTGGGTGAGTACAGCAATGGTCCAAGCAAGGAGTAGAGAGTGTACAGAAGGAAGAACTGGGAGATGCAGCAGAGGCTGAGGAGATAGGGGACCCAGGGCTAGGCCCAAGCAGATGGGCATCAAGGGAGGGGCCAGTCTCAAATGATACCTAGGTGTCTGGCTGAGGTAAGGAAGATGCAGAAGGAAACACTGAAGATAGAAAAGGTTGGCCCTGAGTACCCCCTACCCTGCAACATCAGAACAAGGCAAGAATGCCTGGTCTCACCCTTCTAGTCACCACTCTAGTGACCTGGAGTCTAGCTGGTACACCATTATCAGTGGCTTATAAAACTAGAATATGTTTTTTCTTTTTTAAGATTTTATTTATTGGGGATCCCTGGGTGGCTCAGCGGTTTAGCGCCTGCCTTTGGCCCAGGGCACAATCCTGGAGTCCCGGGATCGAGTGCCGCGTCGGGCTCCCAGCATGGAGCCTGCTTCTCCCTCCGCCTGTGTCTCTGCCTCTCTCTCTATGTCTATCATAAATAAATAAAATCTTTTTTAAAAAAAGATTTTATTTATTCATGAGAGATGCAGAGACACAGGCGGAGGGAGAAGCAGGCTACCTGTGGGGAACCTGATGTGTTACTCAATCCCAGGACCCCAGGATCACGACCTGAGCCAAAGGCAGACACTCAACCAGTGAGCCACCCAGGTGCCCCTAAAACTGGAGTATCTTTTTAATTCTCATCTGTGAGAAGGAAAAAAGAATTCAACTTATACTGAGTATTTAGATAGCAGGCAGTCAAAACCAAAAAGTGGAAACAACCCAAGTGTCCAGCAACTGCTCAACAGATAAACAAAATGTGGTCTATCCATGCAATGGAATATTAAGTAGTAAGCAGAAATGTAGTACCAACTTACGCTACAACATGGATGAACCTTGAAAGAAGCCAGTCACAAACAGACCTCACACTTCATATGATTCCATTTATGTGAAATGTTCAGAATCAATAAATCCTTCAACAAAAAGTACATCAGGGGTTGCCCAGAGGCTGGGAGGATTGGAGACAAATGGGAAGTGACTGCTAATGGGCACAGGCTTTCTTTTTGGACAATGAAAATGTTCTAAAACTGATTATAGTGATGACTGTATAGCCTTATGAATGTACTAAATCACTAAATTCCACAAAGTAAATGGGTGAATTGTATGGCACATGAATTACATCTCAAAAACACCCTTTCTTAAAAAAAAAAAAAAAAAAAAAGGCATGGGGGAATAAAACGGGCAAAAGAATATCTAGACTAGCTATTTCATCAAACTGGACATGGAACAGCTAATGAACACATAGAAAGGTGTTAAAAAAAAAAGAAAGGTGTTCAACATCATTAGTCATTAGGCAAATACAAATCAAAACTATGAGATATTATCGCACACCTGCTAAAATGACTCTAATAAAAATGATAGACAATACCAAGTGTTGATAAAGATAAGAAAAACTGGAACTTTCATACATGTTACTGGTGAGAATGTAAATAGTATAGTTGCTTTGGACAACAGTTTACCAGTATCTTAAAAAGTTAAAAAACACCACACAACTAAACAATCCCAAGTCTAAGCATCTAAGAAAATTAAAAACATATATCCTCACAAAGACTTATATATCCATGCTCAAAGCAGCAATGGCAGCACGCCTGGCTGGCTCAGTCAGAAGAGCATGGGACTCTTGATCTCGGGGCTGTAAGTTTGAGCCCCACATCAGACAGACTCAAAGATTACTTAAATAAATAAAGCTTTTAAAGTAATCTAAATTTTAAAAATCTAACTGTATCAGTTTCCTTCTAAAACTAAAAAAAGGGATCCCTGGGTGGCGCAGCAGTTTGGCGCCTTTGGCCCAGGGCGTGATCCTGGAGACCCAGGATCAAATCCCACATCGGGCTCCCGGTGCATGGAGCTTGCTTCTCCCTCTGCCTATGTCTCTGCCTCTCTCTCTCTCTCTCTCTATCATAAATTAAAAAACAAAAACAAAAAAAAACTAAAAAAAGAAAATGTTCATAGCAGCAGTATATAATAGCCAAAAATAGTTTTTGGAACAATCCAAATTCCATCAACAGGTGAATGGATAAACAAAATGTGGCACAGCATACCATTCAGCATTAAAAATGAACAAAATACCGGCACATTCTACAACATGGGTGAACCTCAAAGGTGTGACTAGTGAAAGAAGCCCAACACTAAAGACCACTTATTGTTTTATTTCACTTACATAAAATGCCCAAGAAAAACAAATTTATAGACAGAAACCAAATCAGTGCTTGCCTGGGGCTAGGGGTTAGGGATGGAAATGTTCTAAAACTAAAAACGTAAAATAGTTGTACAACTCTATAAATTTACTAAAAATCAGGGGCACCTGGGAGGCTCAACTGCTGAGCCACCAGGCATCCCTGAATAAAATCTTAAAAAAAAAAAATTACTAAAAATCATTGAGTTAGACACTTGACACGGGTTAACTTTATGGTATGTCAATTACATCTCAGTAAAACTGTTTAAAAAAAAAAAAAGTTGGCAAAGAAAGATGATCAGTTCCAGCTTGAAGGGCCTGCAGGATATGCAAGGAAAGCTATCCAGTACTCGGACATAAGAGATTTGCAGACCCGGCTTTGGCAGCCAAAGGTTCCCTTATAGGAAAGGATGTGACCACCCAGAGAGGGGCCACAGAGGGAGAGGAGAGAAGAGCCAAGGAGAAAGCATCAAGGAACATTGCCACAGGAGGATCAAACGAAGGAATAGAAACCCATGAGAACCTGAGGAGCAGCTAGAAAGACAAAAACCTGGAAAACTAGTCTCTCTTTTTTTTTAAGATTTGAGAGAGAGAGAGAGTGAGAGCAAATACATACAGGGGGAGTGTCGGGGGTGAGAGAGAACCTTAAGGAGATTCTCTGCTGAGGGCGGGGCTCCACAGGGCTTGATCCCACAACCCTGAGATCACAACCTGAGCCGAAACCAAGAGTTAGAGGCTTAACCAACTAAGCCACCAGGTGCCGGGATCCCTGGGTGGCGCAGCGGTTTGGCGCCTGCCTTTGGCCCAGGGCGGATCCTGGAGACCCGGGATCAAATCCCACATCGGGCTCCCGGTGCATGGAGCCTGCTTCTCCCTCTGCCTGTGTCTCTGCCTCTCTCTCTCTGTGACTATCATAAATAAAAAAAATTAAAAAAAAATATTAAAAAAAAAAAAAAAGCCACCAGGTGCCCCTAAAAAAAAGCAGTCTCTTAAGGACCTAAAAAGAAATAGAAAGAAAGAAAGAGAGAGAGAGAGAGAGAGAGAGAGAGAGAGAGAAGAGAGAGAGAGAGAGAGAGAAGAGAGAGAAGAAGAGAGAAGAGAAAGAAAGAGAAGAAAGAAAGAAAGAAAAGAAAGAAAGAAAGAAGAAAGAAAGGAAAAGAAAGAAAGAAAGAAAGAAGAAGAAAGAAAGAAATGTGTTAAGAAGGCCTCTGGGTCATAAGGGTCCAGGAGGCTGGTGAGAGGAAATGTGTGGGAATACTGTAGTTAGTTTCTTGGGTCACTAAGAAGTAGTTTCAGAGGCACACAGGGCCAGGGGAGATGGGGTCAGAAGACCAGCTGTGAGACACAGATCAACCTCAGCGGTGGCAGGAAAGCAGCAGAAATGCCAAAGGTGAACGAAAACACGGGAGCAGATGGAGCTGGAGCGCTGTGCAAGGGGAGGGTAGAGAGGCGACAGGACGCTGCTATTCATCCCACCACAGCCATTGTGCCCTCACTCGGAAGGAGCAGAGATCAGCTGGAGTTCAGAGCAATGCAAGAATCTGCACAGCAGGCATCTACACCACGCCTCACCACACCCTCACGGTGGCCAGGTGAGGTGTGGGGCTAGCTGGGAGAAGAGAAGAGGGGGCGCTCAGGCCAGGTCAGTGCTATGCTGTCCATGCAGATACACAGCCCCTCGCCACTCACCTTTTTACCTTCCAAGTCTGCAGATGTTAACAACTCAGGCCGTTTCTCTATTATGTTAATTTTATCTTCCAGGTGGTTAGCCTTGAAAATCTTAACAAGAAAAAAAAATAGAAAGTATTGTTTTTGTCCAGAAAAAAACATCTCAAAGTTGCCTTGTCTGTTTGAAGTTTTCTGTCAAATAGTTCTAGAGCACCACTTTTATCTGCTTTGTGAAAATTCTCTCCTCCAGGGGCTTCCTGTGCACCAAGGATGAGAGCACTAACAAAATGCTGTAACAGCAAAAGAAATTTCTCCCGCAGGTATAACAGCAGGACTCAGCAATAGGACTGTAGTTCTGGGAGTTTCCTTCAAAGAGGAAGAAATCAAAACCAATCACTGGCCAGGGGAGAAACACCATCACAGAACTAACCAGTCAGGCCAGCTTGTGAGCAGTGACTCCCTGGGCGCTGGGTCCCAGAAACAAATCATAAATTCAGTTGTATCACTGCAAAGATTTTAGTTTTGTTAGCTTTATGTGAAGTGAGGAGAAAAGCCATAAAAAACAAAGCAGAGTCTGAATGTTTGCTGCTATCCACTGACAGCCCAGGAACACTTCTGAGCCAGCTCTCAAGGTGGGAGTTCTCACTTGCTCCCTTAGTGCCAACACAGCACACAGCAATCAATCCCAGACTCGGGAAGGCAGGCTCGCCTGGTCCCCTCGTTATTTCGGTAACAAAAATCACCACTTACTTTTTTCATCAGTCTGTGCGAAGCTGCTGAGCTCTCTATTGTAAACACCTAAAGAGAATACCATGCTTTTAGTGGTAGGAGATTCAACTGATAGAAAAAGAAATTAAAGATTAAACACCAACAAGACCATCCCAGGGCAGAAGGTACCACCCAACCAGGTCTACCGGTATTCATGACCCACAGGGACAGCACCCCCTCTTTCAGCACTGACCCTAGCAAGGTACAGACTCCGTCACCAGAGCTGCAGCTACATGGGGATAGCTACAGCCTGGCTCCTGCCTGCACACAGAGCAATAAGCCCCAAAGCCCCCGCACCCGTGGCAGCTGTGCTTACAAAGAGCTTGAGTCACAGAACTGTGTACCCAGACCATGAAACAGTCAAACTCAGGAGCCACCTTCAGGAAGCTGACAGAATGGTGCATGTCCAGTACCTGCTCTGCCCCAAGGTGATGGGCCAGCAAGGAGAGCAGGCTGCCATCACTGACGCACAGGCACACACTGTCTGGCTTCAGCATCTGCAGGAAAAGAACCACCCAACTCCTGTTTTCTTATAATAGGTCAAAAAATACTTGTTGGCAAACTAACAGAAATGCTTCCCTTCCCCGGACCCCACCAACTCACTCTGTGATCCTTTAATCCAATTCTAACCACTCAACACCCAGCTGGATCTTCTCTCCAATGTATCCACTCATCCACCTCTCTCCACCCAGACCTCACTGTCAGAGAAAGCTCTCCTCAAGCTGTCCTAGAAGGCCCTACTGAAGATCTGCCCCACTTGCTGGAGGCCATCTCCCCGTCTATAAGCCTCTTCTCTCTGGTCACAGCACAGACAGCTGTGGGTCTGTCGAGTGACTCGCCAAAGACAGGAATTATTTTTTATGTCCCAGATCCCTCTGAGAGAAACTTAAGACAGTTGGGCTCTCCTTCCTGCAAAAATGCATCGATTCACATATGTACGTTTCTGCATACAACTCCAAGAGGCCCAAGAGACACCCCTCCAAACCCTGTGTTGTCCTGGCCTGAGAGACCCCTGCTACAGGCAGCAGGGAACACAGGTTTTCAGGCAGGAGAGTTAAAAAACCAGATATATATTTTTGAGAGTTTTAGGAGGCAGCAGATGAAAGGAAGAACAGGTGGCTGAGTCTACTGGGATCACTCAAGGAATTGCTAGTGACCACAAAAGCCAAGTGTTTAGAAGAACAAAAGGCAGGGGCCAGGGTAAGGATCTCAGGCAGAGGCTCTCACAGGAGAGCAGAGAACAAGCCCTCACAAAGTCCAGTAACATCCTCCCTGCCTCATCACCTGAGGGCCCACCTAGAAGCCATCTGAAGACTAGGGAGCACAGTAATCAAAACCAACAAACTATAAGCAAGCAATGAGCTGGGGTCCGTGGGACAAACTCCTTCTTACCTACAACCACCTGAGAGGCTGGACACTTACTGTTCTCAGGGCCTGGACATACTGATCAGTTCTGTCCTGATCATTGATCTCTCCAAACCGAGGCCGGTTCCAGAGCAGGTGAGCTTGGCAGTCGCACACAGGGCGTGCTGGGTAGACACCCCCATTCTTTTCAGGACTGGGCCAGGAAATGAACAGATAGACACATATCATGAGCATGATCTTTTAGGAACTGGCAGGCATGAAGGCATGGCACAGGGGTCTTCCCAGGTAAAACAGATGGGCCATCGTGAGCATATGCACATCCTCTAGAGGGCATGAGTCTAGGAACTGGCTTTAGATGGGCATTACAGGTTGGAGGGCCCCCCCAATTCAAGATTTCTCATTTATGTCTCTTCCAAATGGGGGCCCTACACCTGGGGCAGCCTCTTCTGAGTACAGGACAGTGGATGCTAACACATTCAGTCACAAACTTTTGCTCTTATTTTATTCTGTTCAGACGCAAACCTGCCCACTTGAGCCTCTACAGGGTTTCTAAGGTAAACTTATATAAGTGCACAATGACACCAGCCCAGCGCACGCTACCCACACTAAGATTCAGGGCATACCTGGTCCTCTGGAGGCTGTACCATACACAATAGTCATCGTGGTGGGCTACCAGGAAGAGGCTTGAGCCTTGGACAACGGGCTCTTCTTGTGGCAGGAAGTACACACACTGCATCCAGTGGTCCCGCCACTGAAAAAGGGAAGAAAGAATCAGCTGTCCCCCAAAAAAGCAACATTTCTAAACCAAGAGTCAAAATCCAAGCCAAAAAATCCACTTGCAGGGAGACCAGGCCATGTACTACAGATGCCTACTCTTGTCAAAGAAATAAAATTCTCAAGTCAGAGAGGCTAATGGCCAGAAAGCTTGCTGGAACACTGCTGGCTTTAGAAGGATAAATGTAGCCCAAGACAGCAATATTCAAGAGGGGCTCAGGAGAGGGGACTCCAGTCTCTGTCCCATGTGCATGTGTTCATGTGCACGCCTCTACCTCACGTGTGTGTGTGTGTGTGTGTGTGTGTGTGTGTACACATGCAATGAAGGGAAGAAGAGAGGGAAAATGGAGGCAGAGAGAGAAAGCAAATGTTAACAACTGGTAATTCTAGGTAAAGGGCATATATCAGTGTTTATTTTCATTTATTCTGGATTTAGAATTTTCAAAATAAAAAGTGGGGAAAATAGTACAGAAAGGTTTTGTTCTGTTTATTCTTTTGAATTAAATAGTTTTTAGAGGCACCTAGGTGGCTCAGTCCGTTAAGCCTCTAACTCTTGATCTCAGGTCCAGTCCTGATCTCAGAGTCGTGAGTTCAAGCCCCATGTTTAAAACAATATAGTTTTTAGAAGGCCTGGAATACTCTAAATTGTGAAACATACTTTATGATGATACAGAATCAACCTTTAATAAGCTGTGTTGTTCCTTTTCAACACTATAAACCCCACACACAGGATACTTTGCTATGGAAAAACAAAGAAAAAAAGCTACATATGAACAGCCTTACTAAAACCAGCACCAACCCAAATGTCAGGCAGCTCACAAATGGACCTACAGGCCTTTATACAGAGTATCAGCAGCACTAAAAATGGTAACTGAAGACCGATGCAGCACAAAAACACAGGAATTGACACCGACAATACTTGTGCATATGGAAAGAGATCAAAAGAAAGACGTTCTCTGTAGTGATAGGATCCCGAGTAACTTTGGATTAATTTTTGTTTTACATAAGGTTTATTACTCTAGAGCATCATCCTTAAGCCTCTTGTTATTTTTCCATTTTTTAAGCCTCTCTTTAAAAAAGAAAGAACTATCCTGAAAAGTAGGTGCCTGGCTCAATTCTGATTAAGTGTGTGCTCGCTCATTCTCTGTCGTTGGCAGGAACTAAGAAAAACTTGGTCTCTGGGAGACTCCAGAGCACCACTGGGTGCAGATGCAAACAGAGCGGACACCAACCCGCTTCTCAGGAACACATTCTGCCCTACCCAGATTTGAATTTAACTGAAAGGCAGGTGAATGACATTCCCAGGTATCTAAAATGTCTACTTGAACATAAAAGCTAGAAAATGGTATAACTAGACACAGTAGAAAAAGTAAACACTGGGCATCCCCAGTGGCCCAGTGGTTTAGTGCTGCCTTCAGCCCGGGGTGTGATCCTGGAGACCCAGGATCGAGTCCCACATCGGGCTCCCTGCAGGGAGCCTGCTTCTCCCTCTGCTTGTGTCTCTGTATCTCTCTCTGTGTCTGTCATGAATAAATAAATAAAATCTTAAAAAAAAAAAGAAAAAGTAAACACTAACAAGGAGGGAAAAATAGGCTCTCTGAAACCTGTTGTTCATTCCTTACTATGCAAATTGACCCAAAGACAAGAGAAGTCTTCCCCAACCCCTCCAGGGCTCCCATAACACTCCCTGACCATTGTGTCCTCCTAGGTCCTGACCCTAAAGGGCTGTTGACGGAACCTACTGGCCAAGGTGAGAGACTGAATGTATTTCAGCCCACGAGCAGTTTAGTGAAGTCATGAGGGAGATCCATTAGTAGCTCTTCAAATTTCTAACAATCCATGTCACTGCTGGTAAACGAAGGATACACACCTCACAGGAGACCTGGGACAAATATCCAGCACTGCTGCTTGGACATGGGCCCTGCTCCAATCACTGGGTCTGGCCTCAGTCTCAGTTTGGGCATTATGTGGTTACCCAGCACCTCTTGTAAGAAGATTGGAGGAGAAAATATAGAGTAGCACAGTGAAGATATGTAAATGAAGTATTAGCATTCTATATTCTTATGCTAATTTTGTGTCCATCACACAGAGGAAGAAAGCAGCCCAGTGTCTATCTCAATTCTGTGGGTGAATTCTGATCACCCCTTCTGGCCCCCAAATACTCACATAGCCTGAAGAGGGCCAGGCAACTGGAGAGTAGAGGGGAGATGGGGGGACCTCACATGCCCAGGGGTGGGGGAAACCAACTGCAATCCTGCAGCAGTCATGACTCTTTGGCCTAAGCAGTAACTTGGAGAGCAGGGGAGCAGCGAAGGCCATCCCACTGATGTCATCCTGTGTACACCTAGAATCAGCAGGCCAGCAATCAAGATAAACCCAGGGCCCAAACAAGTAACAGGACAACAGAATACAGAGAGAATGATGCCCAAGGCCTCCCACATAGAGAAGTGATGCCTTTTTTTTTTTTTTTTTTTTGGAAATGTTGGTGACGTTGGTGAGGTCCAAGGCCAATGGCCAAGAAAGAATTCTTGAGACATCCTCGGTGTGAAATGGTGGTTTTATTAGAGCACAGTGACAGGACCTGTGGGCAGAAAGAGCTGCTGCACTAGGGATGTGAGGGGTGGCTGATTATAAACTTGGGAGTTGGGGGAGGTAAGGAAAAAGAGAGGTTTCAAAAGAACTTCTAGGGATCCCTGGGTGGCGCAGCGGTTTGGCGCCTGCCTTTGGCCCAGGGCGCGATCCTGGAGACCCTGGATCGAATCCCACATCGGGCTCCCGGTGCATGGAGCCTGCTTCTCCCTCTGCCTATGTCTCTGCCTCTCTCTCTTTCTCTCTCTGTGACTATCATAAATAAAAAAAAAATAAAAATAAAAAAAAATTAAAAAAAAAATCAAAAGAACTATATGCTAACAAGGGCCTACAAGATACTGGGGGCCTCACCATTGCCAAGTTGAGGTTGTTTTTCCCTCTAGTAAAGCATTAACATTAGACAGCTGGGAGTTTCTTTCTGGAATTTAGGTTAGTGATAAAAATGTTTTTATTGATAAGAATGCTTTCCTCAAAAAAAAAAAAAAAAGAATGCTTTCCTCTTGCAAATCACGAAGACGCTTTGTGGGAGAGGGATGAGAGGGAGACTCTCATCCTGCAGGACCGTGATCTCTATTAGTTAACCACTTATTTTTCCTTCCCTCAGCTTTAGGGTAGCCAGGAGTGCTGAGGAATGTCACATATATCCCACCTGGGGGTGGGCGGTGGGAGGGATTGTGAAGTGTCAGCTTGTGTTTTGTTCTCAGTCTGCCTTCTGCTCCCGCATTAGAAGGAAAGTTTGACTCCTCAGCCCTGAAGTACCTTTCCCAATTTCTCTCCTTTGAGTGTGTGTAGAGGAAGGAGACAACACATGCACATGAGTTAAAATTCAAAAGATATAAAAGGGTGGTGGAGTGAAAAATAAGTTTCCTTTCCACCCCTAACCTTCAGCCCCTTTCCCAGAAGCAACCACTTTTACCAATTTCTGTGACTTCTTCCAAAGATATTTTTTTAAATTTTTTTTTATTTATGATAGTCAGAGAGAGAGAGAGAGAGAGAGAGAGAGAGAGAGGCAGAGACACAGGTAGAGGGAGAAGCAGAGGGAGAAACAGGCTCCATGCACCGGGAGCCCAACGTGGGATTCGATCCTGGGTCTCCAGGATCACGCCCTGGGCCAAAGACAGGCGCTAAACCGCTGCGCCACCCAGGGATCCCCTTCCAAAGATATTCTTAAACACACCTACCACACACGTAAACTCGGGAACGCATATATTCTCATCTTTACAAATACTAATGTTTTCATGCCACACACTGTTCAGCACCGCTGCTTTTGTTTCATTTAATGACCATCCTGGAGATTGCTCTCTATCAGTGCTAAGGGATCTGCCTCACCCTCTGAATGGATATAGCACAAGAGACTTAGTTAGTCCCCTACTGGTGGCCTCTAGGTTAATCTAGGCTTTATTATTATTATTTTTTTTTAACTAAGTCAGGGCTGCAGTGAATATCCTGACACACTATTATATGCATATGCCAATCTACCCAGAGCCTAAATGTCTAGAAGTGGTGTCCCTTCCCATGGTGATGGATTGAGCCTCCCTGCATTCCATGGAAGATCTGATGCTCGTTGGCCTACTTTTCCCCACAGCTTCACCCAGAGCACATCACCAAACTTTCTGAACTTTATCACTAACAGGTGGAAAATAATGTCTCACTGTAGTTTACAATTGCAGTGCTCTTATAAGTGAGGCCGAACAACTGTTCACATGTTAAAACAGTCATCTTTTCCTAGTTCATATCCTCCACCCACTATTAAGCTGGAAAAATTTTGAAGTCATGGAAAATGAAGCTGTAGACAAACTGTAGTCCTCCATTCCAGGCTGATCTGAAGCCTCCTGGGATTACCTGGGGGCAAGGTGTAGGGGCTCTGAGATTGGCTGTGCAAGGGAGAGCCAGCACACCAAAGCTTTCCTGTGACCCCATGTCTGCGCCTGAACTCAGCGGAGAGGTCTGTCTTGTATCTTAGGATAGGTAGTCTTGTCTTTTTGTTGTTCTTGTTTTGTAACTCTTCTCTGACAGGGGCACCTCGGTAGTTCAGTCAGCTGAGCATCCGACTCTTGATTTCGGCTCAGAGCATGATCTTGGGGTTGTGAGACTGCCTGTGTCAGGCTCCACACTCAGTGTGGAGTCTGCTCTCCTCCTCTCTCTGCCCCTTTTTCCCTATTCTCTCTAAAGTAAATTAAAAAACAAAAAAACAAAAAAACCCCTTCTCTGACATTAATCCTGACACAGTCCTTCTGTCTCTAAACTCCTGTGAATTTAGGGTTCAACATGCTACTTTTCCACAACCTAAAGTGGACAAGTTTCCTGATTTACATAAAAACATGCTCAACTCCTGCCTCTTACCTGGAGCTCCTCTGGGTCTGAGTGTGCCCAGAAGGGGGCCATAGTGCACTTGATCTTCCCCTCGGGGTCCATTTCAATATCCCACCAGGAGAGAACCACCTGAGCTCGGCCAGATGCCAGGGGTTCAAACTGCCGGCTGTGGCAGGCTGCAGAGCTACTGACTTGCTTGCTAAAGTCCACACTGTGGAAGAAGATGCAGCAACTTAAACATATTTCAAGCTCATGCACTCCGTTTTCTTAGCTTTTAAGGTGATATCACCAGCAATGAGACTTGTTTGCAACAGACTCCTGCCTTCAGAAGCAGGTGACATCAGCTAGATTTCCTTTTCACTCATAAAGAACTTCTAAAGACCCCAATTCCACCAAATATCTCAAAGCACCATGGCCTGGGGCGGCTCTTTGGTACCTGAACATAGGAAGCACATCACTGAGGACGGTGAAGTCAGTGGATGACACCTGGTTCAGTTGAATGTCATAGACAGAGGGTGCACCAGGGCACCTCTCCAGCTCCAAGGGGGGAACTATGACCTGCTCTCCATGGATGGTCTGGACATGGACAGGAAAGAGTCTATTCCATGACCACATCCTCCTGGACTCCACCAGCTGAGCGTAGACAGTTGCTCTGTGAGGCACTGCTTCACAGTTTTCCTATGTTAAAAAAAAAAAAAAAAGAATAGAAAAATAAACCAGTATATATAAAATAAACCCACAGCAATTCTCAGTGATCAAAAGAGGCTTGTTCCTTAATATCAGGTTGGCTTAGTAGCATCTAATGCCTTACCACTGTCAGGACAGTGAACTGTTTTTGGCCTAATGTGCTTGAGGAAGAAAAAAAAGGACCAGGTTTCAAAAATACACATGATGCCTAAAATGATTTATGTCAGATAAGTTCCTAACTACCTGACACTCTTAAATACTCCAAAAATAATCCTTAATTATCATCATGCTGCTTAACTCCCACACCAGCTTTGAAGAAAGAGTCCAAGTCTTGCTAAGCAGTGATTCTGGCACTGGGCTCTGAGCTTCTCTTCAGCACAACTCTCACCGAGACACCAGAATCTTTTTATTTATCCACAGCCCGATGGATAAATGTCCACCCTCAGGTAACCTGACATCTTGGCCTCACAGGGCACTGCCAACCACTGTCCTCATTTGGTTCTGGCCGCAGGGCCTCATCCAGTTTCCCTCCTACCTCATCCTTTCACCCAACAGCCTCTGCACACCAGGCACCTGGTCCCAGCCATGAAGAGGATACTCACAGCTACTCCTGCAGGGAAATGACAGGCACGGGGTTTCCATGCCTCAGTACTAGAGACATCTTGGGTCAGATGATCCTTTGCTGTGGGGCTGTTTTGTACATCATACTTTGTTCATTAATGTCCCTGGCCTCTATCCACAATATGCCAATAGCATCCCCCTCTCAGTTATGACCCAAAAAATGTCTCCAGGCATGGCTCTGGATGAGAAGTTATGGTTCTCTCCCTCTGGCTGCTTCACAAGGCTGTGCTTCCGCTACCCACCCTTCACAGAGAGGACTCCCCCAGAGTCCTGGTCCGGCCCACCTTTCTCTCTTTCCATACACTCTCCCCTGACAGACCTCAGTCCATCTTCATTTACCAAATACCATGGAGCCAAAAGCCTCTTGGTCCTATTTGTCTGACCCTCAGATAGCTCAAACTCTGTCTAAACCAAACAAATCATCTTTACCTCTCCTCTTCCTTCCCAAGCCTGGTCTTCCTCCCACCTTCTCATTCAATAGGGAGCACCACCATCCAATCCAGTCACCCAAGCCCCAAACCCTGGCATCATCCTCAATGCCTCCACATCTAAGGAATTACCAAGTCCTTGAGCACCTTCCTCCCCGGCAAGTCTACCTCTCCATGACCATTTCTCTGGTCTCAGCTGAGACCCATCTCAACTCCAGAGCCTGGATGACTCCTACCACCTTCTCACCAGTCTTCCTGTCCCTGATCTTGCACCCCAAATGCTCTCCACATGCCTAAGTGAATCCAATGTCAATCCCCTGCTTAAAACCTTCCCTGTGGTACTATACTGCCTTCTGCAACACAGTGACCCATCTCAGTCTAGTCCTGCCCAGCTCCCCAACCTGAGCCCTAACCCCATCTCCCACACCACCCACAATGCCAACAACTCACACCATACCAGCTCATCCTCCCATCTTTGTGCTGATCTCCTCTATTGAGAACACCCTCACGTGCCAGGCCAACACTTGATTATTCCTCAAGACACTTAGCTCAAGCTTCATCTTCCTTGATGCTCCCCATTTTCCCCTCCCACAACGGGCAGGTTCTCACCCCACTGACCACCATCTGGGCATAACCTCCAATTATACTGTGATAACTTGCTCACCTACCTGCCTGTGTGGGAGCTCACCTTCATATTCCTGGCACTCAAAAAAGGGCCTGGCAAAATGAAGGTGCTCAATAAATTTATCTTCTCAGACCAATCATCACTACATGGACTACCTGTCAGACATGCCAGCATCCTGTTTACATGACCTCCAATAAGGCAGGAAGAGGGGACAGGGCAATGGAAGCTTTTGTGTAAAGCCATAACTCTTCCAAGCTCAGACACAAGGTGGGCAGATGGGGGCAATGATTAGAACAGACAAGGGACACATGGCTACTCAGACCAGCTGAGAAAGGAAACTGTGGACAGCTGCCTGCACACCTTCTTAACTATTAGATGAATTAGAGAAAGACCAATTAGCCAACACTAATGTAATTTTAAATATCCTTGTTCTCTATTTCAGGGATTCATCTAGTTGATGGTTTTAATGTGGAGAAACAGAAATAATTACTACCCAAGTTACTAGAAGAAGATTTTACATTTTAGAGGCTAAGAGACATCTCACACAGTATGAGGATCTGTGGAATAATCACCATCTCAGGCTTACCGTGTAACATGGAAAGTGGCCCCAATTGCTCTGGAATGAGCCACATTCTTCACTCCGGGCACACCAAAAATCTCCAAAAAAAGGGTCTTAGTCTGGGACAGTTGCAGGCTCACCTAGATGGTGCCCACAGGACAGGTGGCAGCAAAAGAAACAGACACTCCTATCTCCCCGCTGGCCTTTGCCTCTGGGGATGTTTACGTCCATAAAAAAGCAAGACCAACATCTCCTAAAAAACACTGTCAGCATGCCTCTCCCTTCCTAAAAAAACGGTCAAAGATTATCAGTACCCAAATTCTTTTGCCTAGAATGGCTTGGCATTCAAGGCCTTCCACCCTCTCCCCTACTTTCCACCATTACCTCAGAAACCGACCTGGGGCATGTTCCCACGACATACCAAAAAAACAGGTCCACTACCTGGGATACCTTTCCCTCTCCTCGGTGCCTCTCCAAGTTCCAGCCTCTCTACATACACCCTCGTCTCCTGATCCCTGACCTCATCTGCCAGTCAGAAAACATATGTGAGTGGTGCTTCTGTCTGCCTCTCTAATTGGCCCATCAGGTCCACACCATCACTGACCAGTATGGGTCTAAGAAACAAGAAGGTTGTCTTATAATTCTCCCTGGATGCTAGAACACTTTATACACAGGTGACATTCAAAGAATCTTTGCTGAAGAGAACTGAATCTGAAGACAGTTTCTTGCCTTTCAGCTCTAGCCTACAAAGACTTGATAAGAGACCCAGAATTCCTAATTAAGGAGAACCAGAGTCTCACAGGAATCAAGCATAGCCTAGGGTATACAGAGAAGGACGGAGGGTTCAGGTTGTGCAGAGCATGGGGCACCAAACAGACCTGTGTGAGCCAGCTGAGATCACAACAATGTACCTAGGGGAGGCCCTGGTTACCTGCACAAGGTGTCTGTGAGCATGCTCATAGGAGGGCAGTGCTCCCTCTCCAATCAGTTCTGTGTCAAACAGCTCCGTGATCAGGATATTGGCACGGCATGGCATGTCACCATCTGAGAAATACAAGGAAACAGAGCCAGAAGCAAACAATCAATAAGAAAAAATATTTACAGCAAATACGTGGAAGATAAAAGGTTAACAGAATATTACACTGAAAGCACATACAGATATATCCAAGTAACTAGAAATGTCATGCAATTAACTTTCTAATGGCTCACCAAAAAACCCATTTTGATATACATATAACACATCAAAATACTAGCAACTGGTAAATCTTGGTTAAGAGAATGCAGGTATTTGCTACATCTCTCTTTCAATTTTTCTGTATGTTTGATATTGCAAGGGGCTCACAGAACTGATAAGAAAACTAAAGCATTCAAGAAGAAAACCAGACAAAAATACAAATAGACAATTCAAAACAGAAAAATTAATCAATCAAATATCTGGAAAATGTTTCATTCTTATTAGCAACTGGAGAGCTACAAATTAACAATTCAACTACTAACGTATTACCAAAAATTATTTTAAAAGCAAAAACTGGGGATGCCTGGGTGGTTCAGCGGTTGAACAAGTGCCTTTGGCTCAGGTTGTGATCCCAGGGTCCTGGGATTGAGTCCTGCATCAGGTTCCCCATGGGAGCGTCTGCCTATGTCTCTGCCTCTCATGAATAAATAAATAAAATCCTTTAAAAAATGCAAAAACTGAACTCCAGTACTTCAAATAATTCTAGGCTGCACAAAGGGAGAGAAAACCAAAGCAAGAGAGGCTGCAGAATTCCAGTGATACCATGAAACCCAGGATTCAGCATCACTAGTTCCTTAAACCCCCCTAATTAAGCTAGTTTCTTGCTACCAAACAACCCTCCCAAATAACAGTTGTTTTGGGATAGTAAGAAGAGAGCAGGTCTTTTGGCTGACTCTGTTTCCTGAACTTCTGCAATGTAATATTACTTCTACAATTACAATTTTTAATGAGCCAGGACGCCTAGTGGCTCAGTGGTTGAGCACCTGACTGCCGCCTGGGGCATGATCCTGGGGTCCCAGGATCAAATCCTGCATCGGGCTCCCTGTATGGAACCTGCTTCTCCCTCTGCCTCTGTCTCTGCCTCTGTGTCTCTCATGAATAAGTAAATAAAATCTTAAAAAAAAAAAAAAAAAGAGAGAGAGAGAGAGAGAGAGAGAGAGAGATAGCCAGAGAGCATGAGCATGGAGGGGAGGGAGAAACAGTTCTCCACAAACAGGGAACCAGACTTGGGGGGCTCGATCCCAGGACCCTGGGATCAGGACCCGAGTTGAAGGCAGACACTTAACCAACTGAGCCAGCCAGGCAACCCCAGATGCACTTTTTAAATTTTATGAAAATTTATCTGAATAGCACTGTTTAGAAAGTGGGATAATAATTTTTATACTCTTTTGCATTATGTTTCAAAAATAAAGGGGATACTAATCCCTTTTTTGTGCATGTTTCAGTTTCTCCATTAAAAGCATTTTTTTAATTAAGTGGAACAAAAATGTTGACCTTATATACATGCTTCCTTCTAAAATACTGCATTTTAAAAAACTGTGATGATATCCACATTCCAGAAGTTTCTTTTGCAAATCTTTCCACTGTGCTCCCCAGGTATCAGTGGCATGTGAACATTTTAGAAGTCTGATTCAAACGCCTAGACTATAAAAAATATTCTCAAAACCTGGAGGGACTGTGCTATACAGGCAAATATCATGTTGGATGCTATAGTAGGATGTCAGCACTAAGCAAATCTCTTTCTGTCATCTACTTAGTTTCATTTCCGTCTGATGAAATTGAAAACTCAGAGAGCTAGGTCACATAAGAATTCGAACGTGCTTAAAGCAAAAGGAAGTTTCATTTGTACTACCACTGTTGAACATAATTAGCTCTGATTTACTCACTGCTGATTTAACTAGCAAAGAAGCAAACTGCTTATCTTAGGACCACATAGAGAGACTCCATTTTTCTGAGATTACCTGAAAACATTTATTCCAGGTAATCAGAATAAACCTTTTCTTCTCTCCTTCGAGAATAAGTAAAGCTTTCAAAAACATTACGTGTTAATCTTACCTGGTCCTACGGTCACCTCAGTGGAATGCTTGTTGATAATCTTAATTTTATCACTGAAGCCATTTTTCTCTACAATCTTCACAGCAGCATCAGCCATAGGCTTAAAAACCTAGAAATGAGAGCCAAAGCCCAAGTAAAAATGAACAATAAATTGAATAACATCCTGACACAAAAGACCAGCAAGATATGTCTTGCTAAAAGAAGTCTCCATTACAGAATTTTCTCCTAAATATATAAAATGTTGGGATCCCTCGGTGGCTCAGTGGTTGAGCATCTGCCTTTGGCTCAGGTCGTGATCCCAGGGTCTTGGGATCGAGTCCCATGGGGAGCCTGCTTCTTCCTCTGCCTATGCCTCTCCCCTCTCCCTGTGCCTCTCATGAATTTATTAAGATTTTAATCTTAAAAATAAGGGCAGCCCCAGTGGCACAGCGGTTTAGCGCCGCCTGCAGCCTGGAGTGTGATCCTGGAGACCCAGGACTGAGTCCCACTTCAGGCTTCCTGCATGGAGCCTGCTTCTCCCTCTGTCTGTGTCTCTGACCCTCTCTCTGTGTGTCTCTATGAATAAGTAAACGAAATCTTTAAAATATATATATAAAATGTACCTCTATTAGTATATGATACAGCAAAATATACCTTTGGGCTGATCTGATCTAAATAAACGAACTTTGGAACTTAAATATTTTATTCTCCAAATATGTGTTATGAAAATGAATACAAATGGAAGACATTCTGCTGGGTTTACCTTGCAGGAATTAAACCTTACATGCCTGGGATCCCTGGGTGGCACAGCGGTTTGGCGCCTGCCTTTGGCCCAGGGCGCGATCCTGGAGACCCGGGATCGAATCCCACGTCGGGCTTCCGGTGCATGGAGCCTGCTTCTCCCTCTGCCTGTGTCTCTGCCTCTCTCTATATATATGTCTCTCATGCATAAATAAATAAAATATTAAAAAAAAAAAAAAAAAAAAAACCTTACATGCCAGGCACACTGGAGAGGCAGGGCTTCCCAAGGAGGCTGCACTACCCGACAAGGACGGCAGGTGGCAGTGCACCACATTAGAGGAAGCTCGAAAGGGGACGTGCCTCACAAAACCATGAACCTGGGACCCAGGGCAGAACACGTCCTGTCCTTGCCAGAGGAAAAGTGAGACTGTTATGGTATTAGTCGTTAAGTTGGACAGGCATCAGTTCAAAACTCTCAAATCCCCGCTGCTAGCAGACAGAATACAGCTAGTCTTTTATGGTATTCGAGGCCCTCCATAATACAAACCCCTACTTCCTCCAGCCTTATTCCCCTCCCACCCTACCCTCACCCATGACTGATGCTGCAGCCACACTGATCTCACTGTGCACTAGGCAAGCCTGAGCCTTCTCTGCTCTACCTCTACCTGCCAAAGCAAACCCTACCTTCCAAGGCAGCACATATCCCCTCTTCTCCAGAAGTCTTCCTAAACCTCTCACATGTCCCTAAACACAAGTCCCTCCAATTCTTACTTCCTAGCCTGCCTAATTTATTTATTTTTTTAAGATTTTATTTATTTATTCATGAGAGAGAGTGGGGGCGGGGGGCAGAGTCATAGAGGAAGAAGCAAGCTCTAAGCAGGGAGCCCGATGTGGGACTCGATCCCAGGACTCCAGGATCACGCCCTGAGCCAAAGGCAGATGCTTAACCACTGAGCCACCCAGGCATTCCCCAATTTATTTTTTTAAGATTTTATCTATTTGAGTGTAAGCGAGCAAGAGCATGAGCAGGGTAGAGGCAGACTCCCCCCAGCAGGGAGCCCGATGTGGGGCTTGATCCCAGGACCCTGGGATCATGACCTGAGCTAAAGGCAGATGCTTAACTGACTGAGCCACCCAGGCGCCCCTAGCCTGCCCAATTTAGACTGCAAAGCTCCAACCACAACAGCACATAAAACACTACAGATATACATGCAGCCACACCCACAGAGTGGAAATAGAACAAACTGATAAACTGGTCACAACAACACTGCCATTTTTTCTAAGTCCTTTTCTGCATTGTCTATATTTTCTACCATGAACACATATTAGTTTTATTATAATCAAGGGGAAATGCTATATTTTTCTGTAAAGAATACATGTGTATTATATATGTATTATAATACATATGTATTAGCTAGGAAAAGAAATCTTCACAATCTGTTTCAAATTATTTCTAGGATCTATCTCGATGTTTTTAGATGCAGTTTGGGGGCCTCACACCCTCAGTTCTCACCCATCACTTTGCCTCCATCTCAAAGTATCACAAGTTCATGTCACCTCCTTGGCCCTCTTGCCTCTTGACGTTGTCACTCATCTCCTCTGCTGACCCTTCAGGCTCTGACATTCGCAGTCTCCTCCTCAGTCACCAAGAACTCAAGATCTCACCCAGAACATTTCTTTCTGGAATGGTCCCTGAAGTTGACTTCCCAACATCATTCTGTGTATTCTCCTGCCCCTCCAGTCAGTTTGGGGGACTGACCTTCTTCCAAATGGTATGTGCACCTAACTGGTCTATGGGTAACTGAATCTTTCAGGTCAGGTCAATGAGGTAAGTTAAACAGTATTTAACCTTATTCTGGCCAATGATAACACAAGGAGAGGTGTGCTGAAGATTCCTGAGAAAGTTATTCTTGCTCTTAAAAAGGAGGGGGAAAAAAGTGAGAAAAGCAGGACCATGCTTCATTTTCAAAGCATCTGCCACAGAAATTACTGCACCTAATATACCTTCCCAAAATATTCCTTACTTTTCAAATGTATTAACAGAGAAGTTTAGGGGCACCTGGGTAGCTCAGTGGTTGAGCATCCAACTTTGGTTCAGATCGTGATCCCAGAGTTCTGGGATTGATTCCCACATAGGGCTTCTGCATGGAGCCTGCTCCTCCCTCTGCCTATGTCTCTGTTTCTCTGTGTCTTTCACTTAAATAAATAAAATCTTTAAAAAAGAGAGAGAGAGAGAGAAGTTTATAGTCAATGTCTATGATTTCTTATATTCCATCCACTCCTCAATCCTACTACCCTGAAAATACCATCTAAAGGAGGCCACCTCCTTACTATCAACCCAACAGCCTCCTCTCAGTCCTCATCCAGCTCAGTCAGCTTCCTTACCCACACTAATATAAGGGACAACACACACTTAAATCTAAGTTGATTAAAACCGAATGAAATTTAAAAACTCAGTTCCCCAGTCTTACAAGTCGCACCACAAGTGCTAAGCAGCCATATGTGGCTAGGGACCACGGTATTGGTCAGCATAGCTATAAAAGATATTCAGCATCACAGAAAGTGATTGGACTTTGCTGCTCTAGAACATCCACACTTGCTGACCACTCCCTCTTTTCTGTGATTTCCATGCAATCTGTCCCCTCTTGGCTTCCACTTCTGCCCTCTGGGATCTCTTTATGTCTGTCTGAACTTGACTTTACTGGCCACTCTTCTTCTCTCAGAGATATGGGTTCTCAGGTTTACCCACCTTATTCTACTCTTTCCTTTGACAATCACACATTCTCCCATCAAAGCTACCATTGTAGAGTGAGCACAATTAGAAACCGTAGACCAAGTCTCCAGGTCTAGCTCTTTTTTTTTTTTTTTTTTTTTAAGATTCTATTTATTTGTCAGAGAAAGAGAGAACACAAGCAGGGGGACGGCAGGTAGAGAGAGAAAAAGCAGGATCCCCACTGAGCAAGTTGCTCAGTGTGGGACTCGATCCCCAGGACCTGGGGATCATGACCCGAGAAGCAGCCAAATGCTTAACCATCTAAGCCAACCTGGGATCAGGCCTAGTTCTATTTATTAATTGTGAGATTAAGTCTTTAACCTCTGTGGATCCTAGTTTCTTCATCTGTAAAGTAAGAATAGAATTTACTTAAGGCTAACTAAGGCAATCATACTAAAACAGATGTCTTCACATCTGCTTTAAAATCTTCATGACACCCAAAAAGGCCAAGAAGTGACTCAATGTTTTTATGAAGTTCTCAGGCAAGTGCACAGTCATATACACACACACACACCTCACTCTCAGGACTTCCATAGAAACCTGAAACCCACTATTCCTACTTTAGGTTAAGAACTAACTCAGGGGGATCCCTGGGTGGCGCAGCGGTTTGGCGCCTGTCTTTGGCCCAGGGCGCGATCCTGGAGACCCGGGATCGAATCCCACGTCGGGCTCCCGGTGCATGGAGCCTGCTTCTCCCTCTGCCTGTGTCTCTGCCTCTCTCTCTCTCTCTGTGACTATCATAAGTAAATAAAAAAAAAAAAAAAAAAAAAAAAAAAAAAAAAAGAACTAACTCAGGATATGGGAGTTTGGAGTCTTTATTGTAGCACTCGGGTCCTCCATAGTCCGGCTACAACCTATCTTTCTGGATTTCTACCATGACACCGTTAGCCCTGAGTCTAGACAACATAACATGGTATTCCTTCAGCCTAAAATGTCCACCTTCCTAGATCATGAGCATCACATTGTAGGAATGGTGGGTAGGGAGCTGGAAAGAGTCTGAATAGAATGAATACTCCAGGGTGCTACCTTCAGACCTTACGTGAGAAAGCAAAACACTTCTATCTTGTTTAAGCCACTGTTATTTTGAGACTTTGTTATTTGCAACTCAATCACCACACAAACCAAATTTTGTAGGAAAAGTGTTTAAATACATGACACCTTGGGGATCCCTGGGTGGCCCAGCGGTTTAGCACCTGCCTTTGGCCCAGGGCGCGATCCTGGAGTCCTGGGATCGAGTCCCACGTCAGGCTCCCACCATGGAGCCTGCTTCTCCTTCCTCCTGTGTCTCTGCCTCTCTCTATCGAAAGAAAGAAAGAAAGAAAAGAAAGAAAAGAAAGAAAAGAAAGAAAGAAAGAAAGAAAGAAAGAAAGAAAGAAAGAAAGAAAGAAAGAAAAGAAAGAAAAGAAAGAAAGCAAGCAAGAAAGAAAGAAAGCCTCTTCCCAAAAGCTGGGAAGAACATACATGTATGTTAAAAACATACAGTTTTAACAATGGTTAACTAAGTTAACACACTATTTTACATTTATGATATTTCCTAGACTGGAATGCATTATTTACATTAATCAGAAAAACAACATATGTTTAATGTTTTATTAAACACCCAATTCTTTTTTTTTTTTTTTTTTTTATGATAGTCACAGAGAGAGAGAGAGAGAGAGGCAGAGACATAGGCAGAGGGAGAAGCAGGCTCCATGCACCGGGAGCCCGACATGGGACTCGACCCCGGGTCTCCAGGATCACGCCCTGGGCCAAAGGCAGGCGCCAAACCGCTGCGCCACCCAAGGATCCCTAAACACCCAATTCTTGACAAACAACTAAGATAGCTGGCTCTGTGGGGACATTTAAGCTAGCAGATCTCAACCTCAGTGCAGAGTCAAAACTCCCAATGCCCAGGTCCCATCCCAGAACAACTAAATTAAAACAAAGGGGAAGGATGCAATTAGGCATCAGTATTTTTTGAAGCTACTTAGTGATTCTGATATGCAGCCAAAACTGAGAACTGCTGTTTTCCAAGGAGAAAACAAGTCCCCGAAGGAAGGAACTGTGTCTGATTCATCTCCATATCCCAGAACCTGGCCCTGTGCTTGGGCACAATGAACACTCCTTGAATGTCTGCGAACAAACGGATAGACAAGGTGCATGAGGAACTTCCCAAATAAGACACAGGACACACAGTGAAGAGCATAGCTCACCTCAATGGCATAGCAGAAGTCAGCCCCTGCCGTGACCGCCATCATTGACAAGAGTCCTGTGCCAGTGCCAATGTCAAGAACCAAGGCCTTCTGTCCTCTGGCCTTCATCCTGCTCACGGCAGCCCGGATACCTTGATAATATTTTAAATTCTAAGAGAAACAGAGAAACCGCTGTCACTTCATGCCAGTTACTATAAATAAATGGAAAGTTCTTTGTTTAGTCTGGGAGTCATGGCTAGCAGCAACAGTGTTAAGTCATGATCCCACGGCTTTCTGGCCCCTCAACGAACAGCACTGGGAGCTGAGTCAGGCAGGTCCTGCGAGACTCCAAGAGCATGGGGTCAGCCTCTTGCCCTTTATTTGGCGACTGTCCCTCCCCTCCACACCCAATTCTCTTCAGTACTCTGCTTAGAGGGGCTGGGGCTCTGCCAACCACATTCTCCTTTTCCAGCTATTCGGTATGAACAACAAGGAAACTAGAGGGTGGCAACCAGCAGTGGGGAGAAAATTTGTTCCTTCCCAAATGGTTGCTGCTTTCATCAGGGTCCTCCTGAAGTGGGGGCTGGCTCCAGTGCCAACTCATCTCCTTCCTTACCAGCCGCCTTGGGCCCCTTGGACAGCAGCAGCAGCACTCAAGCAGCTGCCCCTCTGAGAGCTGAGCACCAGCCACAGGACCTCTTCTCCACACTTCAGGGCTTAAGAATGTCACTCTTCTCTCGGGTTTCCTCAGCCCTAGGCAACGTGGCTGCTTCCCGCAATTACTACCACGAGGTAACCTTCCCGCTAGCTTCCCAGGCCTCCCACATCTGTTACCAATTCCCTCTGCTGAAAGAGTAACCTGGCCTAGAGCTTCCTTACTGGACTCTAATTCACACAGGTTCCTTGTCTACAAAATAATCCCCTCCTCAGTAAATCATTTGTTTTTTGTTCAGGTACTTAGTAGCTTAAACAGATACATTTTCCGACGGTAACAGTTTGGCTCAATAGGTATCCTGACTCTTCTGTCAAAAATAACTAATAATGATGGGGAAAATACTTGCAAATCTCTTTTAGCGCACTAATGAGCTAGCAAGTTAGTAAGAAACATTAAGAGGCCAAAACACCTGGAAGTCGATTCCCAGCCCCCCAACTAAGCCTTAAAATGATGGCCCAACGGGCTGACACCTTGATCACAGCCTGCCAGGGACCCACAGCCCAGGTGCATAGTGAAGCTGAGCCAGATTTCGAACTCGCAGAAATATGGAGATAGTAACTCTCCCCAGCCATTAAATTTTGGGATAATTTGTTATGCAACAATACATAACTAATATAGGACTGGTAACAAAAGGACAATATTCTCTGATCTAAGTGCAATCAAGTTACAAATCTCAGTAACAAAAATATAAATATTCTAAAGAAAAAGATTTTTGAACATTGAGAAATTCTAAAATCACAGATAAAAGACTAAATCAAAAGAATTAGAAACTATCTGTAACTGAATTTTTTAAAATTACATATCAAAATTCGGGGGATAGCTAAAAGCAATATTTGGAGAGAAATATATTAGAAAAGACAAAAAAAAGTAATCATCCACCTCAAAAAAATTAAAGAGGACTACAACATAACCTCCAGACCAGCAGATGAATAAAAATAATAAAACACAAAAATTAGCTAACTAGGGAATATAGAGATTTTATAGGACTTTTTAATAAAAATTATTTCAAAAATCTAATAAAATTAACAAACCTCTGCTAAGTCCAAAAAAAAAAAGTGGGGGAGAAAAAGAAGTGACCAAAAACTGGAAATGGGGAGCTGGAACATGGTATCGGTATATATGTGGCAGGTATTAGAAATTAAAGATTATGAACAAGGGTGCCTGGGTGGCTCAGTTGGTTAAGCATCTGCCTTAGGCTCCCAGAGTTCTGGGATTGGCCTGCATTGGGCTCCCTGCTCAGTGGGGAGTCGGCTTCTCCCTCTGCTACTCCCCCTGCTTGTGCTCTCTCACTCTCTGTGTCAAATAAAATCTTTTTTAAAAAAAGGCTATGAACAACTTCTTAGCAAATAAAACTCCCCCCTTTTTTTTTTTTAAAGATTCTATTTATTTACTCATGAGACACAGAGAGAGAGAGGCAGAGACATGGGCAGAGGGAGAAGCAGGCTCCCTGTGGGGAGCCAGATGCAGGACTTGATCCCATGACCCGGGATCATGCCCTGAGCGAAAGGCAGACACTCAACCACTGAGCCACCTAGGCATCCCAGTAAACAAATTTTTAAAAAATCAGACGAAGTAGACTTTATACTGGAAATTCAATGCAACACCCTAGAGCAAGAAAAAGTGAAATAAGGTCTAGAAAGAAAGAAAATTGTTGTTATTCACACATGAATGTCTATGAAAACCCAAAATACCTACAGACAACTACTGCCACTAAGTAAACTTAAAAAAAAACAATTAATAAAAACCAAATGAAATTTTATGTATCAGCAACAGCCTTTAAAACATTGGCAAAGGGGCAGCCTGGGTGGCTCAGTGGTTTAGCGCCGCCTTCAGCCTGGGGTGTGATCCTGGAGACCCGGGATCGAGTCCTACGTCGGGCTCCCTGCATGAAGCCTGTTTCTCCCTCTGCCTGTGTCTCTGCATCTCTCTCTCTGTGAGTCTCTCATAAATAGATAAAAACTTAAAAAAAAAAAAAATGGGCAAAGGGAAAGATTTCTTAAACAAGAGATAAAAGGGGCAGCCTGGGTGGCTCAGTGGTTTAGCACCACCTTCAGCCCAGGGCGTGATCCTGGAGTCCTGGGATCGAGTCCCACGTCGGGCTCCCTGAGTGGAGCCTGCTTCTCCCTCTACCTGTGTCTCTGCCTCTCTCTCTCTTCTGTCTCTCATGAATAAATAAAATCTTAAAAAAAAGATATGAAAGCGTACCATCCAATAAAGGACATATAAAATAAATGACATTAAATTTAAGAACTTGCACTTATCAGGTAAAAAAACAACCCAAAACTAAGACACCTACAATACATGTAACTGACAAATGATTAGCACCCAAAATATGTAAAGAACTCCTGTAAATTACCAATTCATAAAAGAGGAAATATGAAAAGCCAATGAACAAACAAAAAGAGCTCATATTCAGTAGTATTAATTCATACCTACCAGAATGACAAAAATGTAAAAACTGGTTAAAACCAAATACTAGCAAGGGTGTGAAACAATAAGAACTATCATGCACAAGTATGAGAATATAAAGTGGCATGACCACTTTGAGAAAGAATTTGACATTATCTACTAAAGCTGAACAAACCTCACTAGCAGCAACTCCGTTCTTAGGTATACACAACCTAGAGAAAAGTATGCACATGCACCAGAGTACAGGTACTGGAATGTTTTAGCAGCACTACTTACAACAGCAGCACTACTTACAAGCAAGGTCTACCAACAGAATACCTAAGTAATGATACAGTCATACAATGGAATCTATATAGCAGTGAAAATGAATGAACTACAGGTACATGCAAAATGGAATCTCAAAAATAATAGTAAGCAAAGAGGCAAGTCATAAAGTATAAACACAGTATGACTCCATTATATAAAGTTCAAAAACAAGCAAAACTAAGAATTTACTTTTTAATACACAGTAGGTGGTAAAACTATAAAGAAAAGCAAGAGAGTGGTTGATATAAAATTCAAGAGAGTGGAAGCCTGTGGGGGGAGGGAAAGGAATATCATGCAAGAGCACAGAGGGAATTCTGAATAGTGTTCTATTTCTTAAGCTGAGTGCTAAGTCTATGAGCATCTATTTTATTATTCATTTTTATTTTTTAAAGATTTTATTTACTTCAGAGAGACAAAGTATGCATGAGCAGAAGGGGCAGAGGCAGAAGGAGAGGGAGAAGTAGACCCCACGCTGAGCAGGAGCTCAATGCAGGGCTCAATCCAGGGCTCTGGGATCATGACCTGAGCCAAAGGCAGATGCTTGAACTGACTGAGCCACCCAGGTACCACTACTATTTTTAAACCATACGTACACATATTATACTCTTCTGTATGTCTGTCACAATAAAATAGATTTGAAAGAATAAGAATGGTACCAGATCTTGGGCAGCCCGGGTGGCCCAGCGGTTTAGCGCCACCATCAGCCCAGGGCCTGATCCTGGAGACCCGGGATCGAGTCCCACATCGGGCTCCCTGCATGGAGCCTGCTTCTCCCTCTGCCTGTGTCTCTGCTTCTCTCTTTCTTTCTGTGTCTCTCTCATGAATAAAATCTTAAACAAACAAACAAGAATGGTACCAGACCTCAAAATAGTAGCACTGAACTCTAAAAGAAAATGGAGGGCAGCCCCGGTGGCGCATCGGTTTGGCACCACCTGCAGCCCGGGGCGTGATCCTGGAGACCCCGGATCGAGTCCTGTGTCGGGCTCCCTGCATGGAGCCTGCTTCTCTCTCTGCCTGTCTCTCTCTCTCTGAATGAATAAATAAATAAATCTTTAAAAAAAAAAAAAAGAAAAAAAAAGAAAGAAAGAAAATGGAGGGCAGCCTCAGTGGCCCAGCAGTTTGGCGCCCCGGCTTTGGCCAGGGGTGTGGTCCTGGAGAACAAGGATGGAGTCCCATGTTGGGCTCCTTGCATGGAGCCTACTTCTCTCTCTGCCTGTGTCTCTGCCTCTCTCTGTGTCTCTCATGAGTAAATAAATTAAATCTTAAAAAAAAAAAAAAAAAGAAAAGAAAAAATGGATAGGGGTACCTTGCTGGTTTAGTCAGTGGAGCATGCAACTCTTGATCTCGGGGCTCTGAGTTCAATCTCCATGCTGGTTGTAGAAATTACTTAAAAATTAAATCATTTTTAAAAAGGTCAAAAATTAAAAAGTTTTTAAAAATGGATATTGTCAAAATTCTGATGGGAAGTGATTTCCAAACTAGAATCCATATTCAACTTAACTCTCTTTTTTTTTTTTTTTTTTTTTTTTTTTTAAGGAAAAATCACGGCCCAGGGCGTGGGCCTGGAGTCCCGGGATCGAGTCCCGCATCGGGCTCCCTGCACTGAGCCTGCTTCTCCCTCTGCCTGTGTCTCTGCCTATGTCTTTCTCTCTTTCTCTCTCCCTCTCTCTGTGTCTCTACCTCTCTGTGTGCCTCTAATGAATCTTAAAATCTAAAAATCTCTAATGAATCTAAAACCTTAAAACAAAGAAATATATTATAGGAAGTTGGTGGTATAGTGGGGAGCACAGCTGCCTTCCAAACACAAGTACATCCCTCCTAAGCAGGGGGTGTGTGGCTTTCTGTGTATGGCTGTGGGCTAACAGAGGGAGAATAGAACTGGGACCTGGCCTGGGAGTTTCAGTACAGCCACGAGCTGATCACCTGAGAAACCTGGTTAGCACCATCCTCAACAGTAAACCAGGGTCGGCATACCCTCCAATTAATGACACCCATTAAATTAGCTAAGGCTTTTTAATTACCCAATTTTGAAGCTACTCCAGTGAAACTGAAGCCCTCTTAAAACGCAATTTGGCAGTGTCTAACAAGAATCATATCTACATTCAAAACCCTAGACTACACCAAAGGAGATATTCCAATGACAAGTAACTGCATGTTTGACATCATTAGTCATTAGAAAAAAATGGAAATTAAAACCAGGATTAAATGTATGTTTAACATATGGGCCCAGCAATTCCACATATAGATATATACCCAAAAGAGATGAAAATGTGTCCACACAGACTTGCATGTGAGTTTTCATACACAGGACTGCTACAACAGCCCAAACTGGAAACAATACAAACATACATCAGCTGATAAATGGATAAAATAATGGAAAAATCTATATAATTGAATATGACTTAGCAATAGGAAGGGATGAATACTAAGACATATTCAACATGAGTGAACCTCAAAAACATGATGAAGAACATTATGTGTTCTTATGTGAAGAACACATAAGACTATCTCTCACATGATTTCATTTACATGAAATTTCCAGGAAAGGCAAAACTGCAGTGACAGAAAGCTGGTTGGTGATTGCCTAGGGCTGAGAGCTAGCACTGGGAGGGACTGCAAACAGGCAGGAGCTAATTTTATGAGGTAATAGAAGTGTTCTAAATAACGACAAAAGTAAGGCACCATGCAAAAGTACAGAGAAATTAGTTTATCTTGGTTGTGCCACTAACCAGCAAATTCTGACTCCATTTCCTCATGGAGAGAATGGTGAGGAGGGGAAGCAGAAGTTAAAGTGGTAAATAACGAACATTCCTCCAAGGAATTTGGATTTTACTTTGAAAGCAGAAAGAGACCACTGAGGACAGTGCTAAACCGAGTTCTCAGGGTTTTTGTTTTTAAAGATTTTATTTATTTATTCATGAGAGGCACACACAGAGAGAGGCAGAGACACAAGCAGAGGGAGAAGCAGGCTCCATGCAGGGAGGCCGATGTGGGAATCGATCCTGGAACTCCAGGATCACGCCCTGGGCCGAAGGCAGGCACTAAACCGCTGAGCCACCCAGGTGTCCCTCTCAGGGTTTTAAGTAGAGGAAACACACAGATTGGCGTTTCAGAAAGATCTCTTGGGCTGCTATGCAGAGAAAAAAAAAAAAACAGAGGCCAACACTAATAAACGAGGTCTGAGCAGGCAGTGGAGTTGAAAGACCCATAGGATTTGATGACAGATTGCAGGCTCAGATGAGGAAAAGGGTGCCATCTTTCTGGCCTGCCGAATGAATGGATGGTAATGCCATTTGTCCAAACACCCTGGAAGCTGAGGTAAAAAGGATCCTCTTTGCAGATGACACTAAAATCAGAGAGGCTCACAAGAATCCATTAAGAAGCCAAGACCATTAGGGCGCCTGGATGGCCCAGTGGGTTAAGCGCCTGCCTTTGGCTCAGGTCATGGTATCAGAATCCTGGGATCAAGCCCCGCATCAAGCTCCCTGCCCCACAGGGAGTCTGCTTCTCCTTCTCCTCCTCTGCCCCTTCCCCCTGCTTGTGTGCATGCTCTCTTTCTCAAATAAATAAAATCTTAAAAAAAAAAAAAAAAAGGCAGCAGCGGCCAAGACCATTAAGCTAGAGAAAATGAGTCAAAACCAGGAACAATGTTTGTTCCACATTCTATAATTCTCCAACAGCTCGGCAAAGGCACTCGGATATTTGATGAAAATCAGGGAGGCATCCAGCCCCCCTTGATGTAGCCTACAAACTAATGATGCTTAAAGAGATTGTTCTGTCATGATGTTGCCAAGAAGTATGCAGCCTGAGCAGTTAACCAGGGTAGACACTACCACCAACACAGCCTCACAACCAACCCTACCACTTGCCTTGATCCTTCTGCTCTGCACTGCTCAGTTCGTCCTGCATTCTTGGCCTTCAAGCCTCCCCATTTCTAAGCCATCCACATGAGAATGACTAGTCAAGCATTCTTTGTAGACCAGAAAAACTTGCGTTGCTAGCTGTCATAACCAGAACTACAACATAGTCCAAACAGGAAAAGAAAACAGAGATGAAACAAAAATGGGAAAAGGGAAAATAAAAATGAAATATCACTGTGCAATGGAAGTCAAATGTGCTTTACTAAGTAGTCTGCAGTGGCCCCTAGAGATCTTATTTTAAAATTACTAATGGACTATACAAGGTCAAACTGTAATTAAGAGAAGTTTTATCTAGAAGGGACCATGGAGATTAGCTAATATATCCCATTCCTTTCAAATCCTATAAATAAGATCTGCAGAGGTCTCGTGTCCTTTCCAAGGTCACACTCAGGTAAATAGTAGAGCTGGAAGTAGGACCCAGCCTCCTGACAGATATCCCAACCACTACACCATAATGGCTCCCTGCATTATCCTAACAACATGCCTCTGGAGGAAATGTTTAACCTTGTAACTAAAGGTTTCAAACAGCACAGCAAGATAATGGTTTCCTTTTATACTTACTCTGTCTTTGTCATGCAGCATATCAGCATAGGATGATCTAAAAAAAAACCAAACAGGTCAGAAATCTCTGCTAATGATATCCATCAACTTATGAGAACAATCACATATATAATATAATGCATTCCTGGGACACCTGGGGTGACTCTACAGTTGAGCGTCTGCCTTTGGCTCGGTGTATGATGCCTGGATACTAGGATCGAGTCCCACATCAGGCTCCCTGCATGGGGCCTGCTTCTCCCTCTGCCTATGTCTCTGCCTCTCTCTGTGTGTCTCTCATAGATTAAAAAAAAAAAAAAAATGCTCTGGTAGTTAGCCCTCACAGTAATTCCATAGCCACCAAGATATTGATGTTATACATCACACATGTTTTTTAAAGATTTCATTTATTTATTCATGAGAGAATAAATAACTTTATTTATTAAAGCCCAGCACTTTCCCTTATGTCATCAGGGAGAACAAACAGCTTACCAAACTAGAGGCTTTTAAAGGGAAGAGAGTTGCTTTTCCATATTTTCTGTCACATTAATTCACAAACTTGGAAAAATTTCTGGCAGGGTCAGGATAAACCTCCAGAACTCAGCAATCCCAGTCCAAAGATGCTTGCTGAGTTCCAGGTAAAAGCTAAGTGGCTCTCACTAAACAGAGGATTTCCAGCTTCAGGTCAACGTTAATCACTAGAGAGGTTTTTTTATTTGTTTTTATAAAAGTAGGCCCCATGCCCAAAATGGGGCTTGAACTCATGACCCTGAAATCAAGAGTCACATCATTGCTCTACTGACTGAGCCAGCCAAGTAGCTTCGAGGGCTTATTTTATTTTATTAAAGATTTTTTATTTGTTCAGTTGAGAGCGAGAGCGCCAGCTAGAGCATAAGCTGGGCAAGGGGCAGAGGAAGAAGGAGCAGCAGACTCCCCGCTGAGCAGGGAGCCCAGTGACTATGCGAGGCTCAAGCCCAGGACCTCGGGATCATGACCTGAGCCAAAAGCAGATGTTTAACCGACTGAGCCACACAGGTGCCCCTGGAGAACTTATTTTAAATGCAGATTCCCATGATACAAGGAAATAGATCCTGATCAAGAAAATTGGGCTGGAGTCCAGAACTACACACTTGAACTGGTGCCTCAGCCAACTGCGACACAGGCAGTTCATACTCTACACTTTGCAGAGCACTGTACTAAAAGAACACTGTTCTTTTTTAAAGTGGCAGAACAAGGCTTTTACATGCGAACCCACCTACAATTGCTTAGTTGAAATCTGGTTCTGCCTTTCAAGAGATGTTTCTGGTCCCCATCTTCCCAACCTCATCACCCAATCTCCCCCACTACTCCACAGATACTCTCTCTAAGCACTACCAGACCACTCCACCACTAACATCCAGGATTTCTGTCCCAGCTGGACACTCCCTTTTCCTTAAACACTCTCCTCTTTTCCACTTTCCAGCCATTTCCTCCTGGTTCTCCTGCCTCCTCTATTCCAGGATTCCTTCTTCAGGTGGAGACCTTTCTCATACCACACCCTCTCTGACCCTGGTCTCTTCAGCCTGGATGTCCAAACCCAGACACCTATTCTCCATCACCTTCCTCTTCCCAGCAGTATCCATATCCACTGTGTTCTCCCTCTTGGGAAAAACAGCTCCATTTACCTTGTCACTCTAACCAGAAATCCAGGGTGCTTCTTGAATTTTTTCTTTCTTCACTGTATCCAATAAGTTACCAAACTCAAGCTCCTTCAAAGCTCTCTCTTCCTCTCCCCACCTCTACTGCCCCACCTGTGCGGTTGTATATCACTCACATGGTTTCTGCTCCCTCCAACCTACTTTCCACACTGTTCTCAGTAAATGTTCCAAAATGCAACCTAATCTGTTTTATCCCTGCTTAACATCTCAATCACTCTGAAAATAATGACCAAAATCTTTAGAAAGGTAATGTTTTTGAGCCCTTATATTCTGCCCCACACATTGTATTTCACTCACCCATCAAACAACTCTAAATTAAGGATATTATATGAGGAAACATAACATTTTTACATATATCGAGCTGTTACATGACATCTGACTCTTCACATTGAAATGACTTTGCTTAACTCCCAAACAAACCTCTAAGCAGACCTGCTCGTGACCAACATCTGCCCCAATCCGAAACACTGGGTAATGCCTATTCCACATTCCCATCGGATTCCAGGGCTCCCGCTTGGAGATTGAGTGCCCCCACCCAGCTGCAGCCAACTGTGAACACAGCCCTGTTACCTTGCAATCTCCTGGTGGTAATCATAGTGCTCATCCTCCTCCAGCCACTCCACAGATCCCGTGGTCGGATTGGCCCGCCCGCAGAAGACTTTCATGATGCCAGTCAGCTCTTCAGTTTTAGCACAGAAAAGCAGCCTTGCCAGATTACTTCTTGTGGACAGATCTAATCGTCAGAAATCTATTCACACCATGTTGCCCAAATTGTAGAGAAAAAAAAATTTTTAAGACAAAAAAAAAATCAAGAAATAGACACTTGTGTCAAAGCCACTGAAAATATTAATCAGTATTTTAATCTTTCCAGCAAGAGTTTTGATTTTACATTCAGCATAGAACATCAAAAACCGTAATATGTAAGTTCATGAAGCTATCAGGAAACTGCAGCAGTCCTCAGTGATTCCAAGGGGTGGGGGAAATCAAATGAGCCCCACAGGTGCATCTGGGTGCAGCCTCAAGGTAAAGGCAGGTGAGAAGAGAAATAAAGCAGAGGAAACCAGAGGCTAAAAGGAAAGGAGAAACAGACTGAGGTTGTGGTAAGAGTGCCGCCAATACTGCCTCAGGATATTAAATGTTTAATTTAAGGAAAAATACAAAGAGCATTCAAACAAACTACGAAGACCTTCATCTAAACAAACATATCATTGCTCTAAGCAAACATGGATAATCCCAGAAATATTAAGCCAAAAAACAAGCAAATCATAGAATATATACAATAGGACATTAATTTATAATTATACAAAACAAAAACAATATATTCTTCAGGAATCACACTAAAAAGTATATGAGGGAATGAGGACAGTGGTTATCCTTAAGAGGTAAGGGAAAAGGCTGGATTCAAGGAGGGCCACACAGGGGACTTCAAAATAGCATCATTCTATAAATGGATGGTGGGATTAAAGATGTTTATGATACTGTCATTCCTTATGCCTTACCATTTTTAAAAAAGATTTTATTTATTCATGAGAGGCACACAGAGAGAGAGAGAGGCAGAGACACAGGCAGAGGGAGAAACAGGCTCCATGCAGGGAGGTTGATATGGGACTCGATCCTGGGACTCCATGATCACGCCCCATGCTGAAGGCAGGCACTCAACCACTGACCCACCCAGGTGTCCCTATGCCTCACCATTTTTAATAATGATTACTTCTTACCTAGTCAATATTTAATTTTAAAAACATTCTTTAAAAAAAAGTGACTGAAGCACTTTAAGCACAAGTAGTAATCGAGTATGGGTGGGCTTCTGCAAATCACACTGGGCCATACGGGCTTCGGAAAGGAGTTTGGATTTTGTTTTACATGCCCTGGGAGCCACTCAAGAGTTTTAAGAACAAAAATGTCGTCAGGTACATGCTTCTACAAGGCCGCTCTGGCTAGGGTGTGGTGAATGGACTGGTTCCCAAATACTCAGAACTCTGTGCCTGGGAAAAGCGAGCCCATTAGCAGTTCCCTGAATAAAGAAACGTGGCCCAGCTAAGCGTGGGATGGTTGGAGCGCCGTATGATTGCGGTTCGAGTCTCTCGCTGAGAGGAGGTGCCAAGTACTATAATCAAGGTCCCCGTGGGGGTCACCCGACAGAATGGCAGAGTCGGGGCCCAACCGTATCCCAGTTCTCTTGCCAGCCCAGGAACTCTGAGCCGTGCGGGAGAGTCCGGAGGAGACGCACATCCCCGGCGGCCCTGTACGTCCACGCCAGGTTCGTCAGCCAGAGCCCGTGGGCTCAAAATAGATGATGGCTGCCCCCGGGACTCTGCTACCCCACCTTCCCAACACGCCCAGGACCTCACCCTCCGCGGGAACCGTCGCGTTCACTTCCGCGGCCACCTCCACCTGGACGCGGCTGGCAAAAGGGGCGGGACCGCCCAGCGCCCGCCGAGCGTGCCGGCAGCGAGTCCCGGAAGCGGAACTTGAAGGCTCTCCCGTCGCACCCCGCGCGTTCCCACAGTGCTCCGCGAATGCCGCTATGGAGGCCGGCAGGACAGCGGTTCTTCGCGTGAAGCGGAAGCGCAGCGCAGAGCCGGCCGAAGCCCTTGTTCTCTCCTGCAAACGCCTTCGGAGCAGCGCAGTCGAGTCGGCGGCCCAAAAGACAGTCCCCGAGGATCCCGAGAGAGGGCCGGAGAATAATGTCTTCCAATTGGTGGCCACCGTGCGCTCCCAGGTATTGGGCGGGATGGAGCCAGTGTTTGAAGGGATCTTAGGGCGCTGCCGGGGCGAAGTTGTATCTCTGATCTCTGCACGAACCTCCTGCTCACGCCGGCTTCCCTCCCCTACGACCTCTCCTACAGGAGGAGCCAGTCCAGGCGCTCGTTCGAGCCGCCCTGCGCCCTTCCCGGGGCAGCCAGCAGCGTATCCGCCGCGACCTCCGCGCTTCGGCTCGGGAGAACCGGCAGGAGGGTCGCTACCGGGTGATTTCTAGCCGCAGATCCTCAGGGATTCCCTCAGGTGGCCTGGAGTCCGAAGACCCACCGGGAAACCCAGAAGCCGCCGAGGACGCGAGCTTTCAGCTGTTCGACCTGGTCCACGAGGAAGAAGACGACCCAGAAGCCGTCGCCACCGCAGGCTCCTCCAAAGTGAGTACCGGCCCGGAAGAGAGGGAGGGCTGGGCTTCCCCGGACAATAGTGCCCAGAGTCTGGGCGTTAAGTCTGCACACGTAAGAGGAGGCACACGGCTTCGCCTTACTGATGGATGATCTCTCGGCCTTGGTAACCTCGTTTAACAGATTAGGTTATTTATTCAACAAATATTTACTGAATTCGCACTATGTGCCAGGCACATACGTTCTTAGGTTCTGTGGATATAGCTTTGAGGACTTAACATTCAGGTAGAAGAAAGAACACTGTTAACTTCAATGTCAGGTGGTGATAGGGGCTGTATGAGGGTGAGGAGAGCAGGGAAAGAATGGTTCCATTTCAGAAAAGGTCTCAGAAAATGACAGAGTGAGAACTTGGAGGAGGTGAATGGCAAGGCACTGTGGATATCTGAGAGAAAAGCAGTTTGGTGTTTTCAAGATCAGTGTGCCTGGAGCCCAGTGAACTGAGGAAGAATAATAAGGAATTTGGGAGAGGATTCCTGCTAGACTCTGAAGGCACTTGTAAGAACATACTGCCTTTCACTCTGAGATGGGGAATTACTGGAGGGTTTTGAGCAGTAAAGATAGAACAGATGGAAAAACTCACCAAAGGGATGTTAAGGACTAGTATTGGGTAGTGAATCAAGTTTGAGGCAGATTCGAGTGTAGAATGCAAGTCTTGTCACATTTAATCCAATGTTCTTTCCGTTGTTACATTTACTAAATTTGTTTTGTACCTCAGTTCCAAAAAAAAAAAAAAAAAAAACAAACTCTACTACGTTGTATTAAGACTATAGAAATAGAAAATTCTCAACCTAAGGTTTGTCTTCTCTTAATAAGCATTTTTTTAACATCACCCTTCACTTCTTTCAATAGTTCTTGAAGTTTAAAAACTGATTTTGATTGAAAATATATCAAGCAAAAAATATTTAATCATGGTGGTAGTATACTTGGATAACAATTTGGGCATGATGACTATAGCCACATCTTCTACCAAAATGAATGGAAGACTGATTCATGAGTTACAAGTAAAATACCTTTTAAAAGTAAATCAGCCTTCAGTGGAATCAAATAACTAGTTTAATTTTATAACAAAAACTAATATATAAACTGATGAAGCATGTGTACACAAATTTTTCCCAAAAATGGAATATAAACTGTAAATACATAAAAAAAATGTTTGCACATGAGAGTGGGACATCTGGCTTGCCAGCGGGCACCTTCATTTTGCATGCAACAGAAGAGCAATTTAAAAATGGGCAATGTTGGGATCCCTGGGTGGCTCAACGGTTTAGCGCCTGTCTTCAGCTGAGGGCGTGGCCCTGGAGACCTGGGATGGAGTCCTGCATCAGGCTCCCAGCAATGGAGCCTGCTTCTCCCTCTGCCTCTCTGTCTCTCATGAATAAATAAATAAAATCTTTAAAAAAAAAAAAATGGGCAATGTTGAGAAGGGCAAGATTTTTGTTCAGAAGTGTGCCCAGTTTTACCATACTGTCGAAAAGAGGCAAGGCAAGCACAAGACTGGGCCAAATCTCCATGATCTATTTGAGCAAAAAGATAGGTCAGGCCCCTGGATTTTCTTACAAGGACGCCAACAAGGACGAAGATATCAGGGCCACTAGGTGGCTCGGCCAGTTGAGCATCTGGCTCAGGTCAGGATCATGGACGGGGTCCTGGGATCCAGCCCTGCTTGGATCATGATCAGTGGGGAGTCTGCTTGTTCCTCTCCCTCTGCCTCTCCGCCAGCTTGTGCATGAGCGCTCTCGCTCTCTCCCTCTCTCTCAAATAAGTACATAATAAATAAATAGAACAAAGGCATTACCTGGGGAGAGAAGACATTGATGGAGTATTTGGATGATCCCAAGACGTACATCCCTGGAACAAAAATGATTTTTGCTGACTTTAAGAAGACGGGAGGGATTCCTGGGTGGCTCTGTGGTTGAGCGTCTGCTTTTGGCTCAGGTCGTGATCCCAGGGTCCTGGGATCGAGTCCCGTATTGAGCTCCCCATGGGGAGCCTGCTTTTCCCTCTGCCTGTGTCTCTGCCTCTCTCTCTCTCTCTCTCTCTCTCTCTCTCTCTCACATGAATAAATGGATGGGATCTTTAAAAAAAAAAAAGAGAGAAAGGGCAGACTTGATAGCTTATCTCAGAAAAAGCTAGTTAGTAATTAATTGGCTACCACTTATTTATTACAAAACAAAAGTGTCTTTTTTTATGTGTACCATATTTAAGTTGATCTCATACACGAGAATTCAGACCATGAATGGGTAATAGAATATTCCTTTTGCACAATCCGGATTTAAATAAGATTGGCTTGTGGTTAAATGAATAGGATTGGAGTGGCTGGGTGCCTCCGTGAATTAAAGCATCTGCCTTCTGCTCAGGTTATGATCAGAGGGTCCTGGGATCGAGCCCCACGTCAGACTCCCTGCTCAGCAGAGAGCCTGCTTTTCTCTCTCCCTCTGCCTCCTGTTCCCCCTGCTTGTGTTCTCTCTCGGTGTCAAATAAATTAAAATCTTTTTTAAAAAATGAGGGATCCCTGGGTGGCGCAGCGGTTTGGCGCCTGCCTTTGGCCCAGGGTGCGATCCTGGAGACCTGGGATCGAATCCCATGTCGGGCTCCCTGCATGGAGCCTGCTTCTCCCTCTGCCTATGTCTCTGCCTCTCTCTCTCTCTCTCTCTCTCTCTCTCTCTCTCTCTCTCTCTCTCTCTCTGTAACTATCATGAATAAATAAATAAAGTCTTAAAAAAAAATGAATAGGATCATGGGATATCTGGGTGGCTCAGTCGTTGAGTATCTGCCTTCAGCCCAGGGTATGTGATCCTGGAGTCCTGGGATCCAGTCCCTCATCAGGCTCCCTTCATGGAGCCTGCTTCTCTCTCTGCCTATGTCTCTCCCTCTCTCTGTGTGTGTCTCTCATGAATAAATAAATAAATAGTCTTTAAAAAAAATGAATAGGATCAGTTTTTTGAACTTTGATAGTAATTCTTGTTCAGTAAGCGCTAAACTGTTTTTCCCCTCCAAAGATTTTATTAGAATTGACTAGGGGCACCTGGGTGGCTAAGTGGTTGAGTGTCTGCCTTTGGCTCAGATCATGATCCCAGGGTCCTGGGTCCAAAGCTCCCCACAGGGAGCCTGCTTCTCCCTGTACCTATGTCTGCTTCTCTCAGGAATAAATAAATCTTTAAAAAAATTAATTAGTAATGTTCAGCTTTTTAAAAGTTTTTTAAAGTAATCTCTACACCCAACATGGGCTTGAACTCACAACTCAGAGATCAAGAGTCATATGCTCCACTCACTGAGCCAACCAGGCACCCCAGTAATGTTCAGCATTTCACAGAGTTGGTAAATGCCATCTCTAAACCTGTAGGAGATTGGTTTCAATTGGTTTCGTATTTAAATTCATATAACTTGTCATATTAACATATATGTAAATAATGAGGAAATCCCTTCACTGTTTCATAGAACAAGACTCAGCTGTGTTTCAAGTTGTGTTAACTTGTTAAAAGTCCTGGGTTGAAGATAAGCTGGCAGTGTCCACTTTTATCTTTTTGGTCTTAACTATGCCAATTCAATTAAAATTCCCTGCATCTAAAATGTTGCTCTTTGCTTAATGGGAGGTATTTTAATGTGGCTTATGTGTAATATTAAAGAATACTTAATGCTTCTCATATTTTATAGATAATCTCTAAGGTCAGATGTTTTTAAAATTCAGTGTGGCAAAGTATAGTAGCAAATTTTGCTTGTGAATTCTTTACATTGCTTGTGATTAAAAGTAAGCCAGACTAAGTTATTGTCCTTTTTTTCAGGATTATCTTTTCAAACAGCTGTTCAAAAACACAACTGTAGAATTTTTTTTAAAGAGTTTATTTAGGGGGATCCCTGGGTGGCGCAGCGGTTTGGCGCCTGCCTTTGGCCCAGGGTGCGATCCTGGAGACCCAGGATCGAATCCCACATTGGGCTCCCGGTGCGTGGAGCCTGCTTCTCCCTCTGCCTATGTCTCTGCCCCTCTCTCTCTCTCTGTGTGTGTGACTATCATTAAAAAAAAAAAAGTTTATTTATTCATGAGAGATGCAGAGAGAGAGAGGCAGAGACATAGGCAGAGGGAGAAGCAGGCTTCCCTTGGGGAGCCCAGTGCGGGACTTGATCTGGGGACTTCTAGATCACGCCCTGAGCCAAAGGCAGATGCTCAACCACTGAGCTATACAGTCCCCACAACTGTAGAATTAATCACAGATTTTTAAAAAATGTTTGCCCTCAGTAGTTATTTTTTTAAAAATGGGTTTAAGCTGAAAGAAAATTTGGGGTTTTATGCCTACTAGACTCTCAGGGTAAAAGTTGTTGATAGCACTGCTGGCAAGGCCATGATCAAAATGGTACACAATTGTCGTGCTTAAAATTGATGCAAGGCTTTTGGAAAACAGCATGGTTTTACATACCGGGAATCCTAAAAATAGCTTGAGGCCTATTCTAAAACTACTTAAATTTATTTTTATTGTTTGGATCGTAAAGCCATCCAAACAAGTATCTACAGAAATTTTAAAATAGTGACAGCATTTTTGCCACATATATTTCTCATTAATTTGATACCATTTAAATTTTAAGCAAGTAAAGTACAATTTTATAGAAAATCTTAAGAAGTGAAAAAGTTCAGTTTATTTTTATCTAGTGATCTTATTACCCCCAGGATTTATGCTAGCAAAATAATTCAGCAGAAGCAAACAGCTATGGTATTAACAAAAGCTTATTGTTGGTTTACTGAGTAATTGCTGTACATTAAGTACTATGCTAAGTATTTGTTATGTTTTCTTTTAATCTAACTCATGTGATCCTTACAAAAACCCTTTGAGGTAGGTATTTCATCTCCATTTTTCGAATGCAGGAAACATGTTCATTGCAACATTCTTTATGGAGGCTAAAAATTATGTCTGAGAAATTGACATACACAACTGCCTGCACCATGAAAGTGATAACCATGAAGACTGGCGAGACATTAAATATGTTTATACTGTGCTGTACGTTGTATACTTGAAAATATGGGTAGGCACACATAGACTAAAGAATAATTTTTCTTTTATAAAAATATTCATTATAGAAAATTTGAAAACATATGGGAAAGTAACCAGGGGTGGAATCACTCATTTTACCCCCATCACAAAGGTAATTGGAATAAAATTAATTTGTTGTCTTCTGAGTATAAAATTCTATATCTGGCATTTTTCTGTTTGCCAGTTGAACTTTGCTTGTGAACAGCTTTGAAGTTCGTCAAGAATGCACAAAAATTGACATCTCTTGTTCCTTTTAACTTTGGAGCAAGGAAGAATTAATTCCTTCTTCCTCCCTTAGCTATGGACACCCCTTCCACCCCCCCCCCAGTATGGTGTCTGGTTTGAGCCACATAACCTCCTCTGATGAACCTGTTGAGAGGGGTCATTTGCAGCATGTCCCTCGGGTTTCCAAACTGACCTGCGCTGCTCTGGATGACACAGCCTGTGGCACTGGAGTACATCTTCCCTGGGCCAATTCTATTCTGGGTCAATCTATCTTGAGCTGTTCTAACAGGAGGATTATAGGAGAGTCCACTCCTGGTTTGTGATTAAAAGTAGGACATCAGGGATCCCTGGGTGGCGCAGTGGTTTAGCGCCGGTCTTTGGCCCAGGGCGCGATCCTGGAGACCCAGGATCGAATCCCACGTCGGGCTCCCGGTGCATGGAGCCTGCTTCTCCCTCTGCCTGTGTCTCTGCCTCTCTCTCTCTCTCTCTCTCTCTCTGTGTGACTATCATAAATAAATAAAAATTAAAAAAAAAAAAGCTTTCCTTTAAAAAAAAAAAAAAGTAGGACATCATTGGGCGCCTGGGTGGCTCGGTTGAGTGTCTGACCCTTGTTTTTGGCTCAGGTCATGATCTCAGTGTCATGGGATTGAGTCCCCCACCCCCACCCTGGCCTTCATGTTTGGAGGAGGAGTCTGCTTGATATTCTCTTCCTCTCCCTCCAGCTCTTGCCTGCTCACACATGCACTTGCTGGCTCTCTTGATTAAATCTTTTTTTTTTTTTTTAATGCATCTTGACTCAAAATTTGAGGGTTGTTTTGTTTTGTTTTGTTTTAAGATTTTATTTATGGGCAGCCCCCATGGCACAGTGGTTTAGCGCCGCCTACAGCCCGGGGTTTGATCCTGGGGACCCTGGATCGAGTCCCACGTCAGGCTCCCTGCATGGAGCCTGCTTCTCCCTCTGCCTGTGCCTTTGCCTCTCTCTCTGTGTGTGTGTCTTTATGAATAAATAAATAAAATCTTAAAAAAAAAAAAAGATTTTGGGATCCCTGGGTGGCGCAGCAGTTTAGCGCCTGCCTTTGGCCAAGGGCGCGATCCTGGAGACCCGGGATCAGATCCCACGTCGGGCTCCCGGTACAGCTCCGGGAGAAGCTCCTGCTTCTCCCTCTGCCTATGTCTCTGCCTCTCTCTCTCTCTCTGTGTGTGACTATCATAATTAATTAATTAATTAAAAAATTACAAAAGTTTAAAAAAGATTTTATTTATTCATGAGAGACATTGAGTATCTGTCTTCAGCTTAGGTTGTGATCAGGGTCCTGGGATCAAACCCTGTGTTGGGTTCCCTGCTCAGCAAGGAATCTGTTTCTTCTGTCCCTCTGCCCCTCCTCCTTGTTCATGCTTTTTCTCTCTCTCTCTAATAAATAAATAAAATACTTTTTTAAAGAAAAGACATCATTGTGGGCAAACCAGGTGGTGGTAGTCATCAGAGTCCAGGAATCGCTTTTAGACCCTTATATCACACAAATGCAGACCCATATAGAGATCAGCCATGGAGGTGCTGCTGGGGGCTTCTAGATCCCTAATGGAGATCTTCTCAGGCCAGTTTTTCCATGTGCTCTCTTATGTTGTTCAAGCACAAGAGAGCAGGGAGCTATCTATCACAAAAAAAAACTATACAATTATTTTAGAGATAATTGATTTTTTTATTTCATAGCTAATTAAGAGATTAGTAGGAAATAGGGATAAGAATTTTGAATCTAGGGGCACCCAGATGGCTCAGTCAGTTAAATATCTGCCTTCCTGTCAGGTGATGGTCTCAAGGTCCTGGGATCAACCCCTAAGGCATGCTCCCTGCTCAGCAGGGAGCCTGCTTTTCCCTCTCCTCCCTGCTTGTGCTCGCTCACTATCTCTGTCACTGTCTCTATCTCTCTCTCAAACAAATAGAATATCTTTTTAAAAGAAGAATCTTGAATCTAACATAGACAACTGTAGAGAGACTTAAAATCTCACTCAAATCTTAGATTTCTCCTTTTGAAACACCAATGTTCAGATCATGTATATATTATCTTTTGATTTCTTTACAGACATCTGACCCAGATGTGATCCTCTGCAATTCCATAGAGTTGATCCGTGAGCGGTTGACTGTATCTGAGGATGGACCAAGAATCGGGCATCAGGAGGAACAGAAGGATGACTATGTGTATGACATTTACTATTTGGAGATGGCTACTCCAGGATGGATTGAGAACATCCTCTCTGTGCAGCCCTATAGCCAGGAGTGGGACCTGGTAAGGAGACCCATGAGGATGAGGTAGCCTAAGCAATTCTCTAGTCAGGGTGCCTTGCTTCCCTGTGTTCCACATTGCCTCCAGTGTGTTCAAGATTGTTCTTGGCTCTTTTTGTCCTTGCTTAAATGGAAAAACTTATTCTAAATACCTTCTAGGAACTGGATTTAGTGCAGGGAATTTTGGAAATGACAGTCTACATTGATAATTTTTGCTTTTAATAGATCTTTTATAAAGTTTGCAATATAATTTTTATCATTTATAACACCCACTTTTGGGGGAAATCATATAGGGGCTTATAATAAGGACAGTAAACCAAAAATTCTTAACATAAATGGGAATAAAAGATTTTTTTTTTTTTAAACTATTTTAAGGGGGGGAAACCTTGGGTTAAGAAAGCGAACATCCTTGGGCAAACTGGGTGGCTCAGCGGTTTGGCGCCATCTTCAGCCCAGGGTGTGGTCCTGGAGACCTTGGATCGAGTCCGGCATCAGGCAACAGGAATAAATAAATAAATAATCTTTAAAAAAAAAAGAAGAAGAAGAAAAAGAAAGCTAATATCCTATATCATTAGTTTAGGGTTTTTAAATTTTATTTACTTTTTTTTTTTAAGATTTCTTTATTCATGAGAAACAGAGAGAGAAAGGCAGAGACACAAGCAGAGGGACAAGCAGGCTCCCCACAAGGAGTGCAATGCAGGACTCGGTCCCAGATCCTGGGATCATGCCCTGAGCCAAAGGCTGAGCCACCCAGGCGTCCCTTTACTTTTTAAGTAATCTCTACACCTAATGTGGGGCTTGAACTCACAACCCTAAGATCAAGAGTTGCAGCTCTATAGACTGAGCCAGCCAGACACCTCCTAACATCATTTTTTTTTTTTAAAGATTTTATTTATTCATGAGAGACACAGAGAGAGAGAGAGGGAGGCAGAGACACAGGCAGAGGGAGACGCAGGCTCCATGCAGGGACCGTGATGTGGGACTTGATTCCTGGATTCCAGGATCATGCCGTGGGCTGAAGGCAGACCGCTCAACCGCTCAGCCACCCAGGGATCCCCAACATCATTATTCTTACAATAATTCTAAAGATTTATTCAGGAGAAATGGAGAGAGACAGACAGAGGTAGAGGGAGAAGAAGGCTCCATGTAGGGAGCCCAAAGTGGGACTCGATCTTATGACCACAGGATCACGCCTTGAGCCAAAGGCAGATGCTCAACCGCTGAGCCACCCAGGCATCCTATCCACACTGTGCTCTTAAGTGACTTCTCCAAATTGGTCTGCTAATAGCCTCCCCTACAGCACAACCTTAGAGGTGTTGTCTTATGCTTATGTTTGTGTTGAGATGTGCAGGTGAATGATGACCAGCAGCCAGAAGATATTTATGAAGATGATGATGATGAGAACAGTGAGAATAACTGGCGTAACGAGTACCCAGAGGAGGAGAACAGTGATGAAGATGAAGAGTCCAGAGGTACATGAGTAGCAGCCTTAGATGGGAGGGGACTGTTGAGATCCAAGACTGAGGTGTGCACAGTTAACATGTACATCTTTACTGGCTTTCCTTCTCTGCCATTGAATTCCCAACAGCTCAACCACAAGCCATTGGAGCTATAGGATCCCCAAGAACTAGTGTTTCCAGAGGACCCTGGTGAGGTTTTAATGTCAGTCAGGCCTAGGTTCCAATCCTTAGTTCTGTCATTGCCTATCTGTGGGTCTTAGGTAAGTTACTTTACCTCATCGAGCCTTATCCTGTCTCCAGAAAACAAGAGAATATTGCACTAAAACATCAGTGGTTGGGATTAAGGGAAACATCATAACTCATTGTCTCTTCTGCTTCAGTCAAGGTGTTGGAGAGGTCTGCCAGTAGGAACGGGGCTAGGATTTTGACATGTCATTTACCTAACTTCTAAAGAAGTTGATCGGTTTACAATGTTTTGGGAAAGATGCAACACAGACATGGTACCTGGGGGAAAGGAAGGAAAGATATTCTGGTGAAACAGTTCCTTCAGTGATTATGTTCTTTGTGCCAACGAAAAGGATTTATTGTTGGTTAATGGAGGGACAATTAATTAAACTATGGAATATTCTATTAGGGAAGTACCTATGATATATGTTATATACATACATATATATACACATATACATATATATGATAAAAGGATAGGGGCAGATATGAAATTATATTTACAGTATGACTACAACTATTATACAAAAAGAAATCCTATATGTAGTAAAGAAATGAAAAAGTACTCCCAGTATTGTTGAGGGATTTGGTTTAGGTGGTAGAAAAAGGATTTTTTTTTTTTTTAAATTCTAAATTCTCTTTACTGATCAAGCATTTTAGAATAGAGAACAAAAAACCAGACCTTCTTGAGATGGGAAATGGTTACTGTGGTCACCTAGAAACTCAAAACATCTAGAACCCATTCCTGTTATCATTCTAGGCTCTGATGAATATGACAGCTTCACTGAAGAGGAAAGAGGCAACAGCAGACCACAAATGTGGAGCAAATACCCTTTGGATGTGCAGAAGGAGTTTGGCTATGACAGCCCCCATGACCTGGATTCAGACTGATGATCCTATGGTATCTGTGAAGTTCAATCATGTGCCCTTGAGGGCTCTGACTGTAGTTTCATCCACCCTGGTAACATCCTTGGGTTTTCTAGCTTAACATATAAAAGGAAAAAGCATGTCCAATAGCAGCATCCTACCAGTGAAAACGTGCCCTAAAGGATTGTCTTTTTCAGTAAGAGTACGGCCCCTTTGCTTCAAGACTCTACAGTCTGATCGGGGGAAATGCCATAAAAAAGAAGCTTCCTAGTCTGGGGATTTTCCCATTCTCTTCCTGTCCTAAAGCCAATATGTAGAAGAGAAGCTCCTCTTTCCCTCAGCACTAAGATTTAGCTTTCCCATACCACCAGGCCACTGCCTCCACTAAAAGTCTGTTTTTTTTTTTGGTGGAATCCAGAAGGACTACAATGGGTCCTTTATAGCAGCACAGACTGGATAGTGGGGGCCGTTGGAGAGGGAAGTAGGATCTGCCTGAGCGCTGAGAGAGAGGTTTTAAGTTAATAGGTTCTCTACCTCCCTGCTTCCTGACTGATAATGCTTGTAAAGACTGCTGTCTTCCTTTGGCACTAGTGCCAGGGAGAACAGGATGTATGAGTGTGATACTATGTGTTTAGTAAAACTTAAATATGGGAGCAAGAAATTCCTGGAAAACTTTTTTTTTTTTTAAGATTTATTAGAACATAAGTACGAGGAAGGCCCATAGGGAGAGAAGCAAGAGAGCCTCAAGCAGACCCCCCCACTGAGCACAGCCCAATGCAGGGGGATCCCAGGACCCTGAAACCATGACCTTAGCTGAAGTCAGGAGTCAGCCACCTAACCGACTGAACCACCCAGCACCCCTACTTAAAAACTTTAAATCTGAATGCCAGGATCCCTGGGTGGCGCAGTGGTTTGGCGCCTGCCTTTGGCCCAGGGCGCGATCCTGGAGACCCGGGATCGAATCCCACGTCGGGCTCTCGGTGCATGGGGCCTGCTTCTCCCTCTGCCTATGTCTCTGCCTCTCTCTCTCTCTCTCTCTGTGACTATCATAAATAATAATAATAACAAATCTGAATGCCTTTTTTTTTTTCAAGATTCTATGTATGTATTTATGAATGAATAAGAGCATGAGGAGGGAGTAGGGTCAGAGGGAGAAGCAGGTTCTCCACTAAGCTGGGAGCTGGATACGGGACTTGACTCCAGGATCATGACCCAAGCCAAAGTCAGATGCCTAACCAACTTAGCCACCCAGGCACCCCAAATCTGAATGTCTTTACATGTTTTCCCACTGTACTCCCTCTCTCCTGTCTCCACTCTCCACCAAAAATGAGAGGCTGAGACAGAAGTTTCAGAATTACTCTTAGACACAAAGGACTTAAGGAAAGTGAGGTAAAGGAAAACAAATCCTTTTTTTTTAAGATTTTATTTATTTATTCATAGAGATGCAGAAAGAGAGAGAGAGAGAGAGAGAGGCAGAGACACAGGCAGAGGGAGAAGCAGGCAGGCTCCATGCAGAGAGCCCGACGTGGGACTCGATCCAGGGTCTCCATATCACGCCCTGGGCTGCAGGTGGCGCTAAACCGCTGCGCCACCAGGGCTGCACTAAGGAAAACATATCCTAAGCTTAGCTTTCCAATGAGAAATGTTAACTCTTCACAGCATTCACTGAAAATAGTGACCAATTTTGTTACCAGAACCTCAATTCCCTATAAGCAAACCCTGACCCTACTTCTTTTCATACCACAAATGTCTTAGAGTTGGCATTTATTCTTCTAATGTAATATTGTCCCAAAGAACTCTGTTCAAAGATGAATATGTTCTATATCTACACTGTGCAGAGGTAGGCACTAGCCACATGGGTCTCAGCTCTTGAACTATGATTAATGCACCTGAAGAATCAAAATTTTTATTAGCTACATGTGGCTAGTAGCTACTATACTGGGCAGCACAAGTCTACAAAAACAATACACTGAACCTGTGATTCAAAATGTGCCTTCTTGCTGTGTGGCACAGACTCACTATCACATCCACAGGGATAAGTCTTCTCCCCACATCTTATAAGTATCTCTTTTTCTATCCTGCCCCTACTCTTCCTTTCACTTTGTGTTCATTTTGTAGGTCTTCACCTATATTAGTTCCTATCTACATGTTAAACCTACTTGAGTAGTTTAAGTTCTGTATGTACACATACTTAGGCTCTACTCTTGTGGCTAGAAAACCAACAGACTATCCACAAAGGTACAATTTAGTATTGCAAGTAACAGGCAGCAACTTATATGTCTAATACTAGTCATCTTAGTCTCCTGTAGGCATAGAAACAAAGGATTAAAAACCACTCCATGCCATTTTAATGTGCTCACTGCTGTTTATGTACTCATTAAGGTTTGCAAACATTAAAGGACTGAAAACTTCACATACTGTACCTACTGAAAAGGGGATTAACACACCAGGAGAAGGATTGAAGGAGACAAACAACAAAGACCTTGCAGAAATTTAATTCCACCATGAAGCTTGAGTGCTGTAGGGCGTCTCTGGCTTCCTTCCGACAAACCGGTTCCTGGGTAAAGACTATCCAGCACAGAGGGGAAGAATGCGGTTGCCATCCAGTAATGAGAGGGGGATGACATGGCTCACTAAGCTTGCATTGGGGCACTTAGGGTGTGAGGCCCATGCTTCCCCCCAGGAGCCACTGGGGGGCAGCAAGTTCCTGGGATTAGCTGGTCATTTACTTCAGTGGAGATAGCTAAAACCTGGGTCAGGAATCCTCAAGACAAGCATACTCTGCTTAAAGGATTAGCTCCAGAGGATCCCTGGGATAGATGCCATTTTGGCTCAGACAAGAGTCATGTTTACATAGTTTAGGCAAGTCAGCCTTTGCACAAGACTCCCTATTGCCAGGAAGGAATTTGCTGTACAAATCCCCAACCCGTGACAGTAGGAATGTCCCCCCATTTTCTCATCCATGTGTATCCTGAACTGGAGGCAGCTGTGATCATGCTTCCCTAAATTGTCTTCATTGAGCAAGTATGACCAAAGTTACTCCCCAGGCTTCGACGGAGGCCATTTGATGGAAAAGATGATCAGAAAGGCAGCTTGCCTCATAGTTCTGTCTTTACCACTGACCAGTTCTCAAACGAAAGGATAAGAAGTCCAGGCATGGGATTAGCCAAGTCAGCAGGTTCTTCTGGATCCAGGATGACAATGTCTGGAGGCTTCACAGGACAGCTGTACAGTCCCCTGCAACCATAGCTGCCCATGAGGGAACATCCATTAGGCCAAACCTGCTCTGGCCTGACCTGGATGCTAAAGCACACCCTGAGCACCAGAATTAGTTGCTTCCACTCATGCAGTCTGCTGAGGAGCCAGATTGAGGTTGAAGTAGTTTTTCCCCCAAGGTCTTCTCTGATCTCCACAGAGAGAAAATAGAAGTCCACATAAGTACCAAGCTCTTCCTGAGACTGCAGGCCCACCAGACCTCCCGCAAGGGGAGGCAGACAGGACAGGAATGCATTATCCTGATGATCCACACCAAGACAGTTCAGAGTATAAACAAAGCCCAGTGTCAGGGACAGAAGAGGAGGATGCAGTCTCGTGTGAGGTTTTGGGAAAAGGAAAATGACCACTTCTAGCACCAAAGTGGGCTTGTGTGGGTCTGCACAGCAGTCCCTCAAACCAGCCCTTACAGAGAGAAACAAGCTATTTGGTTGCTTGGGTCCATGAGATGTTCTCTAAGCCATTGACAGCTGAGAATTCAGGTAATACACTTGAACTCTAAAACAGTTTATGTCCTCTTAAAGTTCATACCAGAAACCAGAGATCTACCTTCTGTCATCTAAGACAAAGACCTAAGGTCTCAAGTAAAACAAAGGATTATCCTTCAAAATAGTATTACCAGACTTCTGACTCATGAATTTTTTCATTTGTCCTTGCTGATTTGAGCCAGGTACGTGTAATCTGTGACTTACTAACTAAAGTGTAACCAATACATGAGTTTAAAAAAATATATATATGTTTGAAGTTCACCTTTGCAGCTAAGACTCAATAGAAGATTGTGCTAAAACCAAGCAAAAAAATTTGTGGTCAGAGGCTGGCCCACCACCACACAGAGACACCTCCTAAGAGCAGAGGGACTCAGTTTGGGGTACTTTGAGTTTTTAAACACAATCAGCCTATTGCAGCCTGTAGATGAATGAACACCAATGCTCTGTTAGAACTGGTATTCTGGATTAAATAATATCAATAAATAATGAAATACCACTGTCTTCCCAGGGAAAGATTTTGAGTCAGAGAAGGAAATGGTAGCATTTCCGGCCTCTAAAGGCAGGTGCTTGGACCTGATCAGAGGGGCTCCCATAAAGCAGCCCCTTTGTAGAGGCTCCTGATTCAAATATCAAATTCAGAACCACCAGCCACAGCTATTGACCTAGCACTTTCTCCTCCCGCAGTGCAGTTTGCTGAGTGTTTGGTAAGCTATACCAGTTCACCAAGAACAAAACTAAACAACTATTCCCCTGACTTCAAGCCCTCCCCACCACCACCCTCTATAAAGTTCTCACCTTCAGGTTGGTCTCAGACCCTGAGTCTCCTCCCATAGCTTACCAGTGAGAGTAACCATCAGAGCAGGCCATCAGCCCTGAGCCCCCCTTATATAATATGGGCCAACAGGCTCCTTTAGAATAAGAGGGTTGGACCTGCACAGTCTTGTCATCTGGACTTTGGTGGCTCTGGCTGGCCTTCCAGGCCTCAAGGGACATCACCTCTGGCCTCTAGTCAGCTTTCCTCTCAACCTTTTTCTCTTCAGCTACATCAAGCTCAGTCAGGACACAAAAGCAAAGCTGCTGGGTGACTTTGGTGACAGCAGCTAAATGAAAATAGAGAACAGAAGTCAGCAAGCTGACAGCTACAACCTCAGTATGAATACCCCAAAGTTGATTAAAGCATATCTGTGACTCCCTCCCATCTGTCCCTTGGGCATCCTATGCCAGGTTTTGCCTCTTACCGCCCTCCAGCCCCCAGCAAGCCTCACTGTCCTTCATTTTGTGCCCAATCAGAAAAGGATGCATGACTCCTCATCTTCCCATATGAATTGCACTTTCCAAAGGGAGTGTTTTAACCCCTTTGGGGTTAAAATAGGACTCTAAAGTTAGAACTAAAATGCTCACGTCAAGATCGAAAGGGGAGAAGTCATGTGGAGCAACCAAGTCTCATGGTCTCCAGCACATCACTAGTATAGGGGAAGCCATTAACCACCACTCCCACCTCTGCACACATCTGTACACATACACACATATCCACACAGCCCATGAGTAATGGGCAAAGAAGCTTACCCAGGACATTCCGAATAAGGGCTGGCCTCTGGGACTCAGGTAGGTAAACACCCACGAAGTAGACAGGAACCCCAGAGAGGGCAATCGCGATGCCAATAAGGGAATTAATGGTGTCACCAAACAGAGGCACAATCACCAGAAACAAGGAGCATATGCAGAACATGATGGGGAAAAATAGGCTCAGCTGAAATGGAAGGAGATGAGTTATTAGGTAAAGTGCTATTGGGGAACAAGGTACAGAGAGTCACCTTGGGGAGATGGCCCACCCCTCCTACTCTGTCCAGAGTCACTGACCTTGAGAGGCCGGGGCCGCTCGGGCTCCTTCCAGCGAAGATAGAGCTGTCCAGCAACAGACAGGCCCACGAAGAACCAGTAGCTGAAGCTGAAGTAGTTGATGAGCAGGAAAACATCTTCCACAGTGAGGTAGATGAGTGTCATGGTACACTGGAGGGGGAAAGGATGGGAAGGAGGAGTGGGCACTGTCACCACCCGGCCATCCCAAGAGACCAACAACCCAGCCATCAGCACCAGATCTGTCACTCACTGCTGAGTTAGCTTACCAGGTTACCTCCAGTTCTTTTCAGTGACCCCTTGGCATCAGATATGCCTGTCCTCTGCATTAACCTTCAAGGTGGCATCTCTCCCTCTCCTGTTGGGGTCCCTTCCTACACACAGTGCCTCCCATCTTCTTGCAAGCACTGCAATAACAAGCCAGACTCCTTTCCCCTTCTGATAGCAGAGAGTGAGGCCCTCCTCACTTCGATGCACCAACCTCAACATGAATCACACCACCCTCTGGAGACCATTACTCCTGAGTCCCAACTACCTGGCATACAAACAGTAAATGCCTCCAGAAACACCTCACTGTCCTGAGGTCTTAGAAATGCAGACTGACCAAATGGATCCATACTTGTTAAGAAACATGGCAGAGTTTGTCCAGTGGGACCAGAGTCCTAGGGGACAAAGGGACTAGAGTGCCATGACAGTGATCAGACTTACTCACTTCAGAATATGGAGTTCCCCCACCTCATCCTCTCACCCAGATCATCAACAAAGGACTTTAAAAGGGCCCATTCTGGGGAGAGATGGGGGACTGTATCGGGGAAACTGGGGCAGTAGATGATTAAAAGATGTCACATCAAAAAAAAAAAAAAAAAGATGTCACATCTCCCCTAAATTTACAAATTCAATGGTATCCCAATCAATATACTGAAAGGATTCTTGTTATTTTGACAAAATAACAAAGTTCACAAAAACAAATACAAAAATACAAATGTGATAATTGCCAGGAAAATTTCAGGGGTAAGAAGAAACTAAAGTATACTCAAAAAAAAAAAAAAAAGTATCCTCAAAAGAAAATCTTTAAAAGAAAAGGGGGGGGGGTGGCTGAGTGGCTCGGTTGAGGGTCTGCCTTCAGCCCCGGGCATGATCCTGGAGACCTGGGATCGAGTCCCATATCGGGCTCCCCGCATGGAGCCTGCTTCCCCTCTGCCTGTGTCTCTGCCTCTCTCTGTCTCTCATGAATAAATAAAATCTTTAAAAATCCAAAGAAATTCAGTACAGAGCTAAATAATGAAGCTTGATGCTGATGGGAAGAGTTGAGCTGCTGATACTATAAGGGGTATGTATCATTCACTTGGAACATGAAGCACCATCTACTATATATAAAACTAGGCTAGGGGCACCTGGCTGCTCACCTAGTGGAGTGTGCAACTCTTGATATCAGGGTTGTAAGTTCAAGCCCCATGTTAGGTATAGAGATTACTTTAAAATAAAATCTTTAAAAAAAATCTATAAAGTGTATAACATGAATAGAAGTCCCTAGGTAGTTTGTATACAACTGCCCTGGCTTTTCTAAATATGATTTAATTAAAATTTAAAAAAAAGGAGGAGCACCTGGCTGGCTCAGATGGTGGAATGTGTGACTCTTAATATCAGGATCATAAGTTCTGGCCCCACATTAGGCTTAGAGCCTACTTAAAAAAAATTTAGGGGTGCCTACATGGCTCAGTCAGTTAAGCATCCAATTCTTGATTTTGGCTCAGTCTTGATCTCAGGGACATGAGACTGGGCCCTGCATCCAGCTCTGTGCTCAGCGCAGAGTCGGCTTAAGATTCTCTCTCCTTCTTCCCCTCCTCCAGTCATACAATAAATAAATACGTAAATAAAATCTTTCAAAAATAAAAATAATCCCACAAATTTTATAATTTTATATTTTTTTGTACCATTTGCCCTCCCTCATATAACTGTTTTATATTTTTTAAAAATTTAAGAAACACTGAGAGGATGGGAAGTAGCTTCAAAACCTAGTATACCTCCCCACCCACAGTCTTCTCATAAAGCCAGGAGAGGTTCTACAATTCTCCACACTCCCCCAGCAGAGCTTACATTGAACAGTAAAGCAGGAATGGGTGTAAAACGCTCAATGTGGATCATGGACAGAAGGTCTGGGAGGTGGCCCTCACGGGAGCCCACGAAGAACAACCTAGAAAGATAAGAAGTGTCAGGATGATCCTTTCATTTGGCCATGTAGCCACACTCCTCACTTGGACAAACTACGCTCAGAGCTCTAGAGCTAGGAGGCAGTCTCTCAGGACCATCCCATATTCTCTATACATGCCTAACCCCCACCTTCACCCCTCAACTTTACCCATAGATGTCTCCAATTTCCAACCATTTGTACTTCAACATTATCCAGGAATGCCCTACCCTACTATTGGCCATAGACACCCCCCAGCCCCTCAGCTATGAAACCCACCATCACCCAATGGATGCCTCACCCGGCCATCACTCACTGCCACCCCAATCCACTCCATCAGAGGTACCTCCACTCTAACACCCCACAGATTTCATACTTAACACAATGGTTTTTTAAAGAAGGGCAGTCAGCCTTCTGTTGTGCTCTCTATATATCTTCCCTGAGCTCCTGATATATGATAGGCCAGGATAAGCCCAGGGGCTTAGAGATAACCCAGGTTTCCTCTCTGTCCCTAAAGAGCCCAACTGATTGAGAAGCAGAGCAAGAGAGAAATGAACTACCATCTAGGGTAGTCAGCAGCATCATGAAGCACAAAGCACTCAATAGGCTTGGCAGTGGGCTGAGAGAACAAAAAACTTCACAAGAGATGACCACATCTGGGCTGGGAAGAAGAACTGGAGTTTGCCAGAAGGTGAGCAGGTGGGTGGAAACCACCATTGGCAAAGGCAAAAGAGGCTTGAAGGAATGAAAGAGGGTGGCCTTCCTGAGGTCAGTACCAGAATGCCTACAGTCCCAGGATAAGGTACATGAGGAGACAGGTGAGAATAACCTACACATGAGGCCATGCTATGGAGTCTGAACAAACACTAACAGCTTGTTGTGGCTTTGAAGTAAAGGCCTCACAGGACTTGACAGAGACTCTGGTGGCATCATGGAGGCCAACTAAAGCAGGGAGAGGCTAGGGTATAGAAAGAAGGCCAGATAAGAAAGTAGTCTGTGGGGTGCCTGAGTAACACAGTTGGTTAAGCCTCCAACTCTTGATTTGGGCTCAGGTCATGATCTTAGGGTCATGGGGTCAAGCCCCACGTCATGCTCCATGCTCAGCAGAGTCAGCTTGGGACTCTCCCTCTTCCTTTGCTCCTCCCCCACTGGTCAAATAAATAAATCTAAAAAGAAAGTAATTTGCAATAACTATCCCATCAGAGAGGAGACCTGAATGAGGGTAGACACCCTAGCTGAAGAGAGAACAAGAGAGATGTGACCACCTCAATCAAATTTGGTGATCCTGGGACACCTGGGTGGCTCAGCAGTTGAGCACCTTCCTTCGGCCCAGGTCGTGATCCTGGAGTCCCGGGATCAAGTCCCACATTAGGCTCCCTGCATGGAGCCTGCTTCTCCCTCTGCCTGTGTCTCTGCCTCTGTCTCTCCATGTCTCTCATGAATAAATAAATACATTCTTAAAAAAAATTTTTGGTGATCCTTTGAGTGTGTGTATATGTGTGTGCATACGTGTACATGTTTGAGCTGGGAGAAGAGGGTGAACACCAAGGGAAAAACTAAGAGGTCAAGGAAGGAGAACTGGCAGCACATAATATCACAACTAAAGACAAAGCATAAGTGGAGTGCATTTAGATACTTGTGAGCCATCTAGGTGGAGCCACAGGAGTTGATGATAGCATCGGGAAAGGTCACAGGGCAAGATGGTGGGAGTTGGCTCACACAGGTTAATAATCTGTACTAGGTAGAGAAGAAATAGGGTAGAGGGGATGCTGGAAGGAGATACTATGCAGGTACAACAAAAGTGTCTAGTACAGGGATCCCTGGGTGGCATAGCGGTTTGGCGCCTGCCTTTGGCCCAGGGCACGATCCTGGAGACCCGGGATCGAATCCCATATCGGGCTCCCGGTGCATGGAGCCTGCTTCTCCCTCTGCCTATGTCTCTTCCTCTCTCTCTCTCTCTCTCTCTGTGACTATCATAAATAAATAAATTTAAAAAAAAATTTAAAAAAACGTGTCTAGTACAAAACCAAAGACAACTATATAGGCAACAAAGAAAAAGTGAGAAGTTAACACAGAAACAATTGTACATTACCTCAACATCACTGCAGTCCCCTTCATGTCCAGACTCTTACTCTCTGAATCCTCTATCCCCACCCCCAAAACCCAGTTTGGGGTGCCAAACTGTCAATCCCACAGTATAGCTGAGTGAGTTAAAAGGCACCTACTGTGTAAGTATTTTAAGTTTGGCAGAGCCAATTAGAATGTCTTGGGCACAGCGCCTGGGTGGCTAAGTTAGTTAAGCATCTGCCTTTGGCTCAGCTCATGATCCCAGGGTCTGGGGATCGAGCCCTATGTCAAAATCCTTACTCAGCAAGGAGCCTACTCTCCCTTTCCCTCTGCCTACCCATACCCCCTGCTTGTGTGCACACTCTCTCTCTCTCTCTGTCAAATAAATAAATAAAATCTCAAAAAAAAAATAGAATATCTTGGGCATCAGTAAGGGTGAGGCTATGGGAAACACCATCTTTGGGTGGGGTAACTTGTGAAGAGTCACACTCAGTGCAACCTTGGCCACATCAGGTTGAAGTAAAGGAAGAGGACACCATACTATTTTCCAGGACTTTGATTGCTCTATTGCTCTCCATAGGGAGGCCCCAAGTACCTGGACTGGGGTGTCAAAACCAGTAAGAAAAGAAATAGGACAAAATATTATTTCTTTTACTAATTCATCCTCTACCTGTTCATGCAGAAAATTTTTTTTTCAAGATTTTATCTATTTATTCAAGAGAGAGAAAGAGAGGTAGAGACACAGGCAAAGGGAGAAGCAGGCTCCATGTAGGAAGCCCAATGTGGGACTCAATCCCGGGACTCCAGGATCACTCCCTGAGCCAAAGGCAGACGCTCAACCGCTGAGCCATCAGGTGTTCCTCATGTAGAAAATATTTACTGAATGCCTGTTATACTCCCAGCCTTAGGGACAGCAAAGTGTATAGGGTGAGTGGAAGAGAAATCCGGAAAGAAGGCTTCCTTTCAAATACCAGAGTGTCACAGAGTCACAGGAGTAGTTTCAGAAGTAGAGGGTAGTAAGCATCACTTGCTGTAGGAGTCCATAAGGATAAGAACTAAAAGCAGGCTAAGAAGGAGGTCACCAATACACTGAAGAATATTTTTTAGGTAGCAGAAGTCAAAGTATAATGGCTAGAACAATGAGTGGCAGTCAAAATGCAGACCATTCCCTCAAGAAGTGTATCCAGTAAGGAAGAAGAGAGATGAGAAAAGCTGTTTTGTGACTTCACTGAGCAGAGATGAAGCTTGTGCAGAGCTGCCTCCCAAATGAACATCCACCAAAGAGAAGGGCCAAATGATGAAGCAAAGTGCTAAGAAGAGGGATGGTGCTGGAGCCCTGAGACCAACCAGCTAGCAGGGTCAGCCTGGAAAAGCGGAACTACTCCTTTCTCTGAAACAACAGGAAGGAAAAATGCTCTTTACAGATAAGTCTCTACACAGAGAGGAGAGCAGAGCCTACCTATCAGCTTCAGTGATATCTGTGAAGTGAAGGGCAGGGTCACCCTGTACCAATACCTGGTATATAGCAAGTGATCACTAATAATCTTTTAAAGGAAGGAGTCCTGAGCCTATAGTATAATCCACAAGGAGCCTAGAGTATGGTCCCTGACAGGGTCTCTACTCCAGGCTATAACCTTCCTCCCCTCCACTTCTAACCAATCTGTTCTCACCTCAGATGGAAGTGTGAGCTTCAAGCACACAAATGTCAGCACAAAGGCCGAAATACCCATGTACACAAGTGTACACACACACACATACACACCCTATACATCCAAAAGAGGTAAGAAGGGCTCTTATGGGCTCACCTATATCCTCAGAAGATTAAATATTGCAGTCTGTTATTGGTAAAGCAGAAATACATTACCTTGAGGAAGCAAAGATAGATGCATTGAGGCCCCCAAAGCAGGACAGGGCAACGGCAATGGGAATGGTCCAGCTGAACATGCCAAATGTCTGGTCAGCAAATGTCTAGGGAAAGAGCACAGAAGTCACTCAGCACAGACCAGGATTTCATAAGCCTCCTATACCTATGCTTTCAGGACAAACACCATCACTACTGAGCAGCCCACTCTCTGGCCTAGACCCATCATCTCACCCTTCAGAGCTGGAGTGGCTGCAGAAAGAGACTGAGCCATACAGTATCATAAGATGACAAGCAAATGGGGACTCACCACAGCCACAGCATCACTGTCAAGGACATCTGAAATGCTCAGCACTGTGTAATAGGCCACATTGGTCAGGATGTAGATGAGCGTCACAATTGGCATAGAAATCCCAATGGCCAGGGGCAAATTTCTGTCAGGACAAGTGAGACAGGACTACCTAGAATCAACTCTTTTTGGAGTCAGAGTTCACCCAGGGACTTTTCTGAAATTTAGCAGTTCCCTGACTCTAAGTCTTTGAGGCAGGCTCCTCTTTCCCACATGGTCTAAGGTGGGTATGAATCCCATGCCCCCTTCTGCTAAGAACCGAGAGAGAGAGAAAGAGAGAGAGAGAGAGAGAGACCCTTCTCTGTGAAGATAGCTGGGGATCAATATTTGATCCTTGCCACAATAGGACTCATGAGTCCCGCTGAAGGAGAAGCAATGTCCTCCAGGGACTGGAAGCCAGGCTGGGGACCTGGCTGCCCAAAATAAGCTTCTGACTTCCCAGGCTTCAGTGTCAGCACCAGAGTATGAGGTTCTAACACTTTAGGCCCAGCTGGATCAGCCACTGCTAAATGGAAGACCTCTTCTTTTCTTTTCTTTTTTTTTAAGATTTTATTTATTCATAGACACACAGAGAGAAAGGCAGAGACACAGGCAGAGGGAGAAGCAGGCTCCATGCAGGAGCCCGATGTGGGACTCGATCCTGGGTCTCCAGGATCACACCCCAGGCTGCAGGCTGCGCCACCGCCACCGGGGCTGTCCTGGAAGACCTCTTCTTGAGCCTTGGAATCCTTGGAATCCTCCAGTGTAAACCTGAGCGTGAATAGCAAGGGGCTTTCCCTCCTTCACTCATTCCCAACCTAGCCCCTTATCCCTCGAGCTAGAGAAGGAGGAATAGGGAGAAGAAAGGATAAGAGAAAGGGGAAGAAAGAAGGCAAGTGTGCCCACTATGAGCAGGAGGAGTTCCAGCCAAGTTGGGAAGTGAGAGTGTGATCCCACCGTTACCTTTCTGGGTTTTTGATTTCTTCTGTTACAAAATTAAGGGTGTCCCAACCTGAGTAAGAGAAGAGGGCAGAGTAGAGGGCGAGAGAGAGGTCTCCCATGTCCCAGGAGGAACCCTCAAAGGCGTCTTGAAAGTGCTCAGAGTGTCCTGTGGGGACAAAGGTAAGTAGGGGAAGGAGTTCAGGGAGAAGAAAGAGGAAGAAGAAAAGAGACATAGAAGGTATAAGGAGAAGAGGAAGAACAGGGAGAGGCAGTAAGAAAAAGGAAGTGAAGATGGGGAAAGAAAGGAGGGTCAAGAAAAAAGGGGAAAAGGAAGAGGGAAGAAAAAAAAAACATAATTTAACATCAAAAGAACAACCATCAGCCATCTCTATACTTTATCACCCCACCCACTCCGTCAAGAAAGTGCACATTCCTCTAACAAACCTAGGCAATCAAACAAACCTACGCAATCTTAGAAAAACAAAGGCATTCCTGGTTGCCTTCTGAAGTGATAATACCATTTCCAGAAAAGCTCTAATTAATTTGCAAGTGTCCTCACAGTAGGCCAGAGATCTTCCTCCTATTTTTAGAAAGAACCCTGTTTCACATAAAGGAGGCATTTTTTAAAATTTTATTATTTTTTTTTATTTTTATTTATTTATGATAGTCAGAGAGAGAGAGAGAGAGAGAGAGAGAGAGGCAGAGACACAGGCAGAGGGAGAAGCAGGCTCCATGCACCGGGAGCCTGATGTGGGATTTGATCCCTGGTCTCCAGGATCGCACCCTGGGCCAAAGGCAGGCGCTAAACCGCTGCGCCACCCAGGGATCCCAAAGGAGGCATTTTAAATTAACAATTAGACCTTCCTGTGGAACTATCTCTTGTGGCCAAAACCAATGCACAATTTGGGTCAAACAGTTTTCTCATTCTCATGAAAAGAACTCTGTTGCTCTACTTGCAGGAGCTGTGGTTACATGTGGCAGGAAATCACAGGCTATGTACGAACTGGGGTCTTCTTATCTCTCATTAGGCCAGGGGTAGGCCTGGGCCACTTCCACCCTTAGGGAGACAGCCTAGGCACCAGTCATTCTCCTTGGAGGCCTCTGGAGACCACACACTTGAAAGCTGAGGAGGCAGCACCTGCCTGGCCCAGCAGAGGGACCTTTTGGACACACTGGAGGTTTTTAACAAGATCCAGACTTCTAAGGAAGCCTGCTGTCACCCCCTGCAAAAAGTAGACCTAGTCCTTCAATGTGTCAAAAAGGGCTGGATATGCAGCAAGAGAAGGGAAAATAGAGGTTTTTATGCCCCGTGTCAGTCATCATATACAGGAGTGGTTTCCTCAGGCATAGATCTTGATAGAAGGATAACTTACCTACCCAATTTGACCCCAAAATGTTCCTGAGACTCATGGACATCAAGGTGGCTGGCTATAGTAACTTGGTACATGTGCACAAAGGTATTGGACCAGCTGCCTAAGAATCACTCAAGGCACTTAAAAACAGAGCTTTCTGAACTCCCAAACCAATCAGTGTTTAATCCAATAGATCTGAGATGGGGGGGCCTCAGCCCCCCTCTCCAGTAAATATAAACACAGCTGAGTTTAGAGACAATCTACAAAACTAGGTTGTTAAGTAAGTGATTGAGATCTCCTTAGCCAAAAATACCTCAAGACTTCCCTAAGAGCTCAGGAAATCTTGTCTACCCTCATTGCCAGTCTACTTTGATTCAGGAATGGAAAGCTTCCTAAGGCCAACATGCAGGAAAGTCAGTGCCAACTTCATACTATTTTAATATTTTCCTGAGAGTTGACTTTGAGACCGAATGTTAAGTAGAAGCAAATTCAGATGAAACGTAAAGGCTGCAAAATAACCACTCATTTCTACATTCCATACCTTCCTTCCCATTCCTCTCAAGGATGGCCAGGTCTTCCTACTCACTGCATGGCAGTCACAGACCAAAAACAGGGCCAGAGCAGGGCTCACTCTATCCCCATCAACTACATTTATGACCTAATTATACATGATCCAGGTTTCAAAAACTCCTAGGCTTCCAGCTGCCTTCTTGCAATGTTCCCAGCCTCCACAAAGGGAAAGCAGCCCTAGGGAGGGACTGTTCAGTTGGCCAAGCCAGCCTGGCCCAAGAAGCTCAGGAACAGATGTCTCACTCTCACTGATAGTCCAGGATACACATAAAAAGAGCTAATCAGTAAAGCCAAGATTTCCTATGTCCTCCTTAGGAAATCCATGCAAACTCCCAGAGTCACCCACCCTCCTTCCCAGCCCAGGCCCATCTTACCCTGGCACAGTTTAACGAGACCCATGACAATGATGGCAATGAGCGCTAGGACCTTGGCATAAGTGAACGTGTCCTGAACACGTGTGCCCCACTTGACATAAGCACAGTTCACAAATGTCAGCAGACCTAGAAGGAAAAACATAACATCACTGACAGGCTTGAGCTGAGGGCATGTGACCCAATCTCACCTTGTAGAAAGCATCACATCTGCCCTATCTGCCTAAAGCAAAGGAGCCAATAGACCAGTCAGAACCAGAAGAATAAGCAATGGAGGGACATCCACCATCCGCTCATCACTGTGGACAATAAAGATACAAACGCATGCATTAACACATTCTTAAATTCTAACAGCCAGAATCATTTTTTGGAAATTGTCCCCAGGCCCAGGAATAATGGACTTCACCCACTTTTTCTCACTCAGACTCCCAATGTTCAAAACCATCCAAAGCATAAAACATTTCCATGGCCACAAGAGAGGCCCATCAACAAATGAGGTGAATTTGAATGCAGGTGGCAAGTCACCTAGGAATTACAATGTTTTACATGTAAGTACCTGACAATTTCATATACATCCTCTCAATTAATTCCCACAACCCCAAAATATAGACAACCCTATTCCTGTTTTTAGATGAGGAAACTGGTTGAGAGAGGCCAACCTCCCCCACCATCCTCTGCATTTCTATCCAAACCTCCCAATTCTCACTGAGGTCCATGGAGAAGTAAGCTTGCCTGGGCATTCCCTAGGCTCCTGTCTGTGCTGCCGGCTTTAGGGCCCAGCTCCTTGTGGGCCTCAATGATATCCAAGCCCTGTGCTGAGGGTCCCAGCATCTTACCCTGCTAAACAGGGACTTCTCTGACCTACCAGGAGGACACAAGAACAGAATAGGGGTTCTCAAGGGGTTCTACAGTGATATGGCTAAGTACTGTCACAAGCCTCCAAAAATAGAACTTTTATGTGATCCCCAAACATTATTACCAAATCCTTGGGGCTGATCTTCCAAGCCACCTCTACCTACCCCTACCCATTTTGCGCTCTCTCCTTCAGCCAGAAACTCTCTCCTTACTGGTGCCATATATACACTTAGAAGAAGTGTCCTTTACTCTTCCAGCTGCCACAGCCAACAGCAACTCTCGCTTTCAAGGTCTAGCTCACTCACCACTTCCTCTGTAAAATCTTCTTCAAATATACCAGCCAGTCCCTCACTGAGCTCTCCCTATAGAGAACCCTATAGCACTCCCACTTCACAGCACAGCTTAGTATCTCATGCTATGATCATGTAGACACCTGTCTCAAGAAGGTCTCTCCCTTGGGCATTTGCATGGTCACAAATTATTGGGGAGGGGGGAAAAAATCATATTGTTTTCTTTTCCTTTCTTTTCTTTTTTTTTTAAGATCTTACTTATTGGGACATCTGGGTGGCTCAGCAGTTGAGCATTTGCCTTTGGCTCAGGGTGTGATCCCAGATTCCAGGGATTGAGTCCCACATCAGGCTCCTTGCACTGGAGCCTGCTTCTCCCTCTGCCTAGGTCTCTAAAATAAAAAAGATTTTATTTATTTATTCACAAGAGACACACACACACAGAGAGAGGCAGAGACACAGACAGAGAGAGAAGCAGGCTCCCCGCAAGGAGCCCGATGTGGGACTTGATCCTGGATCCTGGGATTGCACCCTGAGCCAAAGGCAGACACTCAACCACTGAGCCACCCAGGTGTCCCAAGCATATTGTTTTCTTAAGCTTATTGCCAAGAAAAAAAGGGGAAATGATAAACTCTGGTTGGAATCAAGATGGTGATGACTTTTCACTTAATCACCGATTCCCTAGAGCAAGGCAACTATCAGAAAATTGACATTCCTCTACTCAAATGGCAGGAGAGCCTAGAGCCTACGGAAATAAACATGGTGGCTAAACACCTCCATGGCACTTTAAGAAATTTCACTCTGTAATACGGTAGCAAGTAACACAAATGCGCACTAGTCAGTCATGGGGAGTGGGAGGCAAACGTCATATGGGAGGAAAGGCCAGAGGAATACATGCATGGTGCTGCCCTGCAAATCAAAGTTCGCTATGTGGGGCTAAGCCTAGAACAGCTAGCATAAGGATTACCTGATTAATAGCCCAGTAATCCATAGACCCCAGTGCAATACAGTAAGGATATTTTGAGGTATCTGCCTCAAATTGCTCCCCCTCGCCTATCATGGCTGATTACCCAAGCTGAGCCTATTCAATTGCCTTTCCCAGGAACATAGTTTGGGGTACCAAAAGACTGAACCTACCTAACAGTAGCAGAGTTGGAAAATATAGCAAGTCAAAGTCATATTCAGACCCTTGTAACAGAGGAACAAAAACCACAAGAAAACAGGGGAAGGAAGCAGGACTATGCAAAGAAGCAGAAGTGAGAGGGCGTGCAGCTTGCGAGAAAAAGACTAACAGAAAGATAAATACACGGAAGACAGAGGACAAAGAGACAAGAGACAGAGATAAAGAGACATAAGGGACAAAAAGAGAGAGGGACAAAAAGATGGACATACACATGAAGAAAGAGATTATCTCACCATGCCCTGGCTATGCTCACTATGCTTCTGCCTTGTAGCACCAAGATGTGGATGCGAGATGGAGAAGAGGAGCAGACTCACTCCTCAGCCCCACTGACAGGCACTCCCTCTCCCTCTCACTTCTACCCCTCCTTCCCTCCATCCTGCTACAACCTCCCCCCCACCCCCCAAACACACACACACACTTGCTCCTCTCAGCACAGGAGTAAATATTGCGCGCAATTCAATGACTACTGCCAATAAGTGAAAGAAGGCAGCTCCTCAAGGAACTCCCTGCAGAGCCCATTCTGAAGGACAGTCAGAAAGATACAAAAGAGCCTGTCATAGTGGTTGCCTCTGGGGAAAAAGACCAAAGCACTGGAGAGGGAGAGAGACTTTTTCCATTGTATACTACTTTATACTCTGACTTTTTTTACTATGCACATATGCTTCTTCCTCAGTAAAAATTAAACTACTTAATCTAAAACAATGTGCAAAGGAGCAAGGCCAGGAGCAGGGTGAGGCAAGGAAGGCACATAATTTAAGGAGGCACTCACTTTCAGAACCACTTGGAGAACCTGAGGTTGAATACACCCTTAAATGCTGGCCACAGGAGTCTTGCTTGCTTCACTGTACTCTCAGCTCTGCCAGAGAACAGAGAGCTCTGAGAACAGTCTACCAAACAGAAGCCAAGTCCCCTGAATGTTTTCCTGATTCTAATTAAGAAACATTTCACCATCTGATCCCCACCCCTCCAAACATCCCAAAATTCCCATCCCCATCTAGTGCCATAGAGTCCATCAGAGCCCAAGCACAAGACTGGGCCTGGAGGCCAGGTGCTCAGATAAAACTACCACAAAGACAACATCCAAGCCTTCCCTCCTCTCTAGATCTCATCTCCTTGCTGGAAAGCCTGCACCAATGAGTGTGGGGTTTGTGTGAGGGTCTTCAAGCTCTGGGGGCTTGTTGCTGGGAAAGGAGTACTCAAATAGCAGATCCACACCTAAAGCAGAAACAAATGCCCTTTGTGGCAAAAACTGCTAATTATTTTTTAATATCTGTTCTTTCATTTTTCCTTACTAATAGAAACTAGCTAGGGTCTAGGTTGCCCAAAACTTTTTTTAAAGATGTATTTATTTATTCATGAGAAACACAGATTGAGAGAGAGAGAGGCAAAGGCATAGGCAGAGGTCTCCTCGCAGGAAGCCTGATTCAGGACTAGATCTTGGATCCTGGGATCACGACCTGAGCCAAAGGCAGGTGCCCAACAACTGAGCCATCCAGGCGTCCCAGGATTGCCCAAAATTAAGCTGACATTTACCAGGCTTTCTTGCAGGCAGGTATGGCCAAGTAAGTTCTTGCCCCAGCATATAAGCAAAGTTTCATATAAAAAAGGCCTCGGGAAGTCTCTTTGAAGGACAGAGCCTGCCTTTCTTTGTCTTGCCTGTCAGCCACAGTACAGACTTGACAGCTGGGGCTTGAGTAGCCACCTTGGACCGACTAGCTAAAAGTCACACGCTGAGGATGGCAGAGCAGTAAGGCAGAAGGAAGGAACCTGTCTCCCTGAAAAATTCTGAAGTGATCCTACCAGCTCACACTGCCTACCTTAAATATGGAAAGAAATAAACTTCAGTATATTTGAGTGATGCTGATTTTGGTTTTCAGGTGTTTAAAATCCAAATTAATCCTGGGTAATACATGCACCCTAAGACAGAACTATGCCCCTCATATTCTCTTTCTGATGAGGAGGAGCTCGTTTGGCAATCTGCAGCTACAGTCCCAGTTATGCTGACAGTCACAGCTCCCTTTTTCACAGCAACGAGAAGAAGGAACCCTTCCAATTTCTCCCAAAAACAAGCTGGATGTTACTAAGAGGCACTCAAGGACAGAGGAATGCAATCCTTAACAACAGCAGCAACATGGTGGGAGGAAAAAAAAAAAAAAAAACGGGAGAGATATCTACAAGTCTATTAGGAGAAAATTGTTCTATAACTGTCCAGGAAAGGCAAACCCTTCCAAATGGAAATCCTAGAATCTGGAGCTACCTCTTGGGATGCATATGAATATGTCAGGTATATGCCTTTTTAAGAATCCTCCTTGTTTTTAATTACACAAATATATACATTTAGTCTTATTATCAAACAATTCCAGCTCTATACATGGGTAGACTCCCGGGTCTTTGAGGCTATGGTAAAGACCCAGTCCTTCTGAGGCATGTCACTTTCAGAACACGAAAGCTGTTGATCCATAACAACTGACCAAAATAGGGGAGCATATGTTTACTTCTCAGAACTCTGCCCAGGCCAGAGTCCAAGACAGTAAGAGACAACAGAAAACTATTCAGGCACTATCAGTGTTTCTTCACTTCAGTCTCCCGCTCAGAAGTCTCCCTCCCCCATCTCTTCCTGTTCCTGCTCCTATTCCTCCTCTTCCTGCTCCTCATCACTGTCAGCCTTCCCAAACAAATCCTGGGGGGTGAGGGAAATGGAGACTCAGCAAGCCTCTGCTTTGATACCATGTCAATGCTGAATGACTTCTATATGGACACCTTCACAGCAAATATTCTCTAATGACGTGTGTAAGCCTACACAACAGGCCGGACTCCACAAAGATAAACAACGTAAGACAGAAAAATCACCCTTCCACAATCAAATCTACTACTCCTGCTCACCTGAGTTACCAAGAATACTGTTGGTCACCAGGCCAGAGAAGGGACCTATGAACCTCAAGAACTGTCATTTTCCCTGACAGTCCCATCAAAGCCTCTAAGCACACTGAGCCCAGTAGGCAGCCAGACGCCCCACCCGCCATAGAACCAAGCTCCCGAACATATATGAATAAAATGCTCCTTTAGGATAGAGCTTCTCAACTTCAGCAATATTGACATTCATTGTGTGAAGCTGTCCTGTACTTTATAAGATGCTCAATAGCACCCCTGCTTTCTACCCACTGTATGCCAGTAGCACCCCTTCCCAGCAGGTGTGACAACCAAAAATGTCTCCAGACTTTTGCCAAAAGTCTCCTGGTGGGCAAACTCACCTCCAGTTGAAAACCACGCTCTCAGAAAATGAGTAGCTAAGATAGTCTGAAATCTAAGAAAGTTGCTAGGCTCTCTCTGCCAGTGTAACCTGGGAATAGGGTGGGGGGCAGCTGAAAAGCCAGGATCTGAAACAGCAATACCTTCAAGGGCCAAAAAGGCAATGCGAGTGAGCAACTGGGTATAAAACAAGAGGGAGGAGTGCCTGGGTGGCTCAGTCAGTTAAGCTTCTGCCTTCAGCTCAGGTCATGATCTCAAGTTCCTGGGATGGAGCCCCACACCAGGCTTCCTGCTCAGTGGGGAGTCTGCTTCTTGCTCTCCCTCTGCCTCCCCCTACTTGTGCTCCCTCTCTCTCACTCTTGCTCTCAAATAAATAAAATCTTAAAAAAAAACAAAAAGACTATAGCTTTACATATTAAAAAAAAAAAAAAAAAAGCCCACAAGAGGAAGTAGAGGGCTGTGATTGACTAAAGAATGCATGTTCCTTTAAAGGGAGCAACCACTACGCAAAGGCAGCTGATTGTGTCAGGAAGGAATTTGGGTCCAAGGTTGCCAAACTTTTGATTTTACAACAGAAAATGCTGGTCCTGATTTTCAAATGTTGCCAAATAATTCAAAATTGCTTACAACACTAGGCCAAACAAATATATCTGTGGGTCAAGTCTGGCCCATGAGCCACCAGCTTGCAGCTCCGACCTAGAGTTGTTATATGGAGAATGTCGTGCCCTTTCTTCTAGAATGGAACTTTAACTGCCTAGCTTGCATGACTATAATTTCTGTAGACAGTTTCCCAAATAACAACCTGGACCCCTCTTATGTCTTAATTTCAAGACTAACTTAATTCTCCTATCCTACCTAAATTTCAGCATGGAATCAGCGCAGATTTTTGTATTTTTCCCCCTAATTATGATCTATGTGGTCATTTCCAATTTTTTTCTCTTAAGACCAAGCTGCGGGCAGCCCGGGTGGCTCAGCGGTTTAGCGCTGCCTTTAGCCCAGGGCGTAATCCTGGAGACCTGGGATTGAGTCTCATGACAGGCTACCTGTGTGGAGCCTGCTTCTCCCTCTGCCTGTGTCTCTGCCTCTCTATGTGTCTGTCATGAATAAATAAATAAAATCTTCAAAAAAAAAAAAAAAAAAAGACCAAGCTGCTCTCACTGCCACCCCTGCCCAGAGAGACTCCCTTTGGCACATCCCAGCTTTGTCTGATGATGCATCAACACAATTCTACACCCTAAGTTCCAAGAAGAAGGTAAGCTGAACCCCAAAGTCTTGTCCATTAGGACGGGACATCATTTTATGACTTAAGCTCATCTCTGACAAGTTCCTACCTGAAGGTACACGTTAGGGGAAAGCCTGGGCTTCTGGGATAGGGGCCTGAAGGAATTCTGATAGTGAGTGATCTGGGTAAAAGTACACTTGAATAAAAGAAGCTACAGATATCATGACTGTACTTTTAAGAGGCAAGATCTCTCCTCCAATCAAAAGAGCAGTTCCTAGCAAATAAATAAACAAATAAATAAATAAAACAAACAGTTCCTGGGAATGGGATTCCTAAGCACAAAAACAATGAGGAAAATCATAAAGGAAAAAATATTTACCAATAAAAGTCTTCTGTACATGGAAAATTATATATAGAGGTGTCCTTTCACTGGGTTACCCTTGGAATTCACCCTAAGGCCATACACATAGGCACTCCCTGGTGCTCTGATAAGAGCACAAAGTCACAAAACCTTCTAGAAGGAAACTGGGTAATAGATGAAGAATCTTCAAACAGTTTATTTCTTTAGACATAGGTATTTCTCCTGTATAATTAATTCTACCCTAAAAAAAAAGATGCAAAAACTCTGAATTTTATATACAAAGAAAACTACTTATATGTTCCTAAACCATGTTTTCTAAGAATATCTGATGAAAGGGATTAAATATTAAAATTTTTAAGCATTATACAAATCACAGAGAGAATGATCTCAAGAGTACCTTTAAAAACTGAGATAAGCACCGAAAAAAATACTAGAAGGTATTTCACACAAACAGCAGCAGTAGTTCTGTGGAGTAAAATTATGGGTGATTTTTCTTTTTTCTATTTTTTTTTCATTTTCAAAGTGCCTGTAATGTCTGTATTATCTTTAAGTAATAATAATAATAATAATAATAATAATAATAATAAAACGATACTACTTTAAAAAATGTTTCTTTTAAAGAACATTCCACAAAAAGAAGGAAAAAAATGAGATACCAAATTTAAAAAGCAGAATATGAAATTATATGCAAAGTACAATACCAATTCCATAAAAGAAAGAGATAAAGACACGACTTAATTATAAAAGTGCTCATCTTTTGGTGGTGGATTATGGGTGTTATGAGGATAATTTTCTCCCTAATGACACATTTTATAATCAGAAAATTCTTTTTTTAGAGAACTCAGTCAAGCCAGAGGTCCCCTGGCCAGACCCTGCCACACATACCACTGAATAACTACCCACCTTTCCTCCTCCTGGGGCTCTATGTGGAGGAGTCCCCTTTAACATTTGTTTTTAACAAATTCCTTAAAGTCAGGAGGCACAGTTTACCGTACAATCCTTTTTTGCTAACTCCAAGGTACTCTCGGTCTATTTTTAACACTGTGGATAAACTACATATACTGCCAAAGCTTTTGCAAGCAGAGATATGGAAAGAACAGAGTATAATTAAGTGCCTCTGGCAGCACAGTGGTAAGGAACACAGGGAATTCTGGGCTACTTCTCAGCTAAAACACTAGCTCTATGAGACTAGGTAAATTCACAGTAATCTTCTCTCCTTTTCAGCGATTTCACACAGAATCCCTCCTTACCACCTCATGAGAGAAAAAGGAAAATAAAGAAAGATCAACTGGGATCTCTCTGGTTCTGTCCTCAGAAACCCAAATACGGGGTAGAAGCCACCTTCCTGTCACTGGCCACAGGCAGAGCTTGTTTACAAAGTCAGTATAAAGAAATCTGAAACACCAATGAGAAAAAGCCATTTTGGTGTGGTGCCTGCTGCTTAGAATAGGCTGCAAAGAGTGGCAGTGGCAGAAAACTGTAGTCCTGTGGGCTGAGGGATAACACCTTGGGACCTCAACAATCTAGAGACGCCTCTTTCCTCAGCCTCTAAACTGGTTTAAAATAAAAAGCTAGGAGGCAACATAATTTATTTTTGAGAAGTAGAATAAAGTCTTTACCACTGACGTTTTTTTCTGGGTTAAGTTACAACTAGTGTTGTTGACTCCAATCAAAACATCTGATAAAAAAAAAAAAACATCTGATAAGACAAATTTAAGACATGCACCAACCTGTCACATAGACAGGAACAGAACTCTGGGAACAGTCAAGAGTCAAAGGAATGTCATGCACCAAAAGCCCTACAAGGGATTCAAAGTTCTCTCATTCCTGACTTATCTCTCAGGGTTAAATGACTTTGGTGAAATTACTTCTTCAAAAGGTAAGATGCCCCTTTTCCCCCAAAACAGCAAAATATGGTGTTCAAATATCAGGTACCATTAGCATTATTAAAAGAACCCACACCTTCAAACATATGCCCCCACTAAACCCCAGACTTACATATGCAAGCAGCAGCGAGGAGACGGCAGGCCACGTATGGGGGATCACAGGTCGGGAACGAGGGCTGGATGATGTAGTTGGCGAAAGTGATGGCAATGATGGCCTGACTGGTAGGCTCAACAATTAGCAAGGAGGCCCATAGACGGATGAATGCAATGAAGCCTCCGAAGGCCTCTAGAATATAAGCATAGCTGGCCCCAGACTTGGTAATGGTGGTTCCCAGCTCCGCATAGCAAAGGGCACCAAACACGGAGAAAAGCCCACCAATGGCCCATATGACCAACGACAACCCGTAGGAGGCAGTGTATACCAGCACACCCTTAGGTGAGACAAAGATTCCTGAGCCAATCATGTTGCCCACCACCAGGCTGACCCCATTCAACAGAGAGATCTCCTTCTTTAGCTGCATAGTTTCTGCAGTCCGTTGAGGTTGCACACTGACATCTTCCTCCCTGGGCTGGCTGGCCTCAGGAATGAGATGGTAGGCTGGTGTGGGATTCTCCAGCTCCCTGGCTTCCATGGCAAATGTTTCCTCCACACTTGTGCTTACTGTGGCCTGGCAAAGAATATAATAAGTATGTTAGTCTAGTGCAGGAGCTGGTGAGTCTCTGGTTTTGAAATGCAAAGCCAAAGCCAACCTCTTATGTATGAACAGCAAGCCTTACACACAGACCTAAATAAAATGAGCTCATATCCATTTCCACCACAGGATATAGAGAAATAAATGGAGGCAGGCAGACACCTAGTACTCCCAAGAAAGATAATTGTTAGTGTTTAGCTGATGGCAACTTCCAACAAGAGATACCTGGCTTGACACCCAGAGTAGGCTGTCATTAGATTTATTATAGCACAGATTCTTCCTGAGGTATAGGTTTTGGTCTGGTCTTACCATTTTAAAATCTACAAACCTGCCCTACAAAGACCAGACTCCCAGTAGCAGATTCACAGCCCTAGCTAGCTTGATATGCCTCTCATTGCCCACAAACACTTACCTCTACCCAAACATAAACAGGAACTTCTTTTTTTTTTTTAAGATTTTATTTATTTATTCATGAGAGACACAGAGAGAGAGAGAGAGGCAGAGACATAGGCAGAGGGTGAACAAAGTTCCATGCAGGGAGCCCGACATGGGACTCGATCCTGGGACTCCAGAATCACGCCCTGAGCCGAAGGCAGTTGCTTAATTGCTAAGCCACCCAGGAGCACCTAAACAGGAACTTCTGCAGTATCCAGCAACATGCAGAGAAATCTGTAGCTACTCTCAGTCCAGCAAAGAAATGAGCAGGTGGTAGAAAGGGCTAGGAAGATGCTAAGACTAGACAAGTAAAGGGTTTTCATGAAAATACATACCTGTGTATTGTTGCATCTACAACATCAATCTTACTTCCCACATTGCTACTTGCCCATTCAACACATCTCTTTTTCCAAAGTACCCAGAAAAGAGAAAGAACATAATTAAGACCTAATGGAGAAAGAACATCCAGAGGACAACCTAAGCTGGGGCTTGACTGCTATTAGTTTGTTTACTTCCTCAGCATGCCCCTCACTATCATTTAGTGTTGCAAAGAGATTCTCCCAGAATAGGACCCAGAAATTTTGACACCTCATCAGAGCTACATAGCTTCTCTTATCCGCACACCTGGCATTAGAAGGCATTCTTTTTTTTTTTTTTTTTTATGATAGTCATACAGAGAGAGAGAGAGGCAGAGACACAGGCAGAGGGAGAAGCAGGCTCCATGCACCGGGAGCCTGACGTGGGATTCGATCCCGGGTCTCCAGGATCGCGCCCTGGGCCAAAGGCAGGCACCAAACCGCTGCGCCACCCAGGGATCCCTAGAAGGCATTCTGTAGGGAGATGGCACACACTACTACTTTTGGTCTGGAGTTAGGCCAGTCCAGAGAACTAAAAGAAGTTGGATTCCACACCAACTTCTACATACATGAAGAACCCAGAGTCTGTCAGAAGAAGACAAACACCTTTCTGATCTTGCATTCAGCATGAGCTTGTCCTCTCTCTCAATTCCTGTGCCCCAATAATCAGGAATTCAGATCACTTACTTACTCCCACCTCATCTTCTGGATAAAGGAATCCTGTAAGCCATATGATTCCCACCCAGGAATCAGTCTTTTAAGGTCACAGAGATACCTTCCAGAGATAAGCATGATATCAGTACATTCCCAGAAGCCTCTCATGTACTCAACAAAGACAGAGGTGCCAGAACCTTACCCCATGGAGCTCAGAGCAAGGGAACCATAGCCACTCAAGAGTAAGTAGTTCTCAAGGAAAACTTCAGTCTCCATGGTTCCATCCAAAACTCCCGCCTTACCTGTCACGGTGCCCTGCCAGGGTCCGAACTGGAGATCAATTAAGAAAACTCCTCTGGGGCACTAGGCCTTCTTACTCCCAGAGTTGAGCCAGCCTACCTCTGCTTAGATGAGACCTGGCTTCAAGGCAGCACCATTCTTCCTTTCCCTCCTGGCACCAAGCCAGGTAGGTTTCCCTAGGCAAGCACAGGCATGTGGGTACATACTTGTTTTCACGTGTCTGTCAGGTGAGCCAAAGCAACTATGAAAACACACTTGGAAATAGCAGAGGAACCTATATTCTCACATAAGTCAGGTGCAGAGACCTAGACTACATTTTTCCACCCAGCTCAACACAGAGGCAAGCAGAGAGACCTGGTCCCCGCAGCGACCACTTTAACCTCCCCTCTATTCTATCAGACCCTAGCTATATATAGTCCCATATATTTTTTTTGGACTTCTGACACCAGATGTATGGGTTTTCTTTTTTTTTTTATAACAATATTTTTTTTTATTTATTTACAATAGTCATACAGAGAGAGAGAGAGAGAGAGGCAGAGACACAGGCAGAGGGAGAAGCAGGCTCCATGCACCAGGAGCCTGACGTGGGATTCGATCCCGGGTCTCCAGGATCGCGCCCTGGGCCAAAGGCAGGCGCCAAACCGCTGCGCCACCCAGGGATCCCCAGATGTATGGGTTTTCTACACATCAAGCAATTCTGCAACACCAGACAATTTAACTTAATTCTGACGATGAAGATGCAGAAGGCAGGAGGATCCCTGGGTGGCTCAGCGGTTTAGCACCTGCCTTTGGCCCAGGGCGCGATCCTGGAGTCCCGGGGATCGAGTCCCGCGTCGGGCTCCCGACATGGAGCCTGCTTCTCCCTCCTCCTGTGTCTCTGCCTCTCCTTCTCTCTCTCTCTCTCTCTCTCTCTCTCTCTCTCATAAATAAATAAATAAATCTTAAAAAAAAAAAAAAAAAAAGAAGATGCAGAAGGCAAGCTGAGGACAAAGCACAAGCTGACATCCCAAACCATCCCCCAAAGTGGGATATGCGTGACATTGCTCAGCACTCCTGGCTGCCCTAAAGCTGAGGGAAGAAAAAACAAATGGTTAACTTATAAAGATTATAGCCCTGCATGACCTGGGTCTCCCTCAATTTATAAATGTCTTAGTGGTTTACAGAAAAAAAGCATTCTTATCAATAACCTAACTTCCACAAGGAAGTGTAGATAAAATTAAATGTCCTTATAATCTGCAGCCTATTGACAAATACTTTAGGCTGGCATAAGGAAGCTCCCAATTGTCTTCACCTTAATGCTTTACTAGAGGAAAAAACAACCTTAACAATGGCAAGGCCCCCAGTATCTCAGGTCCTCTTTAGCATATGAAAGTTCTTTTGAGGGACACCTGGGTGGCTCAATGGTTGACCATCTGCCTTTGGCTCAGGAGCTTCTGCCTTTGGCTCAGGTCGTGATCCCCGGCCCTAGGGTCCTGGGATCAGGAGTCCTGAATCAGGCTCCCCATGGGGGGAAGCCTGCTTCTCCCTCTGCCTGTTTCTGCCTCTCTCTGTGTCACTCATGAATAAACAAATAAAATCTTTAAAAAAAATTTATTTTGAAAACTTCCCTTTTCCTTACTTCCCCCAACTCCAAGTATATAATCAACTGCTCTTCAAAACTCCAGGGCAGCTCTTTCTGTCCATGGGTCCTGTCCCCTGAGCTTTAACAAAACCAGCATTTTGTACCAAAGATGTCTCAAAAATTCTTTCTTGGGCAGCCCCGGTGGCCCAGTGGTTTGGTGCCGCCTTCGGCCTGGGGTGTGATCCTGGAGACCCAGGATCGAGTCCCATGTCAGGATCCCTGCATGAAGCCTGCTTCTCTCCCTCTGTCTGTGTCTCTGCCTCTCTCTCTCTGTGTGTGTCATGAATAAATAAATAAAATCTTTAAAAAAAAAAACTTCTTTCTTGGTTGTGGTCTCCGGACCTCACCCCACCAAATCTCACCTATATTCCAAAATGTCATCACTGACACTATCTACCTGGAGATCCTCCAGGGTAAGGGCTCAGTCCCACAAAACTGCCATCTCGGAAAAAAAAAAAAAAAAAAAGAATTAAAAAAAAAACCTGCCATCTCTTCAGATGCCAAATGCTTCCAACTGACTGGCTAGGAATTGGAGGGTCCCACTACCCCCTCCTTGGGTTCAAGGTATTCAGGAAGGGGTGTGGTTTCCATGCTTTCTCCTGCCAAGCCACTTGCCCAGCACCTCCACTTGTTCACCAACCTGAAAGCTCTCCAAACTCTGTCTTTTTGGGGTTTTTATGAAGGCCTCATTACAAAGGCACAACTGATTGTGACTGAAAGTCCCAATCTCCTAATCACAGGGTTGGTTCCTCTAGCAATGAGCCCCCATCCTTAGAAGATCTGGATACTTCCCCAAAATCACCTCAGTAACATAAACTCAGAGGTGGGTGGAAAGGGGCTTGTTATATAAATAACAAGAGAAATCCATTTCACTTTCATTGCCCTGGAGCTATCTCAGGTATTGAGAACAAAAGCAAATATTATAACAAAAAAATGCCCTTATAGCTCTTAAAACAGAAAATTATAGGAGTTGTGTCTAGAAACAGTGGATGCAGACCAAATATATGTATTTTAATCACAGTATCACAGGGAAAGAAAGAGAAGGTAAATTAATTTCACTGGAAAATAAAATTCATATAAAATGGAATTGCCTTGGGATCCCTGGGTGGCGCAGCGGTTTAGCGCCTGCCTTTGGCCCAGGGCGTGATCCTGGAGACCCGGGATCGAATCCCACATCGGGCTCCCGGTGCATGGAGCCTGCTTCTCCCTCTGCCTGTGTCTCTGACTCTCTCTCTCTCTCACTGTGTGCCTATCATAAATAAATAAAATAAAATAAAATTTAAAAAAAAATGGAATTGCCTTGATTTCTAACTTCCATTTAGGATGTGGAAAGCTGGGAAGAGCATCACTACAACTCCAATAACAAGAAAAAAACAAATAATCTACAAAACCACAACTTTTCTTGAAGCCATCAGAGAGCTGAGGCAACCTACTAGACTGAAATTTAAGGAAAAACAGGCACCTCTGTGGAGAGATGCAAGCTCTGGCTCACCTGTGGCAAAAGGAGAATGATGGGACCAAGATATGAGCAAGTAAGTAAGAACAGGGGCAGCCCCGGTGGCTCAGTAGTTTAGCCCCTGCCTTCAGCCCAGGGCCTGATCCTGGAGACCCGGGATCGAGTCCCATGTCGGGCTCCCTTCATGGAGCCTGCTTCTCCCTCTACCTGTGTCTCTGCCTCTGCCTCTCTCTGTGTGTCTCATGAATGAATAAATAAAATCTTAAAAAAAAAAAAAAGTAAGTAAGAAGAACTCAGGTACAATTTTTAATGAATTACTAAATGTCTCGTGTGGGTTAGCAAGAGCCTAAACATTCAGAGATTTTTCTCCACAGACTTCAGTGGATTGGATGTTCATAAAAAATACTAGACAAGGGCAGCCCTGGTGGCGCAGCGGTTTAGCGCCGCCTGCAGCCCAGGGCATGATCTGGGAGACCTGGGATGGAGGCCCACGCCGGGCTCCCTGCATGGAGCCTGCTTCTCCCTCTGCCTGTGTCTCTGCCTCTCTCTCTCTCTCTCTGTCTCTATGAATGAATAAATAAAATCTTAAAGGAAAAAAAATACTAGACACGAGGCCAGAGCCTCTCAGTAGTGCTAATCTGGAGAAGGAAAGCAATCACTACTCTGGGAAAAATGCAAAGGTCCACTTGGTCCCTTCTCTAAAGAATAAAAATCGTACACCACCAGGGTTAGGGTGGCAAATTCTCTCACTCCCAAGGCAGCTGGGGCAGAGTAAAAGAAAAATAAAACAACCCTTTATGCCTGGGGGAAAGAGGAAATTCTGATCTGGGCCATTAGAGGCGTCCTACCTCTGGGGCAAGGGCAAGATCACCAGAAAGATCTACACCCCTCTCCCCCAAGACCCAGAAAAACAGGGGCTGAACCCTGAGGTAAACCAAGATAACAGAGAATCCCTGCTCCCACCACCAGGTAAGCCAGCACCCAGCAATAAAACAAAGACCTAGAGCTGAGTGTGAAGCGTAAACACTGAAGAAAAACCCTCCCTCCAGCAAACCAATCCTAAACTGGAAGAATTTGAAGCCCTGTGTGCACCTAAGGCAACAATAAAACCCAAACCTAACTCATCTTCCAACTGGAACTCCCACACTAATAGCCTAACAAAAGAAGAGATGTATCCAGAATAAATACTATGTACTTAAGTCTCTACTGTTTTAAATTCTGTATCTTGCAATCAGTAACAAATTACAAGCAACACATAAAAAAGCAAGAAAACCCATTATCCAGAAACAAAGTAATCAGGGGCACCTGCTTGGCTCAGTTAAGCAACCAATGCATGATTTCAGCTCGGGTTGTGATCTCAGACTTGTGAGATCAAGCCCAGAGTCAGGCTCTGCTCTCAGTTAAGGAGTCTGCTCAGGATTCTCTCTCCTCTCCCTCTGTCTCTCCTCCTGCCCATGTACTCTCTTGCTCTCTCTCAAATAAACAAAATCTTTAAAGAAAAAAGAAAGAAGCAAAGTAATCAACAGGATAAGACATGGAGATGACCCAGATATTGGAACTACCAGATAAGGAATTTAAAATAACTATTATTAATAAATTAAATGCTCTAGTAGAAAAGTTGAACAGCAAGTAGAAACGTCAAATTTCAGCAGAGAGATGAAAACCCTAAGAGTCAAAGTGGGGAAAAAGTGAAAAAAAAAAAAAATAGAACGGCGCCCCCAAGAGTTATAGAATAATATCAAATGGTCTGAAGTAAATATTTAAAAAAATACTTTTTGGGAAAAAAAAAAAACTTTTTTTTACATGCTTTAGAATATAATTGACTGCCTCAAGTAAATATTGTAGCAATGAATTGTGGATTTGTAGCATATATCAAAGTAAAATGTATGAGGGGTGCCTGGGTGGCTCAGTCAGTAAAGTGTCTGCCTAGGATCATCAACCCAGGGTGCTGGGATTGCCTGCATCAGGCTCTCTATTCAGTGGGGAATCTGCTTCACCCTCTCCATGCTCATGCTCCTTCTCTCTCCCTCTCAAATAAATAAATAAAATCTTAAAAAAAAAAAAAAGTAAAATGTATTACAACAGCACAAACAAGGAAGAACTGGGAGTTATACAGTTGTAAGTTTCTTATATGTGAAAAAATGTAGTGTTACTTAAAAAAACCACTAAACTAAAAAGATTAAAAGAAGGGTTATAGGGGAGCCCGGGTGGTTCAGCGGTTTAGCATTGCCTTCAGCCCAGGGTGTGTGGACCCAGAGACCCAGGATCGAGTCCCAAGTTGGGCTACCTGCGTGGATCCTGCTTCTCCCTCTGCCTGTGTCTCTCTGCCTCTCTCTATCTCTCTCTGTGTCTCTCATGAATAAATAAATAAAATCTTAAAAAAAAGAAGGGTTATAAATAATAAACCAACAGTGGAAATAAAACATCATAAAAAAATGCTCAAACCAAAAGTAGGCAGCAACATGGCTGGACTTAGAAGGTATTACATTAAATGAAAAGTCGGTTAAGAAAAAACAAGTATCAAAAAAAAAAAAGAAAGAAAAGAAAAACAAGTATCACATAATTTCACTTATCTAAAAAATGAAACAAATGAACAACAAAAAAGAAATGAACTTGGGGTGCCTGGGTGGCTCAGTAGGTTAAACATCTGCCTTTGGCTCAGGTCATGATCCCAGGGTCCTTAGATCAAGCCCCACATTGGGCACCCTGCTCAGTGGGGAACCTGCTTCTCCCTCTCCCTCTGCCTCTGCCTCCCACCCCATGCTACTATCTCTGTTTTTGTTTTTTGTTTTTTTAAGATTTTATTTATTTATTCACAAGAGACACACAGAAAGAGGCAGAGACAGAGAGGGCGAAGCAGGCTCCTCACAGGGAGCCGTATGCGGGACTAGATCCCAGGACTCCAGGATCACACCCTGGGCCTACTGCAGGCACTCAACTGCTGAGACACCCAGGTGTTCATTCATTCATTCATTCATTCATTCATTCATTTTCAAAGGCAGACGCTTAACTGCTGAGCCACCCAGGCATCTCCCATCTCTCTGTCTCTTAACATGAATAAATAAAATCTTGGGGAACCCTAGGTGGCGCAGCAGTTTAGCGCCTGCCTTTGGCCCAGGACGCGATCCTGGAGACCTGGGATCGAATCCCACATCAGGCTCCCGGTGCATGGAGCCTGCTTCTCCCTCTGCCTGTGTCTCTGTCTCTCTCTCTCCTCTCTGTGTATTCTCATGAAAAAATAAATAAAATCATAAAATCATAAAATCATAAATAAATAAATAAATAAATAAATAAATAAAACGGATGGTTGCCAGAGGGGGAGGGGTGAAGGGATGAGCAAAAGAAGTAAAAGAGGATTCAGATGTACAAACTCTAACCATAAAATAAGTAAGTCATAGAGATAGAAAGCACAACATGGGGCACTGGGTGGTACAGTCAGATAAATGTCTGACTCTTGATTTCTGCTCAGGTCAGGATCTCAGAGTCGTGGGACTGAGCCCTGAGTAGAGGAGTAGGGTTCATGTTCAGCAGGAGTCACCTGTCCTTCTCCCTCTGCTCCTCTGCTTCTCATACACCCCTATCTCTCTTCTCTCTCTCTCTCTCAAATAAATAAATTTTTAAAAAATCTTTTTTAAAAAAAGTACAGCATAAAAAATTTTAAAAATAAAAAATAAATTTAAAAAGCACAGCATAGAGGGACGCCTGGGTGGCTCAGAGGTTAAGTGTCTGTCTGCCTTTGGCTCAGGGGTGATCCCAGGGTCCCAGGATCGAGTTCCACATCGGACTCCCTGTGAGGAGCCTGCTTCTCCCTCTGCCTATGTCTCTGCCTCTGTGTGTGTGTGTGTGTGTGTGTGTGTGTCTCATGAATAAATAAAATCTTTAAAAATAAAAAAATAAAAAATGTTTAAAAATAAAGGTTTTATTTATGTATTTATTTATCTTAAAGATTTTATTTATTTATTCATGAGAGAGATCAAGCCCCATGTTAGGCTCCACACCCAATAAACAAATAAGTAAATAAACATACATAAGTTATAGGTAAGAGATAAAAGAAATAAAAGAGAGATAAAAGATAGGAAAAAATAAATAAACCATGCAAAACTAATCTAAAGTTGGAGTAGCTATATTAACATCAGAGAAAATAGACTCCAGAATAACAAAGACTGCTAGAGATAAAGAGGGACATTATATAATGATAAAGAGGTCAAATCACCAAGAAGATGATTCTAAATGTGTATTTCCTCCAACAATATAGGTTCAAAATACATAAAGCAGTACCATAGATCTGAAGAGAGAAATAGACAAATCCACAATTATAGTTGGAGACTTCAAAGTACCTCTCTCAGTCATCAATAGATTACGTAGACATAAAGTCATCAAGATCTAGGGGGACTTGACTGGCTCAGTTGGTAGAACATAAGACTCTCAATCTCAGAGTCATAGTTCAAGCCCCATGTAGGGTGTGAAAAAAAAATTTAAAAAACAAGATCTAGAAGACCTGAAAATGGAATGTCCCAACATAGCTCTTACCTAAGTAACTGTGAAAATTCCAAGTGTGGAAAAAAAAAAACCCCGACATCTGCAATAGGGTTTGTCTCCATACAGGAGATGCTGGACAGGCACGGGTGGGAGACAGGCTTCTAGCAGAAAAAAACACTATTTTGGCTCCTTGAGTTTCACAACAGAGTATCAACCCTATTATCTCCTCAGTTGGTATCCAAGCACTGTTAGGAACCCTCCCTCAAGTGCTGCCTAAGGCCTTTAAGACCAATTCCAATCTTCTTAACAGGGCTCTATCACTAGGTCTCCCACCCCACCCCCCATCCCACTCCTACCCCCAAGTCCCATCCCCACCGCCTCCCCCATATTCCCACCCCACTCCTACCCTCACAGTCCCACCCCCACCCCCATATTCCCACCCCCACAGTCCCAACCCAAGGTCCCGTGCCACTGAATACTTGCAGCTTCCAGAACCCAGCTGGAAACTCTGGGTTTCCAGAGTCCATCAGACAAACTCATCTTTGTTCATACTGAGCCCTCTGCTTCTAAAGCTCTTCTGCTATCACCTTGTCCCTAAAAGCTTGGCTGCCATCTTTCTCCATATATCTCCTTGTGCCCATAAGATTTCTAATACGTATTTCTGCCTTAGCAGCCACCTCATTTGGTTGCATTTACTTACCTTCAGTCTCCCAACTAGTTTGTGAATTGCTTATCTATTTTAACAGCACCCAGTACAAGGCCTAACACAGGCTCAGTACTCAGTCAGTGATCAATGAATAAAATTATAGCAATGGCAGAAAATATCTGTGAGAGAAAATATACAACAAACCCTACTGAAAGTCTAACACCTTGAGCCACCTGCTCGCCAGCACAATAAGCAAAACAAGGCTTAAGTGAAGGTAAGTGATCATTTAAAAAATTCAGTCTGAGATAGTGGTTCCTATCATTTTGTCAAAGCACTTGTTCTTTAGGTAACAGATAATAAGGGGGGGGGGGATGAGAAAAAGCAACTATGACTCCAAAAATGCTTTTGAATTAATTTGTATTTAATTAATCACCACAGTATCTACATACATTCTCAGAAGGGCAGTCCATATCTGTATAAGATGCACTGTTTATCCTATCCCCACAGAGTAGATTTGCAAACCTTCTGCAACAATGGGATGAAAATCAAGGAACTCATAACTAAGCCACTAACTCCAGCTCAGTAGCCCGGTATTTGGGTGAAAGAGTATGCAACAAAATCTTACCAAATCACCCTCTCCGAACTCGCTATCCTTCTGCCTTCAAATTTTATCCATTGGATAAGAGAAATTGGTATGTGAAGATCACACACAGTATCACATTCTCAGTCTCTCTTTCTCACACATAGTCTTTAAAATCATGTTGAAGACAATTTCCATTAAATCATTCAGCGTACCCTATAAGTTCCTGTCTTGAAAAACTAGTGTTAGGGATGCCTGGGCGGCTCAGTCCACTGAGCATCTGCCGTCAGCTCAGATTGTGATCCCAGGGTCCTGGGAGGGAGCATCAAGTTGGGTCTCTGCTCAGTGGAGAGCCAGCTTCTCCCTCTCCCCCTGCTTATGCATGCATGCTCGCTCTCTCTCTCTCTCTCTCTCTCTCACACACACACACACACACACAAATAAAATATTAGAAAAAAAAAAAAACAACCCAAAAACAAAAGACTAGTGTTAAACTCTGCCTGTAAGGACACAATGCAGTTTTCAACCTATTTTACAGGCTCCTGCAACAGATAGTAAAGGAATTCATCAGACTACTAAAATTGCCTCACAAAAATTTTTTTAAAATATTTTATTTATTTACTCATGAGAAATACACAGAGAGAAGCAGAGACTAGGCAGAGGGAGAAGCAGGCTCTATGCAGGGAGCCCGATGCGGAACTTGATCCTGGGATCACGTGCTGAGCCACCCAGGCATCCTGCCTCATGAAAATTCAACCATAAAACTATCATATGCAATTTTCAGGGGAAAAGAAGAATCTTTCAAAGTTCAATTACAAAAAAATGTTTTACAAACTGGATTTATTTATTTATTTATTTATTTATTTTACAAGCTGGATTTAAAAAATCTTTTATTTTATTCATTTATTTTAAAAATATTTTATTTATTTTTTCATGAGAGACATAGAGAGAGAGACAAAGACATAGGCAGAGGGACAAGCAGGCTCCATGCTGGCAGCCCAATGTGGGACTCGATCCCCAGACCTGGGATCACACCCTGAGCAGAAGGCAGATGCTCAACCACTGAGCCACCCAGGTGTCCCTAAAAACTCTTTTAAAATTGATGACTATGAGGGAAAATGCTGTTGAGAAAAATACTAAAATCTTTATTATGGTGAAAACCTAGAGGATTCTTTCTTTTCTATATCTCTCTGAGTTTTATATATTTTCCAGAATTAATAGGCATCGATTTTTTTAATGCTTAACTCTCCCCCCCACCTCTCTCTCTATATATATATATACACACACACACACAGTATTCCTATCAAATGAAAAATTTATGTAATTCTACATTTATCTTTTTACCTAAGATACCAGGAAATTCAATATCAAATTCAGTACCCAATCACAGTGAATAAATACCCACACTTTCAACAGTATGTGATGCGTAGTCTTTTCTATTGTTTTGGTTAATTTCCTTTTAATAACCTCATTGGAAGTATCTTTAATTATAAGCCACAATTACTCTTTAGAAAAAGAAATAATTTAATAAATACACCAAAATAGTGTTATGTAATTGTTCATTATATGTGAGCCAGTCTGATTACTAGTATCCTGTTCATACTGTGCACAAATAACTGAAACTTTACAAATCGCAAAGATCCAAAATCTAATAGAGAACAGAGCAATAATATTCACCTGTGAGGAAATAAGCAAACATCACACTTTCATAAGCTGCCTCATCATAAATGGTCAGGTACTGAGAAGAAAATGGAAGTCTCCACAGCAAGGCCTAATTCCACTTGTCTGTCTTGGCCATTTAACCTCTGCAACAAAGAGTAAGAGGCAGCTTATCAAAAAATGAACCTAGTAAGCAGCAGGATGAGATTTCCCTTTGGAAAATTTTAAGTTGCACAGGCCTTGCAGGGGCAGCACTCAGTTACTGAGAAGTTCCGTCACTGTCACGGTGGAGAGTAACTGAAGCAAAAAGCCCACACATGTCAGAGAACTAGCCCGGCCCAGTCATCTCAAATCATGCATGTCCAGACAGCTGCTACTCCCTGAGACCCGGGTCCTCTGAGCCCTATTTGCGTCACTTTTGTAGAAATGTATCCACATCCTGGAGGTTACAGCAGGAAGCACACAGGACAGAGGTCAGGAAATTTCCTGTACCGAGAAGGGCCATGGAGATCAGTCACATAACTGGTATTTACTCTTGGGCTGCAATAAAAATATGTTCACAGCCAGACAGGGAAGAAGGAAGATAAAAAATCAGGTTTGTGGTTTTCTGCATATTTGTCAGGAGAGAGAAATCAAATAGAAGAACTTAGTGGCAGGCTGAGACCGAAGTTAGGGGGCAAAAGTCATTAGCACGCCAAGGCACCTGAGTAAGGGAGGCAGCCTGGGCGGTTTCCTCCTAAAGGGCTTCACGGAGCTCAGGAAGCCCTCAGACTTTCAGAGAGTCTGCTCCTCCCCGATCTTCAAATCAGGGAGCAGCTCTCGCAGAGGCACCAGATGGCTGAGCGCTCTGCTACCACAAGCTAGATTTGCTGGCAGTGCTTTTTTTCCCCCCATCAAGGGCAGAGACTGAATTCTTTTGAACTGTGTCACCAAGCACACAGCCCAGGGCGCATAAGAGGTGCTCGAAAATATCTGTTAAATATTGATTTCTATTTATACTGCCCATTACACAATGTGGTACCCGGACTGTTTGCTTAGCGCTTAGTCAAGAATTCTCAGACTGTTTTACAAATCTCTCCTTCCATTTATAACACGAGATGATCAAACAACATGACAGGACACGAAGACGCGAGAAAGAGCCATCCGGGCGGGAGCACATGGTGGCCTGGTGCCAACACAGCAGGCCGGCGGCTCGGCCCACCATCTGCAGCATCCTAGGAAGCTGCGACCCTGGTGCACAGCCTTGCACGCGGTCTTCCTCACTTGCCGAGTGGTCACGGCCCAGGTCCTCTTTCTTACCACACTCACCGTCCGTATTTCAGCCTCGCACACGGTCCGCTTCGCACTCCGCTCCGGGCCTCTATCACTGCGGTGTCCTTCACACTTGCCCTCTCCCCCACTTCTGGAGTCACCCTCACACCCTCAGGGGAATCACCCGCAGACTGGGGCTGGCGCTCTCCTTCAGCTGTCTTTCACACACACCGAGTCTCCCTCACACCAAGGTCTCTCCCGCACAGTCAGGGTCACCTCCCTCACGGTGATTCTTGCACACTCACTCACAGGGCCACCCTCAGGCTCAGGGGGTCTCTCACGCTCACACACGTAGTCTCTCCCCCACGCTCAGTCCCACGCTCAGGGCTCCCCACGCTCCCGGGGCCACGCTCACGCTCGCGCTCCGTCTTACACGCACAGCGTCACCCTCCGCACGTCCTCGCCGCGGCGTCCCTCACGTGCCCCCGGCCCGCCCGCCCCGCGCCCCGCGCCCCGCTTGGCGGGCCCGCAACCCGCCCTCGGGGGCGGCGGCGGCGGCGGCGGCGGCGGCGCGGAGAGCGCGGCCCCCAGCACGCGGCCCCGGCCCGGCCCGGCCCGCTCCGCGGCCCCCGCGCGCCCGCCCGCGGCCCGTTACCTCGCAGTCGCCGGGCGCCCACAGGATGCTCCGCCGCGCGAGCGCCGCGGCCGCCGCAGCCGCTCAGGCCCCGCCCCCGCCACGTCACGCGCCGCCGGATCGCGACAGCGCGCCCCGCGTCGGGACAGGACGCCTCGCGGCGGCGCTTCTGACCCCCGGGGCCGCCGAGGCCTCGGGGAGCGCCCGGCCCGGCCCGGCCCGGCCCGGGAGTGCGGTCCCCGCCTCTGCGTGCGCTTGGTGCCGGCGACCGGGCCCGGCCGCCCTGGCTCTGCGTGGCCGGCACAGCGCCGTGGGTCGGGCCGGGCCCTAGAGCGGCCCCCGGAGCGCTCCACAGCCTCGTGCCCCTCCGCCGCGGCCTTAGGAAGACTCAGACCCGGGACCTGGGCCCCGCAGCCCCGGCCCAGCTCGCGGCCACTGAGGCCTCCTCAGGCCCACGGACGCTGTTGCGCTCCTGTAGGCAACCCCCGCACCCCGGGGCTCAGGCCTGAGGACGTTTTCCGG